CATATGTAACAACCGGATAGCGAAAGTCAGTCAACAACCACCTCCATTACCATGGTCAATATACGTTCTCGATGTTTCTTTGCGGTACATATATGAAAGACCGTCTTGACCTATCAGTCCTAGTGCCCCAGGCTTTGAACAGGACACAATCGGTGAAACTTCCACATGAGAATGAGAGAGCAGAACCGAGCAGGGGTTGGAAAAGGCGGTAACTTACGTCTGGTATCCCCGAGGTTACTCGCTCCCCGTTGATCCCCGGCTTTCACGGCAGCTCAAAATGGCCATACTTCTTTACCGTCCTCAAGAGCCGCCCCTTACTCACCCGTCTTCTCCGATCTGTCGTATACTCGCAAATGCTGCTAGAGGCAAGTATTGTTGAACAAAGCAAGAAATCCCCATGCTTACAACCTACTACGGATCATGAGACCACGAATTCGGGTATACGAGCGAGCAGCTTTGGGCACAGGGACCTTGCACAACATCCGCAAACTGCGTTGATGTAACATTCCGGCTTGCTCGGCTGCTTAACGTAATTCAACCTTCATGGCGAGCTTGATTCCCAAAGTAAATGTCAGGCTCTGCCTCGTATTATGTAAAAGTACCTGACATTGATTTATAAGCTAAACCATGAAGCAAATCATTGCCCAACTCCTATGTGAAAATGTACCTAGGTAGCTCAAGTCACAAATATGGATAAACAAACACAAGATAAAGAAAGGACTTTGGAAGCCCCTTGTCCAGCGGCTGAACACTTGGCTGTCACCTATGCGCTCAGCCTTACCCATCAAAGGGTCAACCACAGCCGCAACACACCCGCTTAACCGAACCGGCCTCTATGCTGCAACCGCTATATCCCCGTTTCTCCAGCCAAAGTTCTACCCCGGTTTTACTTTGTCTATCTCCTGCTGCTGTTGTCTGCAAGACTGCTCGCGAATGATGGGTCCTTGACACTGCCACCCGCATCCCCGAGACCAGCAATGGGACGGTTGTAACTGAAGCCTGTAAACTGGTTCTGCATCGTCTCTGATAGAATCGGTCCTTCCACGTAAGAGTCCTGAGGAAGTTCCGATGTGAACTCGGGATCGAAGTTGGCAGTATCGAGCGCGTCAACCTAAAGCCACCGTAGTTAGCACACTAAACTTGATCAACCGGCGAGTAGGCAATGCTCTTGATACTTACCACATTGGGCTTGAACGCAGGCTCATACTTGCGCTGCAACAACTTGCGCCAATCTATGGCGTGGAAGAATGGATGCGCCTTGATCTCGGCCGCACCGTTGGCACCAAGACGTTGTTGCGGGTCGCGGTTGAGCAGCTTGGTCAAGAGGTCTTTGGCAGCTGGTGGTACAACCTCGGGTCCGGGGAAGTGCAGCGGCTCGCTGAGGATCTTGCGGTACATCTCGTTGGTGTTCTCATCGTAGAAAGGCGGGAGACCCGTCAACATCTCGTACAGAAGCACACCCAATGTCCACCAATCGACAGTCTTGTTGTAGCCATTGCCCATCAGCAATTCGGGCGCCAAATACTCAGGGGTGCCGCAAAATGTGTTGGTGCGGTCTTCGTCCTTCATGTCCAGTTTGCAGAGACCGAAATCGCAGAGAGCAATGTGACCTTGGTAGTCGAGGAGAATGTTTTCCGGCTTGAGATCACGGTAAATGACGTTGAAGCCGTGGAGGCACTCGAGGGCGCACAGCAGTTCGGCCGTGTAGAAACGACTGCGGTTGACATCAAATCGCTGCTCTTTCTGCAAATGATGGAACAGCTCGCCACCGTTGACGAAGGCGAGGACGAAGTATAGCTTCTCAGGACTCTGGAAGGTGAACTTGAGCGGCACGATAAATGGGTTGTTGATCTGGGCCAGAACGGATCGCTCAGCGAGCGTGTGGGCGACTTCGGAACGCGAGATAATGTGCGCCTTGCGAATCGTCTTGAGAGCGTAGATACGGTTCGTGTCCTTCTTGCGCACCTGCATGACCTTACCGAAAGAGCCCTTGCCGACGACCTTGAGAAGCTCGAAATCCTCAATCTTGAGCTTACCGGCGCGGTTCTCCACATACTCGACACCAATCTTGAGCTTTCCGGTGCCATACTGGACGTCGACCCATTCCACACCGCTGTGTCCGAGAGCGCGCTGGTTGTTGGCAAACTCGGCGGCGGCCTTTTCACGGTCCTTCTTGCTGGCCTTGGGGTCTTCGACGAACTGCTGCTTCTCCTCGAATCTGGGGTTAATACGAACAACACCCAGGAAGATGTCTTGGCTACGGCCAGAGCCAGGAGCGGCGTTGGGGTTCCGGATGTAAAGATGTACTGCAAGTTCCGTAACTCGGGACACATCGAACTTGTACTGGGTATTCGAGCCGGCCCAGAGGGGGTTTTCTGGGTTGCCTTCGACCGAGTTGACAAAAACTTGGACCTTGTCGAAATCTATCAGGGCATAGGGCATGTACTTTGTGGAAATACGGCCGTGGTTCGTGGGAATAGCACCAAAGCCGCCAGAGCTCTGTGGACGCGAAGAGCCGCTCAGGAAGTTGGCGGTTCGCGACGAGTTGTTGGTTCGAATGGAGCCTGCTACGTTAAGGGCACTTCCAGTCGACATGGAGTTGCCGCCATGGCCTGAAGAAAAGACATTGCGGTACTGCTCGGGTAGCGAAAAACCGGAACCCTCGTGGAGGGTGACGACGAGGATACCGGGCTTAGGGGGCTTGATGATCGGGGCTTGCGTAAGGGCTTCGGAAGCGGCTGTGAAAGGAAAAGAGGTTAATCTTGTGATGGCCGAGTGAACGAGACGGGCTGAGCGCCTACCAATGGTGTTCTCGTTCGAAGGGGTGGCTGTTCCCGAGCTGCCCGCTTGGCTCTTGTCTTCCTTGTCTGTGATGGTGGAGGTAGAGGGCGAGCGGGAGAAGGTGCTTGCAAGAGGACCCAGATGGGTCTCCTTCAGCTCTGGTGTGCCAACATGTCAGACATGGTGTTCTGCCGGGGAGAAAGGAAAAGACGAGGGTTCGCCGACATACTCTTTGTAAGTTTCCACGACATTTTGCTGTCTGGCGGGACGCTGAGAGGAGAATGGACGTAGGTAGGGTGGACCAGCCGTGGGATACGAAAGGACTGAGGTTGGACGCCAATAGGAGGTTTGGCGGATAGGAGAAGAAGGAGGCAAGGAAGGTGTCCGTCCAGATAGGTTCTCTAGGATAAAAGCGAAGAAATGCGAAGAGGCTAGGTAGAGGATGGAAGGGTAGGGAGGGCAGGTAAGTTAGGGTGACGTGACAGGACGATCTCGATGTCGGCGTCGGCGTCGAAGGTCGGTGTCGGTGTCGATACCTCGGGTCGGTGACAACAGAGGAAGTGGACTGTGGAGGGAGAAAAGGAGGCCTGTCCGGAAATCCACACAAGGCTCTAATCGACACAGACTGGGAGGCGACTACTGTTTGGCGCAGCAGCAAGGTGGTGTGTAAACAAGACTCTTGTCTGTTGCAAGTGGATGGTTGTAGAGGTACAACAAGACGACGGGAGGAAGGCTGTGTGGGCGTCCTGGTGGGCGCGGTTCACAGCGACGGGAGCGCAGCAGGAATGGTGTGTGTTCAGCGGGCGGGATCCTTGTTAGTGGCTGATGCGGGACCAAAGGTGGAGGAGACAATCTGGTCCCGTCTCCTGGTCAGGTCGCTGGGCCTGGCTGCCCTGTCGCGGGCCCCGCTTTCTCTCCTTTTCCGCCCTCCTTCTTCCTTTCTGGGCCCAGTGATTCGCGGCAGGCTTGTTGGGCTAGGGGGTCAGCTAGGGGCCGTCACTAACAAAAACGAACAGGAGCACTTGGACAAAAGAAGTGCTGCTGAAAAAGTGGGGTGCTAATTGCCCGCCGGGGTCCAGTTTCTGTCCGCAGTTTCGGATTCAATCTCCAAATACCAGACATGTTGCAACAACCACTCTACCATTGAGACGATCAAAACAAGCCGACAAGATGAGCGGATGGAGAGACCCCAAGATCCAATATGCGCTAACAGCCCGACTTGTCAGATGCGGCCCGATGCCCAGGGAAAGCAATCTGACGGGTTCCGTGCTTCAGATTCAGAGCCATGCCAGCCATGCTTCTGGTCGTGTTTGAGGCTGATATGCCATCATGCCACTAGTCTAGAAGCTCAGCAGGGACCACCTCTGTTTCTCCAGGCACTCTGGTTGCCACCACGTTGCTAATTTTTGGGTTCCAATTTCCTTGGGCTCATCATAGTTTACGACACCAGCAAGATTACCCGACGGACTTGCAGTATAAATCTGTCGACAGGACCTCCGATTCATCTACGCAGACATATGCTGTAGCAAGGATACAAGTCAGACCCACGAGCCCGAGTCCCTGAACACGCCCTGGGCCAACCTGGAACGTCTGGTCGATCGACGTCAAGTCATGATCCCGGAGGCTTTCCATATCCAAGAGGAACAGGAACAGGACAAGATTGATAATGATGGGCAAGACAAAACAAGACTTGACATTAGCGGTGCCAGGGTGCGTCTAACTAAAACTTGATACACCTCTCGCAAGCCTTTTTTCGGTTTCAAATATGCCGAGAGCCATCAAAGAGGGGCAGAGGGGCAAAGACAAAGAAGAAGGGAAAAAGATCCCCCAGCCAAAACAACAGGGGGAGTTCAGAGCGTTGTCAGGTTGTTCCTCGATCTCTCCATGACAGCTAGGATCTGTCACGTGGTCTCCAACCAGGAGGACCTGGCTACTTGACTAGGGTCGCCGTTTCTCGGCCATCGATGCCCAGGGAGCCAGGCTTCATCATTTGTTTTTGTCTCCTTTTCACTCTGCATCACCCAAAAAAACAATTCTCGAATATGGATGGCAGTCGAAGCTTGGCAGTTGAAGCCCGGCATTACATGAAGCGCAAAATATTCAATCCTCCAACTCTCCAACCCCTCGAGGTTATCTTCAAACCCAAATATCAGTGTTGTTTTGTCACAAAATCCTGGTGTTCCGCCCGTACATTTACCATCCTTGTCTGTCGGCAAACTTCACTTCCTCTTCTCATCGACCTTCACTTCACCCTTCCTCGTTGCCGCCGCACTCTGAAGCAGAACCAAAACCCTTACTACTGCCAACGGCAGAGTTGCCAACATCAAGGTCCAGTCTGAGGCTTCCCATTCTCCAATTTTGATCCATTGACTCCATCCGCCTAGCCCTTGTATCACAGACCAGCTATACCCAGCATCACTGAGGAGCATGCCGACACAGAGCAGCTGCCATAGACGAACATCATTGTACAGCCGAAGGATGACGGCTTGGTTAAAGGCAAAGTACAGCCATGCACCCCCGATCTGCGTGTAGAGATATTGCGAGGGGGCATCGTAGGGCACAGATGCGCGCGTCATCATGGCCGCGTATTTGGCCGGCTGAAAGAAGACCATCAGAGCGCCGTTGATTGCGAAGAGGGGTTCGATATAGAGCAAGATGATGCGATAGAGAAGCGGGATAGTAGCCGTAGCAGAGGCCGTGGTAGTTTGAGATGTTGGCGCCATGATGATGATCCTTGGAGAGATACCGGTGCGGTACGTATGTATGTTTGAAGATGGGTCTTGGTTCAAGTGGCTGGGTTGAAGCCGGACCAAAATCATGGGGAAAGAGGTTTAAGTAGTTATTAGATGTTGCGCCGTGCCGGCAGCGTGGGGGTCCACTTGCTCGGACTATCACTCGGACTATCAACTAACCAGACAGATAGTAAGCTGACAGTCGGCGATCATGCGAGGTCAACCATTTGTTCTTTTCCATGCTTGAAGTTCGCGGTCTCACATAGCCCTTTTGGAACGGAGTATGCGGACAAACATCATGATGCTAACCGCTCATGAAAGATAGACATTGAGCCGAACACAACCACATACAACCAACAAACTAACGAGGTATCCTTTAAACTAGTCATTCATCGAATCACATGGACGATCAATAGCGAGGCGGTACTTCCGCAATAATGAGACGGGGACGAAGCAGTTATGATCCGGTCCTTTATCATGCACAAGGAGCAGAGAAGCATTGTTAACAAGTTGGATGATGGTATTCTCAGTTCATGTCATATTCCTGAGCACAACCTCATTGTTAACCGGTATTTGCTGATGAACAGTAGATTGACAGTAGTTCTGCTCGAAACTAGCTCCCGGAAAAGCCCTCGACCTGTTGTTGTTGTTACCACGGGAACATTCTAGTATAAGTAATCTGAGGTCCTCGACACTGCTAGCTATCCTCGGCGAATTCCCTATCCTTCTATGCTCCGATCATAGCTCAACCGAATCAACTCAACAGCCAAAATGCCCTCAAACCTTCCGGACAACATTCTTTTCATCGATCTGGAGCCCGCCAACCGCGTCGCTCACTGGATGATCAAGCTAGGACACAAGTACTCCGATAACCTTGGTTATTGGCACAGACAACGATCCAAGTCCTGCCGGGCGGGGACACTTCGACCAATAGGCCTTCTTCGACAACAACATGACGATTCGATTCCTCCTTCACATTTTGCTATTGAGGCCGATGCTGCTAACGATAATGATGATGATGATGATGATGCTGATGATGCCCCTAGTGACACCAACCGCTGGACAGACGTCGTCCAATTTGCGCAAGACTACATCAACAAGAAGAAAACACTACTCGCCGATGCCCCCAGACTCAAGTGTTGTATCTGCCAAGAGGAACTCTACTACGCAGGGTTCAACAGTCGCCGCGGAGACAGGCACACGGAAGCCGCGTGTGTCACCAGCTGTGGTCACATCATCGGCGCCATGTGCTACGAGAAGTGGCATATAGGCTGTCTGGTCCGAGGCGCCAGCTTCGAAAATGAAGACGACGACGAAGAAGGAGGAGAAGGAGGATATCGTCTTGGCACGGTGACGTGCCCTCTCTGCAGAACTGTGCTCCATTGTCAGAAGTGTGGAGAGCCGTGTGTGCCGTGGGATGCGGCCGATCAGTCAATTTTTATGTGGACGCATGAGAAGTTTCGTAAAGGGGGTGGTATGTATGTTCCTAGTTGCCGTCATTTGAAGTGGAGGCCGGGGAGGGAGAGGTTGGGGCTTCTTATCTGACTGGAGGACAGGTCGTTCATCGCGGAAGTCGGAGGGGGTATGAAGAATGATGAGGACTAGGTTGGTAGGTACGGCTTGGTGTCCCTTCAAGATGATGTTGAGCTTGATAACTGCAGGCAGGTTGACAATTTAGATCCATCCACACTTTTACCTTTGCCAGCATCTCTCCATAACGGAACCCTTCGTGCAATCGATGATGTGAAGTCCTCGGAATGTAGGTGACGCTTTACAGCCACACTGAATCTTAGACTTTGATGATTGCTGACGTACTAGACTGTAGTCGATATCTGACATACCTCTCAGGTTTGAAATTTCCCTTCCTTAGTGTCCGCTACACTGCGCTGCCTGATGCGCGGAAACGCAGCGTGGATATGGCATGATGGTAAACTGAATCTGGTGATGATGACTTCTAATCTATAATAGTGTCTGACGAAAGCCAGATAACGACCGTCCTTATGCAACGAGCTCACGTTCGTCAGACGAACGCGGCTTCCAGAACGCAATTATGCTATAGAGTAGGTGCGACGGGGATGTCCCGCGTCACTGCCCCCCTGAGCTACCCGTGGACACTCGGGAAGTACTCATGCCAATGCTAATCAATGGTCCGAATTATACATCATTTCGGTTTAAAAAAGCGTCTATGTGGCTGGTATACTTTGATACCGTTGCCAGAAGCATTTATACGCTTTACTTGTATACCTTTCCCTTCGTCCCCTGATGGCATCGAGAAGGCTCGGTGATGCCCACGAGCAAATGCAAATGGCCAGCCCAGCAAATCCAGTTGTTCATGCCCCAAAGGATCATGGTACAAATACGCTTATAACTGTCTTGCAAAGTTTAAGGGCGGAATTATCATGCCGACGAGGTTGATCATCACTGGCATTCAATGATGAACAAGCCCCGAGACCCAACAAGCCGACCCGCAAGTGCGGCTCACCACGTGTGTTTGATTAATTAACACCAACCCGTCCTTAAAAGCCGAAGAACACTCCCGATTGAGATACTCTGCGGATTGACTGACCTGTCTTTGTTTCCTGCCTTGGTTTACACTGTTGAAGCTGTGTCGGTATTGATGAGATCCCGGATATCATCTCCGCAAGAACGCAAACAGGATCGGGTCCTGGCATCCACGGGAGACTGCCGGAGACAGTATACCTACTAACCGCAATATTTGTTCTAGAGACTCAGTTCTTGCAGTCTGAAGCCTGAATTGGAGTCATCATCTCGATGGTGGCTTCTTATCCGCTTTGAGAAGCTCATATTATGGAGAAAACCAACGCGGGCAGCGCCACTTCGGCCCTTCTTCGTATTATTACGTAGAATTTTTACTTCGTTTTGCTTTTTTTTCGTCGCTCTTTAAACAAGATTCACGATCTGACATCTTCCCCACGCACACGTGTTATCCTCGTATTCCTTCCCTTAGCGCGTGGAGTGATTCAAATATCCACAAGCGAATGACATACGATCGTTGATTCCACATCGCAACATGTAAGTAAGGTAAGTAAAGAACAATTTCCACCGAGGAGGCTCTCGTTAACTTCAACCTCACAGTCAGGGATTACTGTCATCAACGCGGGAACCCAGCAGTTTGATTGTGCCGCGATGCGAAGGTTGTCCTCACCTAACCGCTTGACCGACGCCACTACATGTATGGTGGGTGTTTGCTCGTATATATGCTGACCAAAGCGGATCTCTACCGGTCGCCCTGGGAAACATTTGGATATGATCTTGACAGTCCCGTTCCATTTCCGGCAGCTTTGTAATATCACAGCATTGTTATTTTCAAGGTACGTGCCGCATTCTCCGTGATCGCCAGCCCTACCGTGGTAAGACCGAAAGTTGCGGCAACGTCACAGTCATCTAGTGTAGCGCATCAACCCATCAAAAAGAAATATCCACTCCTTCAAAATAGAACGGGATGATGCCAGAAGAATTTTGAAGTGGATCTAAAAGCATTTGAAGCACTGATCGGCTCAAAGTGTTCTATGAAAAGTTTGAGGTTTTCGGTACTTGGCTGACATGGGGGGGACGTAGGCCCTCCGACTGTACCTCAAATCATTCAGTTTGGTTCTCAAACTGAAGATTACCAACATGGCGAGATTCCAAGGCAGTCAGCTGGTCAATACGTGAAGACGGATTTTATGTGCCGACGGGGAAAAGATGAGAAACAGCTTCTCTTCTGCGCTCTCCGAGACTCCGGGTGGTTGGCAACAACTGTTTACCGGTCCAGGGAGGAGTGAACGGTGTGAAGAAACTTCCAGAAAAGGGAGGAAAGAACTGATGACGAGCGCAACCAAGCAGGTTCAACATGCTGAGCCAACTGCATCGGCACTGGGGTTCCGACCAGTCAAACGTTCGGGGCGAAAGGGTTCCTGCAACTGGTCAAAGCCACCCGGGCCGGACGAACAAAGGACTTTTTCGATATCCAATCACATATTTCTCCAGCTTGAATGGCACCTTTGTTTGGGCCTCGTGGTTACCCATCGACTTTGTTCTCTGCCCTCATTCCCAACGCCGCATGGCGTGTTGTCTTGGCTTTTGTGCGCTGACAGCCATTCAAGATGCGTCTCTGACAGTTATTTCCGGGGGAAAAGGGACACTGTTGCACCACATCGAGATGACAACTCATGGCCATGCAAATCGCTTCCCCCTAAGAACGGTTGTAAGAAGCTGTGTAACTCGTATTATGAGCATCGCTCGAGATTCGTTCGCTTAGTCGAGCATTTTGCACTTTGCAGGTCCAACGGTCAGAATCAGATGACACGAAAAAGAGAGGGGAGAACAACACCATTGTCACCCTCTTCGTCATCATCATCACCATCATCACCTTCCCCACATCATATCAACAAAAGTTTACCATCAGGGTTTCCCCACACAAAGTCCCAAGAAAACCCATCGTCAAAAGGGAAGGAGGTTGATAACAGCAACTGAGCTTTTGCGGGCGGCTACTTGGCAGACAACGTCACCGGAAGAACTCCACAACAAGCACCGTCTAGACCACACACCATCGGTCCCAAGCGCGAGCCAAGCCCCTCTCCAGCGTGGAGAGCGGGTATCTGGCCGGTTAACCGAAACTGATTGGCATTGGGTGGAAGGACAGGCCGATGGACGGGTACCATGGCTTGGGATGGCAGGTGGAAAGGTTACGACCCTTGTTTATCCGGTCTTGATAAAACCCCTGATCCCCTGTCAGCTCACCACCCACAATGCTACCTCAACACCCACAATGCTACCTCACCACCTGTGTAGGGCGCCACTGGATGCCAAATATTGCCTAGATCTCGTATTGCCCAGCTTCTGTCCGCTTTGGGAATGGCACCTCGGCCTTTTTCCAGGTCCCGGGGCCAAGGCTCGCCCCAGAGATTATCGATCATAGTGGCTGTCGGTTAAGGATGGGGAGATATTTTCGTCCTTTTTTTTCTTTCTTTTATAAAAGAGGTGCGGTCCCGTTCGGGGCCACCAGAGAGCCCTCCTCTCCGGTTTCTTTCTTGCTTCTACTCCTCGCTGCAACAAGGGAAATAGTCGGCCCTTTGTAATATCTAATACCACCCGCAGTCGCTCGTTTGTCTGCAGATACGGCAAGGACTTATCTACCAGGATCACCATATACTCTCGTTGTTACTCCAGGAGTCGGTCGTTTTTTCATATCAGCAAGCAACTAAGGATATCGCAAGGACACAATGCGCGCCGCTACTCTTGCTCTGGGGGCCCTGTCCCTTGGCCTGGCTCAGGCATGGACGTATCCTGAATGTGTAAGTGATCACGCCTCTACAGGTATAACACCCATGCCACTAACACGGGATATCAGGACCCTGACAACTGTTACAATGAGATGACGGACGGGCGGTTCTACGCCCAGGCCAAGGAGTTTTGTCCCGGGTTTTTGGATGGAAGCGTTAAGAACATCCCGGATTATCTCGAGAACTGCAACAACGATCGCACGGCTGTTAGCTCTGCCTGCTCCTGCGTCACCTATACCGCAACTCACACGACCGAGGCCCCTACCACCATGACCAGTGTTCCTCCCATGACGACTACGACCACGGACGATGATTCAGATTGTGAGGATGAGACTTCAACGGACGTAACTGTGCCGCCCTCGTCCTCGGCGGCCGTCAGCGTTCCTCCATCGTCTTCCGCCACCATCACCCTTCCGCCTTCTTCCTCGGCGGTTAGCACCTCGGCGCCCGCTTCTTCTAGCACCACCGATGATGACTGCGATGAGACTTCTTCGGATGTTACTCTCCCGCCCTCTTCCTCGGCGACCGTCAGCGTTCCACCCTCTTCTTCGGCCACCGTCAGCGTTCCGCCCTCTTCTTCGGCCACCATCACCGTTCCTCCCAGCTCCAGCTCCGCGGTTAGCAGCTCCGCTCCTGTCTCTTCTACTACCGATGAGGGTTGCACAGACGACGAGCCCGAGACTTCGACTTCGGTTGTGGTCGTTCCCTCTTCGTCCGTCCCCGTCACCATCACTTCCGCGGCCCCCGTCTCCTCCACCACTTCGGCCCAGGAGTCCGATACCACCGAGTGGACGACCAGCACCATCGTCACCACCACCACCCGCACCATCACTCAGTGCCCCGTCACCGTGACTAACTGCCCTGCTCACTCCACCACCGTGACCACGGAGACCATCACCATCGGCACCACCGTCTGCCCCGTTACTTCCACTCCTGAGTCCTCGGTCCCGGTTACCGCCACCTCCTCGGTTCCCGTCACCGTCATCCCCAGCGTGACTTCCTCGATCCCAGTTACCATCACTTCCGCTGCGCCTGTGTCCTCGACCTCGGCTGCTCCCGTCGAGTCTTCTTCCGAATCCTCCATCGAGTGGACCACCAGCACCATCGTCACCACCACTACTCACACTATCACCAAGTGCCCCATCACCGTCACGGATTGCCCGGCTCACTCGACTACCGTCACCACCGAGACTATCACTATTGGCACCACCGTTTGCCCTGTTGAGCCTACTTCCTCCTCGGTTCCCGTTACCATTCCCATCGTCGCCTCCTCGGTCCCTGTTACCATGCCCAGCTTTACCTCGGCTGCTCCCGTCATCAGCTCTAGCGCCGTCGTCGTCGTCCCCCCTCCCGTTGTTTCCAGCTCTAGCGCTGTCCACAGCGTCACCACCTCAGCCACCGGCCACGTCTCTGTTCCCCCTGTTCCCAGCAGCTCCAGCGCCGTTGTCGTTCCTCCTCCTGTTCCCAGCAGCTCCAGCAGCGCTGTCATCAGCAGTGCCGCCCCCGTCCCTGTTCCTAGCAGCTCTTCCGCTCCGGCTGTTTCTGCTCCTCCCGCCGTCAGCTCCTCCGCTCCTGCCGTCTCCGCTCCTCCCGCCCCGGTCAGCAGCAGTGTCGGCACCATCAGCTCCGTCGTCCTACCCAGCTCCAGCGCTATTCCGCCCCCGCCTGTGCCGGCTGGCGCTAATGCTGCGGCGAGGAACGGGTTGTTGGGTGTTGCGGGGTTGGTGTTCGCTCTTCTTTAAGAGGGATACCTACCTGGTATCTTAAGCTAAAGAGCGTGGATCTACGAAACCTACAATGTGGAGGATGAATTTATGATTTTGGATATATGAAGGATTAGGATTTGATTGATTGATTGATTGGTTGATGGACATACATGCTTAGCATAACATGACATAACATAACATAATTCACTTCTTGTTTATACTTGGAATAAACGGTGTTTATCAACTTCCTAGTTTTCTCTTTTGCGTATCAGTGAGCCAGCGCACCTTGCATTGCGAGACTACTATCCTAATCATCACTGAAATTATTGTAGCCATAATCTCGGATCGTTGCGTCGGTGCCTAACATCTACTACTCTGTGTGCCCTTCCTTGCACTTGGAGACACTTCTGAGTTATCTGCCAACTCAACTTTCAAACCACGAACTCACAACAAACAGTAACAGTCGGTCGGTCCCGACAACCCGACCGACATGGAAGCTTCCGTCCCAGTTCCCACGTGTAAAAGCCGTGTCTCGGCTTCTGCCGGCACTTTTGCCTTTTGCCTTTGTCTTTCATCCAGCGTCGCATAGTGAGACAGTCAGCCATTGTCAGTCATTGTCTCACCTCTCGGCAGTCGGGAACCAAAGGAATGACATGACCCGGACGTACGGTCAGACCCAAGTACCCGGGTAGTCGGTTTAGGTTAAACCCCTGATCTTGGATCTCTCACTTTGTTTGTTTGGAACAAAGGAACAAGGGACAAGGGAACAAAGAGTGGGCGGGTAGAGCTTCCATGGGATTTCTGGAAGTGTTCCGTTACTGGAGACCAAACGAATAGCTTAAGTTGACTGTTTGTAGATCGGTCGGGGAAGGAAACAGTCAATCGGTGCCGACGATTATGGTCCGTACGGTTTCGGGCAGCTGAAGATCTGTGAGCGTCTAATCCTGGCTTTGATATACCGTTCTCTCGATCGGTTTCGTAAGAGTCCAAGTTGGTTCATCTCGATTCACCTTACTGATCCTTCACATGCGTATAACTTTTGAGGCCCAAATGCCTTGTTGATCTAATCTCTACTGGCTCTGGAAGAAGTCTTCCTAAACAACCAATACTCTCTTACTGATATACGCTCGTCACAGTGATCCTATTCCTCAAAAACATTCGCTGAATCTTTTAACTGATATCCGATCTTTCCTTACACACTACAACACCCCTGTAAAGAGCCTTCCTATGACTTAGACACTCTCCTCCCAGCCTTTATCACCCTCCCCTTGTCCAGCACAATCTCAAAGTCCGCATCCGTCACCGCCTCCACCTTGTGCGCAATTGTAATCACGGTGCTGTACCTCAGCTCTCTCCTCAGCAGCTGGTGAATATACGCTGCCGTCTCCACGTCAATCGACGCCGTCGCCTCGTCCATGATCACAATAGCACTCCTTCGCAGGATTGCCCTGCCTAGCCCCACCAGTTGGCGTTGGCCCTGGCTGAGGTTCTTGCCCCCGCCGTCGACTCTGGTGTCAAGCGTAAAGCCGTTGTCCAGGACCGTCTTTAAGACATGGGCCCGCTCGTCCTCACTGTGCTCGTCTAAGGGGTCGAGATTATCCCTTAGCGTACCGGCAAAAAGGACCGGATCCTGCGCCACAAAGGTTATGTGTCGACGCAGTATGTGCTTGTCCACTTTGGCGATGTCAACGGAACCTATGCGGATCTGACCGCCTGTACCCGCATCAGGCTGGATCGTGCTGAGCAGGGCATATGCGAGCGTGCTCTTGCCGGAGCCAGTCCTACCTATCACCGCCACAGTCGAGCCGCCGGGAATGACCAAGCTCACGTCCATCAGAACGGGGTCGAACTCTGGTGCGTAACGCAACGTCACCTTGTCGAAGACGATGTCATCGGTATAAGAAGGCCAACCAGCTGGAGGGGGGTTGTCAGTGTTTTCTTGCTCCTGTTCGAGGCCAAGAAGCTCGATGATGCGCTCGACGCTAACAAATTGCATTTGCATGTCTCCATAACGACGGCAGACTTGATGCGTGCTCTCCACAAAGTTGGCAGCGGCAGCTAGTACGAAGCCGACCATGCCGCTGGATAACCCGTGGAAAATGGCTGTCAGGGTCAGGGCGTAGACAGAGAAGCCTGATACAAGATCGAAGCGGTATTGTAACCAGGCCTGCAGTGACCAGTAGATGTGGTCCATCTTCTGGAAATCATCGGTTGTGGCGATGATGCGATTCTGAAAATGTGGTTCTGCGCGGAAGGCACGTACCGTGGTCAAGCCTTCGAGAAGCGTGCCGAAATTTGACAAAAGCGGCGATAGGGAGACCATTTCCAGACGACGCAAGTCCTGGGATGCTGGTAGGTACAGATTATACATATAGACGAATAACGCGGTCATGCCAATGCTGAGCACAATGAAGACCGGTGTTGCTGTTGCTATCACGAACATCGAGGTCATCCAGCCCAGAGAATAGAACGCTAGGGTTAACACCTGGACCGCAATCTGCCCGTCAATCGTGCCAATGTCGGAGGTAAGACGATTCATGAGCCGGCCAACAGGTGTCACATCGTAGAAGCGGAATGTGGCATTCGTGACACAGCGCATGGCCTTGGCGAAGAGGGATTTTCCAGCATTGTAGATGATGGCGATGAGGGCAACATCGGACAGAGCTTCGAACATGACCTGAACCAACGCAATGATGGCTAGGCAGATAAGCCAAGGCCGTACGTTCTCTGCAGGTGGAGGAAGCTGTCGGCCAGGCTCAATGATGCCGTCGGTCTTAAAGCCAGAGTGGGAGATGAAAGCTTGTAATCGGTGATCGAGCTCGGTTGACTTCCGATATTGTTCGCCCCATTCCTTTAAAAACCAGTTATAGCCGAGGTTGGTCAACCGGATGAGTAGACAGAGCGTAACCATCGTGGCCCACCAGGAGAGTTTACCAGCCTTGACATATTGCCAGTATACGGTGGCCATAACACCACCATGGACCCTGTGTTCTTCCTGGATAAACTTTCCAACCGCCGTAGCCATCTCGGCCTCTTCATCGGACGAGGAAGCCTCGGTATTTTGGCTGGTAGAAGATTCGGCGCTTGGTGAGCTCTCCGGTGCTGTAGCGGCCGGTGCTTCCAGTTCCTTCTCGTGTTCCGCAATCTCCCTTCTGTTAAAAGTCTTTACTTGTCCACCAGACACAATATCCAGAACTTGATAGGCATATTGCTTAACAATATCAACGCGGTGAGTAACCAGTACGATCAACCGGCCCGCAGTCAGTGGCGAATTTTTGTCGGCAAAGAGGTTGCGCGTGATGGTTTCGGCAGTTTGGTGGTCAAGAGCGGCAATAGGGTCATCGAGAAGTAGAATCCGACTCCTGCTATAAACAGCCCGGGCCAGAGCCACACGAGCTCGTTGTCCCCCAGACAGTCCAACACCATTTTCTCCAATAAGGGATCTATCTCCTCCCTTGAACTGTCTGAGGTCTTCCACAAGGCAACATGCCCTGAGGACCTGCCAGTACCGCGTCTCGTCAAAGGGGGTACTGAATAAGATGTTTTCACGGATACTCATGCTCTCAAGCCATGGCATTTGAGCACAGTATCCAATCATCTCGACAGGGACACTCCTCTCACCAGAATGCTGATCGAGCTCGCCCAAGATAGCTTGCAGTAATGCCGTCTTGCCAATGCCAACCTTACCACAGACCAAGGTTAAACCGGGCTCACAAACAAAGGAGACGTTATCGAGCACTGTTGTATCAGAGCCTGGCCACGAGAAAGATGCATCCCGGACAGAAATCTCCAGATTACCCTGGTGGAAGACAGGGGCGGCTGTTTCGTCATCTTCGTTGTCGTCCTTGTCTGGCTCCAACATAAAATCCTCGATGCGACGCATGGCAACTCTGGCGTTGATCAGAGCTGTGTAGAGTGGAGGCAGGTCGCGGAGGTTGTTCTGCAACATGGTGAATAGACCAAGAGCTGGGAAGGCAATGTCGACTGTTAGAGGCTTGCGCAGAATAAGCGTATATGCCGCGAACCCAACAACAGGAAACATGTAGGAGGTAATGTTGTTGATGATGTTGATGCCTCTGCTGACAACATTGCTTTTGATGCGTTGGAACAACTCTTTCTGTCGAGTTTCCATAATATGCCCAAGCCATCGGTCCTGCCAATCGTACCAGCGAAGATGACGGAGTGATTCCACAAACTGACTGGTGCGCTCGAGCTTGACGTCGGTTGTAGCACGGCGCTCTTGCTCTACCCTTTCTAGCAAGCCCATCATAAAATAGTTCACAACCATGCCGAAGCCGATGACAAGTATGCCGAACAATGAGGCAGACCCTAAGATCTTCCACAGAAGAACGATGGATATAATGACACTGAGTGGCTTTGTGACGAGTGCTGATACCTCCCAAAATCTTTGGGCCACCTCATACACGTCACCGCGAAGGAGGTTGAGGATTTTTCCAGTTGATGCAGGCGCCTCCTTTTCTCTTTGGGGTGGGGCTACGGGTTTTTGTTTTGAGGCCTGATACATCCCCCTAGCCCAAGACTTGAGACTCCGGAGTCGAGAAGGTTTAACGTCCTCGTTGTTAATATCATCCAGGGTATCATCTTCTTCCCCCAACAAGGTAGTAGTCTGCGAGCTTGGCGTGGACACTTCCGTCGCGATAGTGAAGGCCTTCCGGCGCAATGTCTTGTCGTGAATCATGGTGATCATTTCGCCGCGCGACCGCTCGTAGTTGCGTCGTTCATACCATATTCTGAAGACGCCAGATTGAGCCTTGAGAAGTCTTGCGATAAGAAGGAGGCTGGCATAGACGATGGCTGCCCGGATGGCGGGAATTTCGGACACGAGTGCATTGAGAAGCTGCTTGAGTAGAATGGGTTCTGACAATTCAGCCAATGTCTCGAGTGTTCCGAGGCATATTGTCAGGATGAAATCAAGACCATTCGCCTTGAGCAACCTAACGAGTACAGTGCCAGTCAAGTCTCGAAAAAGGAGATGCAGTTGCTGGTGCTGGAAGTCGGATGCCAGAAGCCACACGTCTTTATCCTGCAACTGCCTCCTGCAGGCAGTAGATATCAGGGGTGCCATCCAGGACACAGACATCCACTGCCAAAGAGTGACTATGTCTTCAGGGCTTCGTACACTGGAATCCGGCTTAGCAAAAGGCTTGCCAATCTTGGAGCTACTCAACAGCGGATCTCGCAGTGGCATGTTGAGCATGACGATGATGGATGCTAGAGTTACGCAACTACCCCCGGCCCAGGTTCCAAAGCAATTCCATGTCGTTCCGATGGTGTCTGGAGCAAGCGTGGTTACTGTGAGTTGGACGGAGAGAAGCGTGGCGGCGATGATAAAGAGCGACCTTCGAACAGTCCTGGGGCGATCAACGAGAATGAGTAATGCCGATAGTATCTGCGCCGGAAGTCAGTACGAAGTCCAAGAATGGTCACTGTGTGTTACCAATGTGTCGCATCTTACATTGGGGATGAGAGGTATGAGATGTAGCTGGATTTCAGTGGGGTTTTGATGGGCCATGGCAGCACCAAATATGCTGATGACGGCACCAGTGAGATTGAGACCCAGCAGACATAATGTCCAGCGTGTCCATATCTTCTTACGAGAAAACACAATCGGTCGTCGACACGGCAGTAGCGGAGTATCTTCGAAGCTTTCGTCATGGTTGGCGCTGGCTTCTTGATCGTGAGTTTGAAACCTGGCCTCGTCGTCCTCTGCCGTGAAGTTTCGTAACCAGATGGGGCGCCATCGATCGAACCAAATCAATGCATAGTGAAGCACAAAAACCAAGAGTGAGATCCACACGGGAATGTGGCCAACGATGCCAAGACAGTGCGGTCCAAAGTTGGCGAGAGAGGGTATCTGTAGATGTGTGTTAGCGATGAGTTTGCGACACAGCCTCGGGTGTTACTTGAAGGCGCCGTAAGCAGGAAAGGCTCGGATACGGTATCCGCGTATCCTTGCCCGAGGGATATAGAAACCAGAGCAGGAAGATGATAAAGTATTTGATGGCACATACCCAGAATTCCCGGCAACAGCTGTAGCATGGCCATAGACCGGCTAAGCCGTATGCTGTGGTGTCTGCCATTTTGATATGGAGGAGGAAACACGTGCGATGAGTTTCGTGGTATTCTCGCGGTGAAGATGGCTGTTGCTGTTGGGTGTCGCTATGGCGGTTGCTGGACCCTAGCGTAGCCCGCCGGAAAAGCGTGAATAGGATGTGAAATCCAAAAGGGTACGTGGTAGAAAAGCCTGCTGCCAGTACATATGTATGTATGTATGGTTTTAGTGTGGTTGTTGGATGGTGTTTCTTTTCGACATGACCGCCTTCAGCATGCTATGTAATATTGACGCATGCTAATGTTGCCTTGCCTCACGCAGGGCGAGGACGCATTGGAATAAGCTTTATGGGGCCTGAACGATGCTGACCGATGTAGTAAAATGAGGTGGTTCGAAAATGTTCAGGCTCTAATGATGGTAAGACAGCAAGCAAACGAACCCAACACTTGCAGCAGTAAGAGACGGAAAAAGACGTTGAGAGGTTGAAGAGAACAACGAAAGGCAAACCTCGAATTGATGATGGTTGGATTCATAGGAAGAGGATGAAAAGAGACGAGGACGGCAGAAACAAACGTAAGCCTGGAGAACTGAAGTGATTCGATTTGCAGGAAATAGCTTCCTCTAGGCCAGTGGTGCCTGCCTCACAGCAAAGCCCTAGAGGCAGGTGGTCCTCGGTGGTCCACGGATATCGAATGTGTTGTCCCCGCCTGCTGCGAGTTGAGGTGGAATTGAGGTGGAATTGAGGTTGTAGCCGAGACGCTAGAATCCCTAGTCTTTGGCTCTCAGTGGCCCATACCTTCCGAGAGCCACACGTTAGCGCGGGGCAGGAGGCCCAGACGACGCCGGCAGTCCTTCGGGTACGTCTGCCCTGGGCTAGAGGAAACAAACAAACCTCATCCTGATCCGTGTGAAAGGCTCGGGAACTGTTCAAGCCGCATCTAGTTGATGCGGATGCGGGAATGGAGGAGGTGGTGATGCATTGTGATGCCGCCGTCTCGTTGAGGCAAGGTGACAACTGGCCAATAACCTCGGGGCTTTCCGGTCCCGACCATACAGAAAATGCACAAGCCATATCGATATTCCCATCTTGGGCTGTTGTCTCCTCTCTATGAACAAGACCCTTGACGCCGCCCAAATGACTTTTTTGAAAACCAGAGAACTTGAAAAGAAAAGAAAATCACATTCCCGGGGGTATAAAGCTTAAACCAAAAACAACAAGAAACCCACACATTATGCACCCTTTATGACCCCCCGCCCCCGCCCCGGCCCCGAGACAATGCGGTTGTCTCACCTGCTAGGTCCGCTGCCCCCCACTCCGTCCCCGAGTATCGTTGTGCAGCATCATCCGACACTCTCCATTTTGGCGATAGCGCTTGTGTCGACATCTCGACAGGTTGGCGATCGCAACCCTGGAGCTCCGCTAGGTCCCGTTCTTCCATTTTCCTTGCTTTCTTTGGGGATTCGGGTTGAGGTTCCTCTCCAGTATATGCCAAATCATATGGCGATTCCCAGTTGAACCCGCTCTTGCGTTGATCGGTCGGATTTGACGAGGGCCTCCATTTGGAGTCGTTTGACCATTCGCCCGAGTTCCCTGAGGTACTGCCCTCCTCAAGAGCGCGCGCTTCAGCCGGAGTCGGTATAAGCAGCATATTGCCGTGCTGCTCTGGGAGCATCGGGTGCGACTCTTCCCCATCCTTCTTCCTCTTATATCGCACAAACAGCATTAATAGGCCCGCCGACACGGCCACGCCTGCCACAGTCGAGCCAGCAATGATTCCCGCTTTTGCCCCCGTCGATAACCCAGCATCCTCGTTCACTTTACCATTCCCTGTCCGTGACGACTCGGCATCACTTCCGGCCGTGGCTGTTTCCTCTGGTGCGTTTTTGACAGTGGTTCCCGTGGGTGATATCGACGTTATGAACGAGGTGGGCGCCGAAGTCAGAGTCGAAACTGTGGTTGAGGTCTTGGTTGCTATCGCCTTGGCCGGCCTCGCCGTGCCAGTGAAGCCAGCAGCTGAATAGTACTGTTCTTCGCCAACATTCAGAGGCGTATTATTTGCGGCACATGTGGAATTCAACGTGCCATACACCTCGGCAAGGTCTCCGGGATCCGACTCTGCCAAACACCTGGCCGTCCCCGTAACGAAATTTCCTCCATTGTTGCAGAAACATGAGTTCGCCTCAGCAAGTGTTCCCGCCGCACAGTTGGATGTGGTAGATGCTTGGTTCAAGCAATCATACGCATCGACCGGATAGTCGAAGGAGTCGATATTGACAGCGGCGCATGGAATGGATGTGAGAACAAGCGCGATCAGAGCTGGCGGGAGGATTGACAACCTATGCAGTCCGAGCATTGTGTCCGAGTCTGTTGTACTGTCGAAGAAACTCGAGTTCTCCAAACCTCACTGATAGCGAGCATAAACGAAAGACAAAATCCATCCAGCAGTGAAACCAACAGAGTAGCGAGCGTGGTGAGTGGGAGCATGAGAAAGATAGCAGAAGCGGAAAAGGAGAGGAGAAGAAGAAGAAGAAGCAGGATGCTGACGAGAAGGACGACGACGACGCGGTTCAAGACGCTAAAAGAACCCATGCACCCACCACCTTGGGGAGATGGGTCCCCAGGTCCCCTTCTCGTGCAACGGTGCAGTCCCCTTGTCTGGGGCTGGGGAGAGCTTCACCTGCCTTGCTGGGCGGGCATTGCGGCTGAGGCGTTGACCTTGGGCTAGGCTAGGCCTGGCTTGGTCAAGGGTCTCTATCCCATTTGGTGTTAGGCCCCATAGGCCCGTGGCTCGTTAAACGTTAACGGCGGTTTTGATGAGCGGAAATCGAGACCTCGACGAGTTGCCCTCGTTGCACCATCCAAGCCCAGTGTATTTACGCCAGTTTCGGGTGCTTCCCCCCCACTTGGCTGCCATCTGTTGGTTGTCGGCGATTTGGCTTTGGCGCTTCCAGTGGGTGAGGAATGACGTGAGATTTGGTCTCCAGCGTCTTGAAGTGATGGCAAGAATTTTCCCTTCAGAACCAGACCGTGATGCTTCCCAGAGGAACTCGACATCGCGACTGGATCGCGGCCCCAGATCCTTGACGGCGGGACAACCGCCATCAGAGAAGGGCCCGTCAACTCGGCAAACTGACGGCGTGCAACAGAGTACAGCGTCCCAGGCACGCGGCAATCTGTTGCGGCATCGTCAAAGGCACGCAGCACGCCTGTGGCACAGCTTTCCAGCGCGCTTGGAATCCATGCCTCAATGCCAGCGATGGCTAACGACGTGGCATCGTAAAATCCACGGCCATGGACATGGTGCACATGGATGGTCCATAGGCTACCGCGGAACTTGGGAATTGAGGTGGTGTCCAGATCGGGTCATGTTTTTCGAGATTGAGATCTGTGGCTTGATAAGCAATCATTGTCGTAGAACCCAGTTGGAACATTGAAGCCGTTATTGAGACAATATTCTGGCCCTTCAATTGAAAACACTGGTGTGCAAATCCAATGCCATTGTCAAGAGGTTGCATTATCTCCCGCAGAAGCTCATCGGGTTTTGGGAAGATGGGACAGCGAACGGACCACCGCTATTCGTCAGGGCAGAGAACCAGAAATCCATAGGGCAGACTTCGGACAACCAGAGAATCACCACCTGTCAATGTTGTGTGTTTAATCGAATCGAGTACCTTGACGATCCTGAATGTCCTTTCATCTCGATGAATATGCATGTTACAGATGGAGTGAGCCTGCTGTGTAGAGGAAGAGAAGCTCGCCATCTCAGTGTGCTTGTGCAGTGTTGACGCTAGTTCCGGTTTGCCGGCCGGCACCAACTGGCGCATAAGCAGTCAAGCTCGTACAAAATATTTGCCATAGACAAACTCACAGGACTATAGGAAAGCCTATATCTTGTACACTTCCTTGGGCTTCAATCACCTTCGATCTCTGCAGACGGATACGAAGTTGCTCTTCATCAAACAAACTCGCACCTTTTGCCTTCTTCAACAGCGAATAAGTAGCTCACGGAGCGCACCTCTCACCATGGGTTCCATTCACTCCCCCGACCATGTTCCACGCATTCAGCAGGGCATCTATGGTGTATCGGAGTATATACGATGTGAAGGCGATGGCGAAAGCGGATCAGATGATTCAAGCTATTGACCTCAGTCAGCGGTGATTTTCATCACCAAGCTGTTCTTCCATCCAATATCGGCGGTAATACCTGTCACCACATTACGCCCGTGGTTTCCATTTCTACCATTCACCAGTTCCTACCATTCACCAGTTCCTACCATTCACCAGTTCCCGCCTGCTGAGGTCGACAGCAGGCCTCGGTACATCCCGTCTGGGGTTACAGGGGTTGACTGCCAACGCTCCAGCCACGGTCACACCTTCCAACAGGAACGTTGGTGAGCCCCTCACTTTTCCAAAACAACAACAGCAGTCGCGGGTGACAGTCGAACATAGCCTGGACAGATCAGTCATTCGTTGCGTATTCGTTTGCGTGTCTCATATAAATCCATTCACATCAAGCCAGCCAAGTTGTTCATCAAGTCGAGTACCTAGTTGACATAGTATATATATCCTTATCCCCCCGAATCTTCTGACCTCTTCGTTTGCGAGGTATCGAGTCTCCTTGGCCAGGTATTCTTACGATACAACAGTCAAGTTGTTCAGCTTATGGCGGTAAACAATGGCCCCTTTTTTCTCAAAAAGTTGACATGTTCACAAGAGAATGGGCCACGTCTAAACCACGACCAGTCTCGCTCACGCTCTTGGCTTATACAAAGCTGTCCGCAGGACAATGCCATTGTTCTCCTACACATCAGCGGATCCTGAGCTCGGTGAATGTTTATGTCGCAGTGGCCGCATAGGGATCAAGGTTCGGATCAAGGTTCGTCGTCCTGAACAACGCAGTTCAACCTTGCTGTTCTTCTTACTGTTCAGATGACAGTGACTCAAACTCACCCTTGGCCTCGCTATCCTGTTGCGACCGTGTATACGACCATGTAAAGGTTTAAGGTTTACTGACAGTCAACTCCCTCTTCCAAGGGTACTTAAACTTCTCCCACCTAAGGGTAAGCCTCCCAAATTTCTCTCTCCTGACACCACTTGACCAACCGCTCACTGGCAACCATCAAGATCCCCATTCAGGTACCTCACAGTACACGACGACGAAGCACCCAAGACACCAAAAAAACAACCGCACATAACAAAAACAATAAGATGGCACCTTCATCATCTACCAACGACCTCGTCCAGCTCTTGAGCAAGCTGACGGTCGGAAACGACTCCAGGCGCAGACCCAGGGGCTACCCGCGACCCGGCGTCCTTCAACTTTCCAACGGAACCGAGATTCACAACCTTCCCGTGCCGACCGCGAAACTTCCAAGCCGACTCTGGGAGAAGAAGGCGCACGATGCCTTGCCCATGATATACTACGAGCCGCCACTCCCCATGCCCCCTCGTCCACAAGGACTCTATTATCACGGCTGGAACACCGATGTCGTTGGCCTTCCCACCATCCCTTCTCTGTTGGCTATGCCCAGAGTCTTCCCTGCTCACCAAGGATTCGCCGAATGTAGCTCGCCAGTCATCGAGCACGTCAAGCATTCAGACTATGCGGCCCTGGGCTTCTGTGTGCGAGACGCCCGCGTTGATCCGGCCGCCACGGTGCCCCCCTGTACGCTCGATCCCCAACTGGCGCACACCGGAGTGGTGCGAACATGCGCCGACCGCTGCCATCTGGAACCGCACAAGCTTTGCGAACATTGCAGCGACCAAAGCAGACTGCTGGTCCTCAATGGTCTGCCGGAATGGTTCACCAACGACCAAATCATCAAGTCGCGCGCCTTCCTTTGCGCGCCTTGCTCAGCGCAGGAGGCACGGCAGGCAGTTCGTTGGGCCGAAGCCGAAGCGGCACTAGAACGGGACGCGGACTACCTTGCAAACATCAGCAAGAGTTACGAGCTTGGAAATATCGCCGACAACATGATGCGATACCACAACGACACTACGTTCCCTGTCGCTACGCCCCCCATGTCGCCCTCTCTGGCTCAAGCGCTTGCAGACAATGCGCCCAGCATGGTTCGGACCGTCAAGAAACTGTTCCGGTGCTCCTGCAAAAAGCTCATCACGGCGGATCTGTGTCTCGGCCACAGACTGCTCAGGGCGGACCAGTTCCTGGAGCAGGTTCGCCGCCTGAACGAGTGGACCCAATTCCGTTTCAGCCTTGGCGAGCAAGACTTTAAGCCGTGCCCCAAGTGCATGGCTCGTCCCGGTGTCGACGCTTACAACTTAAACAACAGAGAAGGAGGCGCAGATCTGACGACAGTCCACTGGATCTGTATGTGCTGCCAGGAAACGGTCTCAATGCCTCGGTATGAGTTCTTCCAGCAAGGTGGCGGACTTGGCCAGGAGAAGGATGGCAAGAGATTGGCTGAGTTGTTGGGAGGGCTCAGCTTCTAAAACTGGGACCGAGGACTGGTAACTGGGACAAAAGACTGTACGGGACACGATGAGCGTGTGAGAATGCATTGTTGGGACAATCCGGAAGATCGGTGTCTGTACGAGGGATCAATGGGTTTCATCAGGAAGACTCTGAACAAGCCGGGCTATGGGTCTGGGACGTGTATGGACTATGGAGTTTTGGTTGATTTGGGTTTGAGCATGGGTTGGCGTGGATTTGGCGAGACTTCTCTTTCCCAGCATGTCTTATGGTTTGCTCTGATACCCTAAATTGAATTGATGCCGCTCCCTGAAACCAGCTGATTGTGATCTTTCCAAATGTGAATACGTCTCTGTGATAAGTGAGTATTCTGTGACAAGTGACCGAGTTGAATTCTGATTCACCGTGATGTGAAAACCATGGAGTGAAGCCATTCAGTTACGCCAAGAGATGTCCAATTGATGTGCAGATCAGCAACGTCCTAAATTGCCAAGACCACGGCATCCGTATAAGTCCTGGAGCGTCCAAGACGGTCACCACTTCGGAATAGTTGGGAAGCGAGGAAGATGGTGCAGAATCAGCAATTGCCCAAGACAAAGATTGTCAAAAGGAAGGCGAATGCCCAGCCATCTGTATAGACGGGAAGGTGCAGTGCTTCCTCAATGGAAACCGCAGACAACTCCAGACCCCGCGGTTGCCATCCTATCATTGTGCTGTGATCTCCGTATGACGTATTGGAGGATCAACCCAATATATGTGTTTGGAATCTTCTCCAACTTACTCCAAATATCCGTTTTCTCCTCCTTTCAGCAAACACACACTCTACTTTACTTCAAGCTTGCAAATACAACACTCCAAAACCATCATATCATCTCGACAGTCAACACACTGCACCAATCGAACCAAAAACCGTCAACAAAACACACCTTCATCCAACCATGTCTGGCAAGTCCTTCAGCTTCATCGGCGAGGTCGTCGAGAGTGCCGTTATCAAGGCCCCCCTCTCGTTTGTCTGGCACTTCATCAAGCTCCAGGAGTTCGACAAGTTCTGGTCTGCCATCTCCAAGGCCGAGCATGTCAAGGGCACCAGTGAGGAGACCGACATTGTGAGGTGGACCTTCAAGGATGGCAATGTCATTGAGGTCAAGCAGGACGAGCACAGCGTAAGCAAAGCCATCTCATCCTTCAGGGCCAGCTAGTACTTGTTGCTAACATGCTTGATGCTATGTAGAACCTCGAACACTTCATTACCTTCAGCGTCATCAATGCCGAGCCCGAGCTGAGCTACTCCAGCGTCGTCAACACCATCCGTCTTTGGGCCGTAACCTCTGGCGAGTTTGCCAACACCACCTTTATCCGTTGGAGCACCAGGTTCTCGAGTGATGCCGATCTCGGTAAGCAAACACATACCTTCAGCTCTTATAACACCTGTCCGTGTTCACGTTACTGACGTTCTTCTGTCTTGTAGGTGTTATCGAGGATGCCAAGTACAAGCGTCAAGATGCCTTGAAGGATCTGTCCAAGGCGGCGGAGAAGATGCTTGCTGAGGAGAAGAAGTAGAGTGGAGGATTACAACACGAGGATTACATCAGGCCATTACAGGAAGAAGTACCATCCGAGGATGGTGAATGTGGCATTTTGATATAGCCACCTTAACCAAGGATACTATTACGACTTAAATTACACATCACACGTTCGAGTTACTCACAGCGTCCCACATATCCTACCGTTCCATGAAGTTCTAGAGAGCACCTGTGACTGATCAAGATTGGATACAGAACACCACCGGCCAAAGACTGAAGCGGTGACACATTTCCATGTGAATGGTTGTTTCATCCCATCTGGAAGGAGGCAAACGGGCCGCGGTCGGGACAAGCAGCGAGGAAGGTGAGTCCAGACCCGGAGATCGCTCCAGCCTTGCGCGTAATGGTAAACGAAGGGAAACAAACAGCCAAAGTATCATGATTCACCGCCATCAACGGGTAATTGTGGAGTGTTGGGTTGGGGCTGCTTCCATCCTTTCCTGGTTGCAAGACCCTGATAGCTGCCTCTCCAAGTATTTTAGGCGCAGCCGAAACTGCGGACCCCTTGAAGGCCAAACTCCAAAACCAGATCGAGCCACTCCCTCTCCAGCTTTCTGTGATAACACATTCGGTGCCCCTCCTTCCCTTGTCTGACACATCCAAAGGGATCTTCTTGCCGACAGCAACGGTTTGCTTTTCGAGGTCAGCACCCCTCCCATTTCCTACAAAAACCCCAACTGCCTACCTGCAATTTCTATCTCCAGCTTGTCACACTCTCATTCTAATTGCCTGTACAGAAATTTCGACGCTATGTCCGGCGAAGCAGGCGACGACGAACAGAAATCTGTCCCACCAGTCGAGCCCGTACCACCCCCGGCACCATCAGAACTCGACAGTACCGAACCCACAGGTGCTTCCGGAGACCATTCTGCAGCCGGTGCAGCAGCTGGAGCAGCAGCGGGAGCAGCGACCGGCGCAGCAGCAGCAGGTGCAACAACAGCACACACCACGAACCCTCTCGACCCAGCTCATCAGCAACCGCCCATCATCTACACGATGGCCTCCCCCTACTTCGTCTTCCCCGGCGGCGGCTACGCCGCCCAAACCACCACCACCTTTTTCCAGGCCGCGCCCCCTCCGCCCCCTCCCCCTCCGCCGCCGCCGATGCCGATCGTAACCAACACCGTCACCACCACGACCTACCTCACGGGCGGCTTCGCACCTCAGGCAGCTCCGCCCCCGCCGCCTCCCGGTCCGGTCACTTACTACCCCGTCCCGGTTCAACAGGTCCAGCAGGCTCCGCAGGTCGTCAACGGATACACGTACATGCCCGGTGGAACGGTGTTGCCGAATAGCAGTGTTGTGGGAGCTGCGCCGGCTCCGGCTCCGGGTGCACAGGGACCGCCGCCGATGGTTATTTGTGTTGCTCCTTAGTATTGAGGTGGCATTTTCGGCTCCTCGACTGACGACATGGAAAGGAAGGGAAAGGGAAAGGGAGAATAAGGGATAAGGGAGGGGAGGGAAGGAGTGTGAAGGGAAGGGAAAGAGTTGAAGGAGTGAATGGAACATGGAGGACGAAAGGAGGAAATTTGGAGCGACACAGTGAATGAATGATGGAAGAGAGGAGTAAAGTGGGTTGAGGGAGGAAGTGATATGATGCGAGCAGTCGTCTACAGGGCTTGGAAGAAGAAGTATAAGGCAGGATATGAGGATTGCAGTTGCGTTTCCTGGGTTTGCGGTTGAGTTTGGCTTGGGCGTCGAGCGCGTGTCTGCTTTCCCTTCTTGTTCTTACTTCAATCGACAACTCTGAATGATTCTAAGACACTCGGTTGCTTTACTACGAAGAATAAAAATTAGACGATATCAATCCACTCTACGATCAACCACACATCCATCACGAGATTTGTGGATTCATGCGAGAAGATTGGGAAATAAAAGCATTTGACTTGGCGTATAATATCAGCTAGAGGTAAGCCATGTCGGTGGTACACTAAACAAAGACCACAACACCAGATTCCGCGACCAACCTAAATACACCCTACTTTTGACCACCACCTTCAACAGGATACAAAACAACAGTAACCATCGCCCTGCTCGGCACGCTCACGCCCCCCTCTCCTTTCACCTCATCAAACCCCGTCTCAATCAGCCCAATCTCCCTCGTTCCAGTACAAATCAGCAGAAGCATTAGCATTTACCATTGCTGTATAAACATTATTCGCGTTGGAAGGCTTCGGAGGTGCCGAAGCCGGAGATTAGGTTGTAGGTTTTGGTGAGGTCGATAGTTATTGTTGTTGAGAGGGAGGATTGACGGGGGCCGACGAGGATTGAGGGCAAGCCGGAGCTGAGCCCCATTAGGGATAGGATGGGGAGGAGTTGGGAGAGCATAGTATGTGATGTTTGAGCTTGTTTGTTGATTTTGGGTCTTGCTAGGTTAGTAAGTGGGTTGGATAGAGCATGGAGGTTGAGACAGCCCGTGTATCTGTCCTATCGTCCATCTCATGGCCATTGCAAATGTGATCGTGGCCGGTAGTATATATGCAGGTTGCCAAGCAATGCTGAAGCTCTTGCTGGTTAAACTTTGTTCGTATATTCTCAGTGTCTTTAGCTTTTTCGTGACCTTTCAATGGAAATCAGTGGCACCGGGAGTAAAAGAAGCTCCCTAAGGAGGTCAGGATGGTCCAAAGTAGGATGTACACGACACCATATGACAGGGTTTCCCCACGTTTTTATTTCGATGGATGGGTAGCAGCCGCTGCGGCTAAATGAGGCTTCCATGGTCGTTCATGTTTGCAATCTCTGTTGTAGATCACAGGCAATATTCCAGCAATGGGAAACGAGTTAACAATGTGTAACCCGATGCTGGGAATATGAGGGAAGAATTGGTTAAAATGTGTTGAGATTTCTTCGGTCTGGTGAGACTAAGACACCAAGCCCCATCAGACCAGGGTGTCGTTGCAACGGGCAACAACCCTAACCCCCTCCGTCGCACATTGTCTCGGAATCCGGATGCCAAGGACCCCGGGCAACGCCGAGGTTTGGCGAACGGAGGAGGAATGGATTTTTTTTCTTTGCGCTGTGTTTCCTTTCTTTTTGGCTGGAAAAGAGAAGGTTCTGAGAGCTTTTACTGCTTTCGGGCACCGTCAATCAACCACCAGCGAGCGCTGCAAAATAACCTGACTCTCAACCCCCAACGCCACACGCGGCACAATCTGACAGGGCAGGACCGGAACCCGCGGTGTTTCAGACCGAAAAGACTCAAGAGTCTCAGAGAAGGGGATTTGAGGTTCGGTTGGTGTTGTTGACGGGTCGCTGGCGCGCTGCACGCTAGTAGGGGAAGATAACAAAAAGATACGCGGGCGAAGTGCGACTAGACTGGTGGTCGCTTTATTACTTTATTAACGCGGCCGCATTCATTTTGCACCGGCCGCTTCGCCTGTCGGCGGACACCGCTGATAGCACACTGTTAGAGGTTATAGCAAGTGGAGCTGCACCACACCACAGAGCCATCTCAATGAGTGGCAGTTCCCGATATGTCTCCGCGGGTTTGCGGTCGGACAAGCTAAAGCTATTATTGTCATCGACGCCATCCGGACTGTCGGTGTCAGTTATTAAAGGGGCAGCATGCCGGTCTAGATGGTCGTCGACTTCAACAGTTGCGACGAACCGCGCACGTCCTCTGCTGTTGTCCGGATCACCCGTGCACCCATATCATAACTCTTCAAGAGTCCGAGCTACCCCATCAAGGAGATCATTCAACACCATGGCCGGATACTCAGCAACCGTCTCCAAGCCCACATTGGGTGTCGCGCCCGAGGATGCCACCGACCATCATGTTAGGGATTCCAAGGGTGAACTCATCGGGTTCCAGAACCCACATCCGTCTGCCGGTGTCCTGCGCAACGCTCTGCAGACAGTAGGGAAGATGTTCTTGTAAGGAGCATCATAGCGCCGACCCATCATGTTCATTGCGCTAACACGTGTTTACAGGTCAAGGCTTCAGGGCAAGATGCCAGCTCCCGACTTGTCCAATGTTCAGATTCCCGTCATCAAGCCTCACTTCCTAGAAGAGAAGTCCCAGGCGCAAAGCAGCAGCGACACCAAGGCCCTGCGCGCCACCTGGCTCGGCCACGCGTGCTATTACGTCGAGTACCCCAACGGCCTGCGCGTGCTCTTCGATCCCGTCTTTGAAGATCGCTGCGCGCCCAGCCGCTTCGTCGGCCCCAAGCGGTACACCCAGCCGCCGTGCACGCTGGCCGACATCCCCAAGCTGGATGCCGTTATCATTTCGCACTCGCACTATGACCACCTGTCGGAGCCGACCGTGCGCGAGCTCCACAAGCACAATCCGGAAGCGCACTTCTTTGTCGGCTTGGGACTGGCGAGTTGGTTCCATGCCACGGGTATCGAGAAGGTGACGGAGATGGACTGGTGGGATGATGCCACACTTAGCATCAAGAAGCCTGTCACCACTGCCGACGGCCAGGAGACTATCGAAGAGATCGAGGCGCAAGTATCTTGCCTGCCATGCCAACACTCCTCGGCCCGCACCGGCTGGGACAAGGACACCACCCTATGGTGCTCTTTTGCCATCAAGTCGGGCGGCAAGTCAGTCTGGTTCGGCGGTGACACAGGCTACCGCGCCGTACCGGAGATGCCGGCGGAGGAAGACGACTACGGACCAAAGTACGACTCACTGCCCCGCTGCCCTCATTTCAAGCACATCGGTGAGCTGCGCGGGCCGTTCGACTTGGGTCTGATTCCCATCGGCGCGTACAAGCCCAGGTGGATGTGGAGCGGCTTGCACTCGAACCCATACGATGCAGTGGAGATCTTCAAGGACACCAAGTGCGAGAAGGCCATGGCGATCCATTGGGGTACGTGGGTGTTGACGATCGAGGAGGTGGAGGAGCCGCCCAGGTTATTGAAGGAGGCGTTGAAGACGAGTGGAATGCCGGAGACGGGGGTGTTTGATACCTGTGCCATTGGCGAGACCAAGGAGTTTTGATGTGTTGCTTCAACGGGGGCGTGATACCCGGCGCGGCGTTGGCTTTAAGGCTGAAAAGAAATTTGTACGATAGATAGACAAGGGGTTAGGCTATGCATATGAACTGGTAGCTCTTTCTCTATATGAGAGAATCTCATGGCAGTCAGCATCCTATCATATGCCCACTCTCGGACTCTCGGTGATCTTGCTCGGAATGCAGCTGCCGATATTGACGGCCATGGTTGGCCACGAGCGCCTTGCTGATATTCAGTGTTACCCCGCCCAGTTATAGGCCTACAAATGGCGGCTTGAAACGTCAATAGTGGCATCGGCCACTAACCGATATCCCTTTCCGCAGTGACTTCTTATCGTGACGCCCTTTCCCTCCTCTTCTCACTAACAAAGATCATATAACAATCGCGATCCTTGCCTTCTTTTCTGACACCGGTCGGGCTTGATCTGGCTCTCTCTAGGTTGAATTCGTCACCACACGTTGCATATCTCCAAGTTACACCATCAAATGATGCCGCAGGAACAACAACCCCCGGAGGGGGTCCCCACTCACGGCCCCGCTTCCGGCCCGTCCCTTCCCTCCACGGTCCCCGCCCCGGCCGTAACAACAGCTCCGTCCACGGTCCCGGTTCCCGGCGCTCCGACGGACATGCTTGGCATCCCCACGACGACGACGACACCTAACATAGCTACTAGTACCACAACTAGCACCACCAGCAGCACTACTTCAAACAAGAAGGCAACACCAGCAGAGATCGACACCTGGGCAAGCACCATCTACAACTACCACCGAATGCACATGCCCCTTCCCACCTTTTCTCCTCCTCCTCCTCCTCTCCAAGACCCATCAAAAGACCCATCAGACTTAGAAGAAGAAGACGGAGAACCAACTCGAATAATCTTCACCCTCTGCTCCCTCGACCTGCGCGTAGCCCGCTACGCGTCCCACCTCTTCCTTACCACTTTTCTTCCTCCTCCTCCTCCTCCTCCTCCTCCTCCTCCTCCTCCTCCTCCTCCTCCTCCCAGCAAAGTAACAGTGGAAGAAGCACCACCCCGCCGCCGCCGGAGAGCCTACAAATACCTCCTCTTCTCGGGCCACTCCGGCCTCCTGACACGTTCTTTGACCGGCGACCCCTTTCCCTCCACCACCTCCTCCTCCTCCTCCTCCTCCTCCTCCCCCGACCAAACCCAACCCCCCAAAAAATTCCAATCCGAAGCCACCCTCTTCGCCTCCATCGCCCTATCAATGGGCGTCCCTTCTTCGTCAATCCTCATCGAAGAAGCGTCCACCAACACAGGCGAAAACGTTCGGTTCACTCATGCCTTACTACAGCAAAGGGGTATAAAAGTGGATGAGTTTTTACTCGTGCAGAAACCGTATATGGAACGGAGGACTTGGGGGACTTTTGGGGCGCAGTGGCCTTCTTTTTCTTCTTCTGTTTCTTCATCAGAGGTAGAGGTAGAAGAGAAAAAAGTAGTAAAATATAGTGTGACCAGCCCCCCGCTGGAGTGGGAGGAGTATCCTGATGAGGAGAGTGGGAATGGGAGGGAGTTGGTGATTAATGTTATGGTGGGCGATTTGGTAAGACTCAAAGAGTATGGGGAGATGGGGTGGCAGGTGAGGATGGAGATACCAAAAAATGTGTGGGAGGCGGGGAGGAGGTTGGTGAAGGATGGAGGGTTTGGGGGACATTTACCGGAGGGGTTTCGGTTTTCTTGAGGAAGGGGGTGGTGATGCATACATAAGTGGGAATAGGTTTTCTTTACGGATTGATGTTTCTTGGGTATGGATGGTAGTACGTAATTCAATGTTGTTTGCTTATGAGAGGAATGGAAATACAGTCGCTAAGGCATACCGACAAAGAAAGAAGTGGAAGCAATCACATAATCCCCACACCCTCGCTCTCCCTCAACCAGCCCCTGATCCGTTTGGCACCACCACCACCGCCAACCGTATTATTCCAAGACCCGTACCCAGAAGATGATGACGAAGAGTTCCCAAACCCTTCATACTCTCCCAAGCTCGGAGGAAGATCCTCCACTTTCGTACCCCAGTCACTCTCCCTATCACCAAGCGTCAAGACCAGCTCTTTCCCTTCTGTGAAAAAGCTATGATCGATCCAGTTCTTGGTATACTTGACCCCATCAAGCGTGGCATTTTGGATGTAGATGTTCTTGTAACTAGGGTCAAAGTTCACATTCCTGATCCTCGCAGTCTTTCCCGTTAACGGGTTCGTAACATTCACAGACTCAAAGAACGGCGGAGTAATCAGGTACACGTTCTGCCCCGGATTGGGAAAGAGGCCCATCATGGAGAATGCCACGAACGAGCCCATCGCGCCGCTGTCGTCGTTGCCCGGCAGACCGTCGGGGGTGGTGCGGAAGAACTCAGGGATGTAATAGTGGGCTCGTTTAGCGGAGAGAGCTGGTCGTCCAGCGTAATGATACTGAAACACCGTGAGGAAGGACGGCTCATTACCGATGTACGTGATGTTTTGGTCGTGGAGATAGTTCAGGCGGTCGACGAAGCGATTCGGGCCGCCGTACAGGCTGATCAGCGTTGCTTGGTCGTGGGGCACGTAGAAGCCGTACTCCCAGATGGAGGACTCGAATGTCTCTGGCCCGTTGTTTTGAAGGGAGCAGACGCTGAAGTCGTCGTGGTTGGAGCAGTTCAGGGGGTTCTGATAGCCCCAGGTCCCATTAAGATAGCGAGGTTCGAAAAAACCGGTGAAGCCGGTGTCGGTGCCGTTCCACCAGAAGGAGGTCTGATCTTCTTTGTAGAGGTTGCGCCAGTTGCCGCTGGAAAGAGTGTACTTCTCCTGGTCGGTTGTCCTGCCAGAGGCCTTGGCCATTTCGGCGATGCAGAAGTCGTTGTAGGCGTATTCGAGCGTGCGGGAGATGGAGCGCGTCAATGTGCCGAAGCCTTTCCAGTCGAAATCTTGGACGGGGATGTAACCGAGAGTATGCCAGCTGTCGAGGCCACCGCGTCCCTGGCAGCACCAATCGAACGGCTCGACTTCGGCATCTTTGACAACAGCGGCGTAGCCATCCTCCCACTTAGAATAACTAAATTAGCATGGATGGTGGATGACCTGGATAGGATCAGACGTACGTTGATGCCTCCTTTAAGGCCCTTGATGTATGCATCTGCCAGTACAACATCGGCATTCGAGCCACCCTATGAGAGATTGTCAGAAGAGTCCTCTACCTTGGGCAGATTGCATATACCTGTGTATAGCCTTTATTGAGACTCATTCTGCAGTCGGGAAGCCATCCCACATGTCGATACGTATCAATGAGGGAGCGGATCATCTGAGTGACTGTCGTCGGGTCCGTGATGGTGAGAAACGGGAGCTGCGATCGGAAAAGATCCCATATGCTGTAAATGTAAGTAAAGAACGGAGACTTCAAATATATGAGAACATACCAGTAAAATGAATCAAAGTAAGGCTCGCTGCTAGACCACAGCGGGTTTTCTCCCGTGTAGTTTTGCGGATTGATATAAGTGCGGTAGATGCCGCTGTAAAAGTTGGTGACCAAGGATTTATCCACGCCCTTCGTTGAGACCCTGATTCCGCCCATCTTGGCCTTCCATTGCTCTGTTGCTGCCTTGGAACTCCGCTCAAAGTCAAAGTCGGGGATCTCAGACTCGGCGTGTCTGCATGCTTGTTTGATACTGATGAAACTCGTTGCGGTTCTTGCCAGAATCGGCTTGGCTCCGGATTTGAACCTCACAAATGCACCCCCCGGAAGAGGATAGCCATTGATCGATCTGGAGATAGTCATGTTTTTGACGGAGGCGCTGGCTCGGCTGTCCGCAAAGATGCCGTTATCCAAGATCTCGGCTCCGGAGAAGTCAGTACAGAAGTAGAGGACGTAGTTCCCCTGACCGAAGCTGGGCAGAAAACGAGCACTCCCCGTGATGCGTCCCGTTTTCTCCTCGACTGATACTGTTCCATTGTCCTGCCTCGAGTTTGACAGATCAGTCAGATCCTGTAGAATGAGCGGCTGCGCGGCTTCACCAATGGTGCTATTTTCAGGGAACGTGAATCTGAATAAAGCGGTATGTTGAGTAGCCGTCATGTCTGCCCGGATGCCGGTGTTGAGTGTGATTCCAAATGTCCCAGGTCTGGCAGAGACACTGACATTATCAAAACTACCAAAGTTGGCTCTCGTCTTCTTGGGAAATGCGCATCGGTTAATGTCTCCTCCAGGACAGCTGGGGTGGGGGAACAAGGCAAAATTGCCCAAAGATGGACTGCCACCGGTACCACTGTCATGCACCATGCTGAAGCCAGTAACTGGGGCGCTATCCAGAGTAAAGCCACCTTGGTTTGAGGTGCTGTTGGTGTCGGCCACGGCCTTGGCCATGCCGTACGGGAGTGAGGCTCCGGGAAAGACATTACCGCCGTTGCTTGCGCCGATCAAAGGGTCGACATATTGGAGGATATCATCTGTATCTTGGGCAAGTGCTCGGGCTGCAAGAAGGAGCAGAGTCAGAGTGAAAAGAGATGTCATCATGAGCAGAAGATAGCTATAAGCTAAGTATAAAGTATATGACGCCCAGACCGGCTAGAACAAGAGAACAGGAAGACCGGAGTAGCCCTCGCTTTATGTGAGGAGAGTGATCGAACCGGGCTTTTGGATATAGTTCATCCCATGTCTGCAATATAACCCCAAAGTCGCGGTTGCCCTGATCGAACCCCTGACTGTGCAGGTCTCTGAGCACAACACCAGGTCAACCGGCAGGAGCCATACCGTAGTAACTCGCGAAATTGGCAATAGAGCCTTCCCTCTTCGAGCGCCTGGCAGGGCAGAACGCGGCGCTCCGTAAGCACGCATATACCAGCAGATGTGTCTGTCCCCTTAGTGAAAACTCGAGGACAATGCCTACTACTCTAACTTGCGTGCGTTTCAATGTACAGGCTCTGGCTTGCCCTGTACAGATTTCTGCCCTGCCCGGCGCTTAAAGAGGGATAGCTCTATTGCCAATTTCGCGAGTTACTACGGTAGTCAAGCACTGTTGTGACAGTAGCAACAGTAGTAACCTTTCTGGGGTCATTGGGGTGGGGGAAGTGACGAGCAACTGTTGATCGGCATTTTCAAGTCCTCTGATGCCTTCTCTTCTACCTTGCTTCCCACGATGTTCATCGTGACTTCCACTTGTGTGTTTTCATGATGAAGGCTTCGTGGGCAAAGATGTGGCACCGGATATTGGACAATTTGCCGGAACCGACTGCCAGTATTACAACCTTTGTATCACGCCGTTTGAAGGACTCTACGGTTGTGCTCTGCATCACCAAGTTGATCGTCTCGTGGTCGAGTGTCACACAGAGGGTCTGTGGGACGGAATATCAGTGCGAGCTCAGTCAAGGCACTCCCGCCATGTTGTGCGCGCAGGAGAGTCGGAGAGTAACGCATGAATTGCAGATGCTTTGTAGCGTAGCATTTAGCTTTGAAGGTGGCACAGAGATGTTGAATACGACAAAAGAGCGGAAAGAAGAATCGCCATGTTTGATGAGGTTGATGTTGAGTTGGAAAGAGGCGGGGACGGGCGAGGAAATGGAACATGGGACGGGAAGCTTTACAGGGTGCATACCCCCCACGATGTCGCTAAGGAGCTCCCCGCAGCCGGAGAAGGTGCATTGAGCGGGGTTATAGCGCTCTGCTGGGTCGGGTGGCCGGGCAGCAGGGGAGCGGACATCCCGTCAAACACCGACCTCATCGGTTGCAAGGGAATCTATCCGTCACCCACCATCCATCTCACGCCCTCTCGCGTCTGGCTTGGGCAGCTGCGAACATCAAGCAACGACATTTCAAACTAACCTCAAGCGAATCACGCAAGAAGACGACTGGAGACAAAGGAAGCCTGCTGCTTGTTTCAACCGGCATACATCACCAACCTTCCGCTCCGTGGACAAGACGAGCAACTATCCGATGTTCATGATCCACGGCCTTTTTGACGCCCAATCATGGCAAACGAGACACAAAAGACATCCCTACTCATCCAGGGCAGCTTTTAGGCCCTCCACCATCTCCAGAGATCCGATCACTGACGGATGATATGGAAGTCCACTATAAAAAAGTCACCGAGTCTTCCCACGATATCCTCAGACCGACCATCAGAAAACTTTGGCTCGTGGCTTGAAACACTCGTGTCGACGCTCGTGGCATGGAATCTTCTCATGGAAGCCAAGCCAACTGGCCCTCTGCAACAAGCCGACTGAAACATGGCATGGATGATGGTCTTAATCCTCGATGCAAACGCTTGAGATGAGTTGATGTGCCTTTCCCGGTGAGACTGGTTATTCACGGAAGTTGGCACGGCGACGGTCTAGGAAGCCTAGGTGTACCTCGGGTTGGGTGAACTGCCGTCACTCACTCGAAAAGCAAAGTCACTTGGACCCCTATGACCGAGATGGGGCCCCGTTCCTTTTTTTGGAATCAAGGATTGCCCGTTTGCATTCGACTCTTTTCAATGAACCGTACCGCCGGATGTCATCTCATCCACGGATCACCACGGCTCTTCGCAGAAGAGTGTCCCCAACACGGAATGATGATCGGGAGTCCTTCGTCTGGGGGAAGGACTGGATTCTCGCCACTTTCCCTCTTGTTTCGATGGAATATGTGGCTTATGCTTTGTGAGAGCCTCGGTGGTAGGCGAGGAACAACTGAGGGTCAACGGAAAACTCTATACGCACAGTCTCCGGAAACCCGATTCTACTAAAAGGGACCTTTGGTCCGAAAGTTGTTGACGAGTGTCTATCGTTTAAATTTGTCGTGGTCAACTTCGAAGCCTTCATGCTTTTAAATCAGGACGAAACCAGAATACTACGGGACCGAAACTTCCAACCCCTTCAGTCCAATACCAGTCATGTGGCGCTCCAGGAGAGGCACACTTGACTCCATTCCCTGTTCACCATATGGTGTTGACTCGGACCTGAAAAGGCGCGGCAGTGATCAGTCAAGCACTTCCATGGTGCTGCCCTACAAATCCAACACCACGGCAACCTTGACCCATCCGACGGCATTATCACCACCACCTGCACCGGCAAGTCCAAAGCTGAAACCTGAAAGAACTCATGTGCGACTACGAAGCGACTCGGCCCTCTCGATGCATACGAACAAGTCCTCGTTCCGTCAGTACCCAGACAGCAGGTCGGAGAGTCCGATGAATTCACCTTGGTACTGGAAGAAGCAAAAGGACGTTGATGCCGTTAGCACCATCGATACCATCTCCTTGGGGGGCACTACGAGTGTGGCCTCGAGTGAACACGCACAATATGTTGGGTCCCTCCCCAACCTTTTTGATCGTGCGGTGATCAAAATGGCCTTCTCAGACCCGGAGGTAGGAAGCAAGCTGCGCGACTTTGCCAAGGTTAGGAACTATTCCGTGGACGTGGAGCTTCTGTTGAAGGTATGTTCATCGTCTTTGTCCCGGTCAATGTCATGATTTCAAGTCCTGATTCTTACCCATGGGATTTCTAGGCGGACCAATACACCGGTGCACTGGAGACCTTAAGATGCCTGATCAATCACATCTCAACTTACTTGGAGGCTCCGGCAACATCAGCCATAGAAGCTCCTTATACATATCCACTTGCTTTCAGGACAAACACAAAGCAGTGTGCTCGGACTGCACTGCCTTCATTGGAAAGGTTGTATCGAGAAGCCAAGTTTGCGGCTGAAGAACGGCTCGTCAATGACCTCTACCCCGAGTTCATCAAGTCTCAGCTCGCGGACCGCTTGAGGACTTCTTTATCCGTCTCTCGGTCTTCATCCAGCCCATCCAACTCAACGTACACTGGCCTTGGCAGTGCCTTCTGTCTTACCGACTCTTGGAAGCCCGATAACCCTATAGTCTATGCCTCTGAAGGTTTCCTGAGATTGTTTGGCTATGAGAGACACGAGGTACTCCAGAAGAACTGCAGATTTATGCAGGGACACTCCACCAACGGCGACGCAGTTCGTCGCATACGGAATGCGATCTTCATGGGACAAGAACACACTGAGCTGATTGTCAACTATCGCAAAGATGGGACTCCGTTTTGGAATTTCTTGTTCATCTGTCCTCTGGTGGAAGACGGCATCGTGCGCTACTGTCTCGGTGGTCAGATCAACATATCGAAGGGTATGGGCACAGGATACCAGGATATCATGAATCTTCTCAACTTTGATACACCCAGAGAGGACTGTTTGCCCGACATACCGTCAGAATCTTACGATGGTCTAGCTCAGCGGCCTTCTATACGCATTCAAGACCCGCCCCTCTCAGGCGAGAAACCATCCGCCATACCTCGACGATCCCACCGGCAACGTCTTTTCGATCGCTTCATTTCCAGAAAAAACGCGCCTGACACCACCCCCGGAGAGAGCCAGCCAGAAGATCCAACCATCCTCACGGATACCAAGTCACCATCACCTGTCCCCATGGACGGCTACGTCAAAGATTGGGGCATCTCGAACCCTTTCCACGACCATTACCAAGTTGAACCCGAACCACCAAAACCCTTACCCAAGCCAAGCACACCTTACTCATGCTTCTTCGTGATGCGCTACGTCCCTTCGCCCTCAACCTCCTTCCACATCTTCCCCCATCAGACCAACGACAAGCGCCACTCCCGGCTGCCACACCTCCCAGTCGCCTTCTGCTCTGCCGAAGCCCTCGACTTCCTCGGCCTAAAAGGTCAAGACCCGTCCATCGTCCATTCTCGGTCCATCTTCTCGCTCCTTGTATGCGCCACGAGCTCGACTGACTTGGTCGAGAAGACCTTTCGGTCTACCGTCCTCGAAAGCATGGCGGCGGGCGAGTCCATCTCACTTGAGATATCCACGCTTGCTGATTCCGTCCCGTCCGCCACCACATCTCCTTCAAGAGATACCAAACCGGTAGAAAAAACCCCCTCTCTCTTCTCCTCGACCCGGGCGCGCAGCCGTAGTAACGTCGGCCGCGAAGGAAAAACAGCAACAAGATACGGGGCCTTGTCAGCCATGTCAGCCAGCTCAGACCATCGTCCGTCTACCTCTAGGTTATTCAGTGATAAATTGAAGGAGCACGGGACCGTGGAGAGGCTCGGGAACATGTTCGCCTTCCGAAGTCTCGGAGGTGGAGGCGGAGGTAAAGATGCTGCTGCATCAAACGTGGAAGAACATGGTGAGGGACAGGGACAGGGACAGGGACAGCAGAAGAAGGGCAGGAAGTTGGTTAGTCACTGGACGGCTTTGAAGGATGCCGAGGGCAAAGTGGCTTGGGTGGTGCTGATCTTGACGCCTGCTGCTGCTGCGTCTTCTGCTTGAGCATTTCATGTCATGGTATTGCACTTCAGACCAGATCAGCCGGCAGTGTCATCTCGGCGAGTACCGGATGGCAGCGTGGCGGTCCGTCAGGGGAAGCGGTCGAGACCCGGATCAGGGCAGGATCCGGACCCGATAAGTTGCCGTGCTGTACGTAGATGCATGTGTAGGTAGATAGTTCGGATCAACTTGGGGTTGGCTTTAGTGAAGTTGCATTCGGAAAGTCTCCCGTGAGAACACACCCACTTGCTTCTCCAAAACAGGGCTAATGTTGGAGAAATTGAGGACGGCTGGACGGGATGAACGAGGGATGAACAGAGAGAGGATCGCCGTCGATGAGAATCCTCTATATACTAATAGCAGCTTACCCCCAAAAAAGTGCGGGTAGGGTGTTAGTGCTTTTCGCGGGCGGTCCCCATACAGAACCCCGCACGCACTAACATCTCGCTACTGCACGGGCCGTTTTTCCCGCAAACTGTCCGCAAAAAGAATTGTTAGGCCTGACATTTATTGTGCAATTACTATTAAGGTAAGGACTGCTTTCAACCCGTAAACCTCGCATAAAATCTTCTTTCCACTCCACCGAAAATTGTAAATATTCTCGAATATTACGCCCGCGCCCAGTATGCCTCCTAGAGCCGCCCGGACTACCACTCTCCCGCGAGGTGCCCGCGAGGTGCACCGAGAGGAAAAGGAAGTCCGGGCGGCTCTGGGAGGCATACTGGGCGCGGGTGGGTGTACGGACCCTTTGTACGGACCACCCCAGAATCCAGCTCTGCACGGGCCACAACCCAGGATCCAGCCTTACACCCTCAGGGAAGGGTCGAGGACAGCTTGCTGGCCTCCCCGAACACTAGTTAGTTTAAGAACCCTGTAATTCAGATAAAACCACACGATCGGATTGCAATAACACATCCCGATCTTGTGTACAGTTCCACTAAGACAAAGATCGCCTTTTCGATCCAACCGTGAAAGCAAAATATTGGTGTCAAACCTTCGGAGTTGTTTGGTGGTAAGAGGGGGCTCCAAAAACCGGTGACGTCACCAGCCGTCCCCTGCTTCCCGAAACGGCAAAAAGCAAATAAAGCACCACATATTGCTGCCGGTCTATGATGACGATTGCCCGTGGATATGGAATGGGAAAGTACGGTCTGCTGGTGAGGAGCAATAGGTTGCTTACATCATGTAGGTGCCTTGAGTGAGTGCAATTGGACGAAAGGAGAAAGCGGGGAGTTCAAACGACTGTCATGACGAGCCTACACGTATATAGCAGACAGTGCTCTCTTCTTCTCCCAAAGCAATCATGAGAATCATTTTCACCAGAGCACTCTGTGCAGTAAGACCAAGAAGACCAATAACAACAACCACCATCACACTTCCTTCACTGATCCAAACCTCCCAACGCATCCTCACACAACCTTATACAACAACCAACGTCAAGAGCAACCACCCCCAGAACAAAAACAAAACCAACAACAAGATGTCCGGCCACGGTTTCTCCAACGCTGATACCGGCAACAAGCCGGCCGACCCCTACAAGCAGGCCAACCTCGACACCGACGTGCCTCTGGATCAGAAGATCAGGGACCTCTCTGGCTTCATGACCAGCAACAAGTTCAGCATGATGACCACTCGTGATTCCAAGACGGGATATCTCCTCTCCCGCTGCATGGCGCTGGCCGCTACTGTATGTAGTTCCTCAAGTCCAAGTTCACCTCGACTTCCAAAACACACGCTGCTTCCTCTAGCATATCCCATATCAAACTAACCACTTGCAACCAAACAGGAATCCGGTGGCATCGACCTCCTCTTCCACACCAACACCGAGTCCGGCAAGACGGACGACCTCAAGTCGGACGAGCACATCAACATCTCGTTCCTCAACAGCACGACGGGCGACTGGGCCTCGGTCAGCGGCACCGCCAGCATCGTCACGGACCGTGACCTGGTCCGCAAGCACTACAGCCCTCAGCTCAAGGCCTGGTTGGGCGACTTGGGCGACGGCGTCCACGACGGCGGCCCGGAGGACCCGCGCATCGCCGTCATTCGCGTCAAGATGGTTACCGCTCACTATGCTATTTCGACCAAGAACATTGTCGGCAAGGTGGCGGATGTGGCGCAGGGCGCTATTACGGGGAAGCCGGCGTCGGTGAACAAGTTGCGGGAGATTAGCGAGCAGGAGGTTCGGTCTTGGAGGTCGTCGCACTAAGTTGTCGAATTGTAGTGGGATTCGATGATTTATGAGTTGATGATAATAATGAATGTGCCTAGCTAGCTTCATAGTTAGAAAGACGAGATGACAACAGGCTGGAAACACCACTGTCGACTCGTTCACGACTAAACTGGAGTCGGGCGCAATATTAGTAACAAGTTAAATTAATCGAACGTTTTGAAAGAAGAAAAACTTGATTTACTGCTTTCCACAGTAATCAGCCTTCCATATCCTGTCCCAGTTCTCCTTGTTTACAGCAAACTCCCTCACAAAGTCGTGCTCGAGCTCGTGCGTCCTCCGTCCCAAGAGAATCAAGCTGTGCAGCGGGGGACCCAGCAGATCATCAGCATCGCAGAGCTCCTTGAGCGTGCCCGACACGAACTTCTCCGTCTTTCCACCGACACGGGCGCAGCCAATGGCCAGACTTTCGGGACCATAGACGCCCTCCTGCTTCTCCTCCTCAATCTCCAACATCTGCTGCGCACAAGTGCCGACCGTCATATACCTAGGCGGCTCGTAGATCTTCCTGCCGCGCGCCATGTTCTCCAGGCTCTGCTCCTTGACCTTGATGTCCAGCAGCACGAGCGTGTGCAGGCCGATGGAGCGGTTCTCCTTGATGCGATCGTAAAAACTCGCGGGCCGCCAGTTGTCGAGGAAGAACACCATGCTGACCGTCTGGCCGAAATTGTACAGCTGCAGCCCCGCGGCGCCGATGCCGCTCATGATGGAGGCGTTGGGCACGGTGCGCACCTGGATGCCCAGCTCGCGCGCGCGCAGCACCAGGTCCGTGTGCGTGGTGGCGCCGAACGGGTCGCCGACGACGCAGAAGGCTACGTCGACTTTGTCCGCGTCCCGCAGGATCTCGTCGCTGTTGGACTCGACCATTTCGCGGTCGGCGACGACGATGGGGCGGCCATAGTAGGATTCCTACTGGAGGAGAAGGGTGGTTAGCAGGGCGAAAGAAGACGGAGACGGGGACGGGGACGGGGACGGGGACGGGGACGGGGACGGGGACGGGGACGGGGACGGCGGCGCAACGTACAAGAGTAGCCTGGTCAACAAGCAGGATGCTGGTGTAAGCCTCGAGGTAGACACGCTCGGCCTTCTTGACAACTTCGAGGCCCTTGACGGTAATATCCGTCTCATCGGAGAGACCGAGACCAACGAGGTACAGCATCTTGACAGGTGCTTGATGAGGTTCGGAATTGGGGAGCTGCTAGAAGGAACCTTGATGTCCGCGGACGAAACTGTGCTCCAGAAATAATTTGAAGGTGGGTCCAGCCTCCGATAAGAAAAAACGCGGGGAGATAAGGCAGATCGTGCCGGGGTCAAGGTACCTTTTTAGCGTCATGCCCCGCTGATGGAGCTTGCCCCACCTAAAAACGACCCCGTCGTTGGCGTTGCCGCAGCGGCAGTGCGTTCTGGCGCGTTCCTGGCAAGTTCATTGTTTAATTGATTTCCATCTGAAAGCATTGGCCAACTTTATCCCTTTATCCATACATCATCCATCACGGTTCTCAGTTGTTATCGAGTTCCGGTCGTCGACCCAAGTTGATTCAACGAAATCACACTCGCTTATCCTCGAACAAATTTCCACCATCTCCTTGATACATTCGCGCAAAGCCTGCTCCAACCCAGAACCCATTCGTAATCCGCCACTATGTCCAAGAACTCCTCCGCCTACGGCCAAGCCGCCGGCGACACCGACTTCCGCAAGAAGTACGATCTCGACGAATATGCCGCTAAAGCCCGCGACCGCGAGGAGGCTGAAAAAGAGGAGCGCAAGGCGCGATGGGAGGCCAAGATGGCCGGCAAAAAATACTACAAGCCTCTCGAGGGGCACGAAACCTTAACCACCGCTCGCTCGGGACACCAAGACTTCAGCAAGCTGGTCGGCACGACGATGCTGGTGCCCGCGGGGGCAGGAGTGGGCAAGCGCGGTCGCGGCGCGGGCATCTACTGCGAGGCCTGCGACCTGACCTTCAAGGACAACCTGCAGTGGATCGAGCACACGAATAGCATGCAGCATCAGCGGAACACGGGACACACGGGCGAAGTGCGAAAAGCGACGGCTGAGGAGGTGCATCAGAGAATCGAGCTGCTGTGGGAGAAGCTACAGGAAAGGAAGAGGGAGCAGGTCGTTAGTCTCCAGGAGCGGCTGGAGGTGAGGAGGGTGGAAGATGAGAAGGAGAGGGAGGAGAAGAGGAGGAAGAGGAAAGAGGTGGAGGAGCGGAAGAGGCTGGAGAAAGAGGAGGCGCTCAAGGCGAAGACCAATTACGGAGAGGACGTGAGAATTGAGGGCGAACACGATGAAGATGATATGATGGCGGCTATGGGGTTCACGGGATTCGGAGTTCCGAAGAAGTAGGCTGGTCTCAGCGTGGGCATAGTAGCGTGTCTACAGCGTTATGCTGCGAGGTTGTTCTACCAGTTGTCATATGTCGGAGGGGGCATATGAGGCTTCTTTACTGGCTGCCTTTCCGTGGTTCGTTGGTGTAAATGGAAACATCCCTGAGGTGGGATGATCTCACCTGGCACTTTGCGAAGGTCTTGCGGAAGATATCGGTTCGATTCCGATACGGGTCACACTTTTTTTTTGTCCCATTTCTTTCTGAGACGTCTATTGGGGATCGCACAAGATATCAAACACAGCATGGGACGGCGTTCTGGGGTTGGGTGTTTTCTGTTTGTTTGATGGTTTAGTCAATAGCTAAGACGGTGTTTCTAGCTTGAGATAACTTGGGGCATACCAGCATAGATTATACCGTAGATGAACTATGCTCTGCCGTTTGACATATCAAAATTTTAGTCTCTTGAGGCACCTAGAGCACCATACTATTCACTAGATTGATGCCATTGCCCTTGCTCGTCTTGTCAACGATGACTACGGCCCCACTATCCGTTGCGGAGGGATCTGGAGTGCCGGTGGGGCCGAAAGCACGGTGCCGGACCGCAGGAGCGATCCCCGCCCCGCCCCTCCAACTGGAGCGGGATCTACGTCTACCGAGTTGTCGCGAGCTTAATCGATTTCTAACATTCACATTCACCAGACACCGACGCCACCCTCGAGTTCATGAGAAATTTTTACGGCATCGACAAGGGTTATCGTTATTCAGCAGCATAAGCTTCGCCAAAACCAATATCGCGAAACCGAACATCGTTTCCCTCCTCTTTCAACTCACATCACCGTGCAGCTGCTTTGCTTGCTGCCAGTAACGTCACCTTTGCCTTGCGTCTGACAGCAACATCCTGAAAGGGCATCAACCGTCATCGGTCCTTCTCACCCCTTATTGACCGTCAAAAAAGAGGAAAAAGACAACACGAGCAGATACCGACAGTATCAAGACAGCAATTCGCAATTCACAATGGCCCAATTTTCAGCAGCAGCGACGCAACTCCGAAAGGAGCTGAAGCAGATGCAGAAGGACACGGACATCCCCGGGATATCATGCGGCCTGGTGAACGACAACAACATCTTTGAGTGGGAGGTGATGTTGATGATTCCCGATGATGTCAAATACTATGGCGGTTGGTTTTTCCCTTCCCCCATCTCTTCCGCTCTTCTTCTTCGTCTCTTTATATCTATCCCCCATCCGACACCACGCTCCTCCTGTCTTTATCATTCCCATCACAAAGTCAACCTGCCAGCATGCCAGGCCTGCATAACATCATCTCATGCCCATCCCATCTGCATTACCCGAAGCACATATGTACACATCCCCACGCAGTACGCTAACATGAAGCACTCAAACAGGAGGCAACTTCCGCGCCCACCTCGTCTTCCCGCACAACTACCCGCTCATGCCCCCAACTCTTACGTTTCAATCGCCCATCCCGTTCCACCCCAACATCTACCCGTCGGGCGAGCTCTGCATCAGCATCCTGCACCCGCCCGAGGAGGACAAGTACGGGTACGAGGACGCGTCGGAGCGGTGGTCGCCGGCGCGCTCGCCCGAGAAGGTGCTGCTGAGCATCATCAGCTTGTTTAGCGATCCGAACCCGGATAGCCCCGCTAATGTCGAGGCTGCGAGACTCCTCAGGGAGGAGAAGGAGGGGAAACACAAGGAGTTTAGGAAGAGGTGTAGGGCTTGTGTGAGGGAGAGTTTGGGGGAGGAGTGATTTGGTTGGGATGAGTGGGATGATGGGGATGCCAAGTGTTGGATGGTGGACTGGGGAGATTGTGAAGACGGGGAGGACTGAAGGAGGGTGGTGGTGTAAGCGAATTTGCCCATGTTTTCGATGGATATCCTTAGCGAAATATTATCAAATACCTTTCGTAGCTGTGCCATGATGCGGAGATTGAAGTAGGGAAAACTTGCGTTGTCATTTAAACCCTGATTTGGCCAGCAACGCGGTTATCAGGAGACCGACATACACATATCACGGAACTGCCTCTAAAGTCAATAGTAGAGCGTAGTGTGTGTGCAAGCCAAAGACTGAATGACAAGCGCCCATAGATCATGAAAACCGATACTTTTGGTGACATAACAAAAGGCCCGTGTATACCTTATCTAACCAAAGAATATCTAAAGAAAATGCAAACCAAACTCCCAGGCACCGCTGCCGCCCATACTGTATAACATCGCCGACAACAACATGATATCTTTCTGTCCTTAACCCAAGAAAAGCTTAGACATGGCTCAACCAAAACGGTATATATAGACCAGAATAGGCCTAATACGTGTTACAACATAGCAACATCCCGCTCTTCCCAAACCCCCCTACTGATCTCATCCCACCTCATCAATTCCCTTCGGCCTTAGTTAAAAGCCTTGTTCATAGCCTGATGAGCCAACTCAACACCCAAGAAAGTAGCAGCATTAGCCGGCATCGCTCTAGCCAGCGCCGGCGCAAAGCCAGGGAAGAAAGCCTTGTAGCCGCCCGCCCTGTACAGCTGCTTAACGACACCGCCAATCGTCACGTTGCCCTCGGCAGTCTGCAGCCTGCTCTTGACGGTATCGATCGGGAAGACAGGGATCCACATGGCGACACCGGCACCGGCACCAGCAAGAGTAATAGCGCCCAGGCTGAGCTTGCCGCTGGCCTCGCCCGTGACGGGATCCTTGGGCGTCAGCGCCTTCTTGATGTACTCGTAGGCGGCGAAGTAAGCCGCCGAACCGGGGCCGTCGCGGGCCAAAGTGGCGACGGAACCGCGGAAGACTGAGCGCACGCCTCCCTCTTTGTAGAGTTGGCGGACTACGTCCATGCCGCCAGAGTACTTGGGCTTCTCGCCGGGGGCGAGCTTCTGCTGGCCTTGGACTTGCAGGATCACCTTGACGCGCTCAAAGGGGGCGGTGATGGCCGTCATGGGGATGGCGGAGAAGAAGCCGGCGGCGGAGATTTGGGCGATGGAGAGGTTGCCGTCGGGCGCGACGGTGGAGGTGGCCCGGACGATTTGCTTGCCGAGGTCGTAGCCCCAGAAGGAGACGGCGACTTTTGGTTTGGTAAAAAATGTTAGCAGGGGGTTAATGGGAGGAGAGGGGGAGAAGTAAAGAAGGGGGGAGGTGGGAGACATACACATGGGAGTAACACCAACAAGCGGCGCGCTGACACCAGCGTAGAGACCCCTCCTTAGACCATCCTTGGCGATACTCCTCTTGACCACATCGATGGCGCCGGTGTAGACGCCCTTCTCGGCTGTTTGGAGGCGGACCTTGGCGAGATCAAAGGGGTGGCCGACGACGACGGCGCAGACACCACCGAAACCACCGGCGACAAAGGACCTTAGCTGGGAAGCGCCCGCGGAGGCGGCGGCCTTGGCCTCAGCCTTGATCTCGGCCTTGAGCTCCTCCTTGGTCTCGGGAATGTGAGGAAGCTTCTCGACGACGGCCTCTTGGATCTTGGCGCCTGGCGACGAAGTGGTCGACGACATTTTGGCTGTGTGTGTGTGTATGTATGAATGTGTGGAAAGGGGGTGAGAAGAGGCCGGCGCAAGAGAGAGATCTCCTTGGGAATCTTCAGTCAAGCGCGTTGTCGCAAAAACTTGGTATTAGTGATACGGCGTCTGTTGGTGTCGTTCGATCGAGCAGCAACTGTCTGTCGTTCTGTACAGTAGGTCTGCGAAATGTGCGTCTGGTCTTTTTGTCGTCTGTCTCTTAAACGGGCAACCGGAAACAAGGTTGACTGGAGTCTTTCGGTGGGTTTCGGCGTTCGGAGATGTTCAAAGTGGTGTACGGTATGCACGTTAAAAGCAGCTGTGAGCCGAGATGTTCCTGGGATAACAGGCAGGTAGGTGGTGTGTTAAGGATGGAAGAAGAAGCAGTTCGTCTGATGTGAGAAAGGAGATCGGAGTGTGTGATCAAGGCGCGTGCCGGGCTTTTGAAGTCCCGACGGCTTGAATCGCATCCCGCCGGCCGCCCATGCATGCCCCGGGCCATGGGCCATGAGACGTCACTCGTCCTCTCCCGCTCTCACAAACCTCGGCAAAAAGGAAGCGCACAACACATGTCCCCCCACCTTCTCTCCAGTTTTGGGTGGGTTCAATCCCGCAATTGGATCGGGACTTGTATCCACCGAGTGAGCGCGTTAGCGCCCCTCGTCCGGCGGCGCGACGAGTCCGGAGGAGCCTCAAATGTCCGGGTATCTCCATGACAAACTGAATGCAAATGTGAAACGGGAATATCTGGCGTTGACATGGCTGAAGATGTTGTTTGGCTGGTCGAGGATGAGGTCGCGGAAACAATATATCGCATCTCCAATTTTCTCCAATTCCTTGATCCGTCATCAGCAAAGCGTTTTGGCTTCTTCGCTGTCTCTCACTGCATCCGTGCTGGCGCGGCGGCCCTGGAATCGAATGAATGGCATTGGCAGCGGGCCGAGGGGCCCCACGGCGCAAGGTACCTTTACGGCGGTATCCATCCATAAAGGTACCCTTTCACCGTCCAGTGGGCGACGGGAAGTGGGCAGTGTCACATTCCTCGGCACCAAGATTCTCCTGGTCATCTGGGCTCCTCCAGCACCAGGAGGCCATCCAGGAGATGATTCAGCCAGTGTGTTCCCATGATGAGCTCTCCTCCAGTTTGAGCTGAATTTCCCAGAGTATCGTATGTGTGTCACGACTCAAAGACATTGATGATGAGAATGAAATTCGCGGCGCGGTCGGCGCAAAGGGGACAAACCATGCATCATCCCTGGAACAGCGCGGGGACCCTGCTGGGGAAAGGCTCAAGCAAAACCTGGAGCAAGGCTCGCAAGGGGGAGTTTGGGGACATCTCCACGGCATCCGCGCTGAAATTGTCCAATGGAACAGATGATCATCAAACCCCAGATTTGGTCAGATCAAGTGCGCCTTATAAGTTGCGGTTTCCCTTTTCAAGCCGTCTTTCGGACGTACGGCAAGTGGTGACGCTGTGAAAGTTTCGGAGAGTGATGACCAATTTTGTGAAATTTCGATGCCAAGACGTTGTACTACGCCAAAAAGTTTTGGGTGTGACAACATTCAGACATGTGCAAGTCAGGCTACAAATGTACACCCGCCAGCCCGGATTTGCGTACGGCACGCACGCGACCAATGCGTCGGTGGGTGAAACAGCTTCTCCGCATCGTCACTCATGCTGGGAGCATTGAACCAAAGAGCAAGCTGCTTGGTCGTCTGTTGGTCGCAGATCCAAGAACATCAGTTGTTTAATATAATCAGGATCGCGCGCCTGCTCTTTATGAAGCAGATGCGCTGTTAGCAAAGAGTACAGAGATAACCTCAAGCTTATGTACAGTAACGCTTTCCAAACGAGCGAGAGGCCCGGCCCCAAGCTCGAGCTCAGCAGTACACCCATTATGATACGCACGCGGCCACCTCATTACAAGCCGTCGTCTCTTCTACCCTCATCCTCATGGCAAGATCATTAACCAACCTCTCCAGTCATCCCGCGTTATTAGACAAAGCCCCAACATGTTAATCGACCTTGCTCTTCTAGAACAAATTGGTGCTCTGCGATTGCGAGAGAGGACTCCGGCCCGCTCCGCACCAACAGCTAGACTCTCCCTCACGCTCAACCTGTAGCGTGATGTCGATGTGTTGTCCCAGCAGATAGTTGCGCACGCGATCACGAACGTCCTCCAAATCCGCACCCCGAACCGCCTGAACGTGCATCACTCCCAACAGCATGTTCGCAGAGCTCTCCTCGCCCGAATTGCGATCGTCGATCCAAAACTTGGGCACCGAGTAGCTCGCGACGCCTCGAAGACCCGAAATACCCGATAGCGTTTCCCGGAGATTGTACTCAGTCTCCGGAGGGATCGTAAGCAACAGTCTCCGGGCGGAGGACGTGACAAGCGGCAAGGACGAAAGAAGAATCAAAACGGCGATGAGGAAGCTGGCAAGCGGATCCCACCCAGACCACGGGACAAAATGCGTCAAAATGGTCGAGACAATGACAGCAGCACTGCCGAGGGTATCCGCCAGAATATGCAAGTAGATTCCGTGCATGTTCTCGTTATCGTGCGAGTGCGAATGCCCTCCATGAGAATGGCCATGGGAGTGACCATGATCGTGCTTGTAGTCGTGGCTGTGGCTGTGGTTGTGACCGTGGGCATCTGAATCGCTGTGCGAGTGCGAATGCGAATGTCCACCGCCGCATGATGATCCATGAGAGTGTCCGTGGCCATGATCATGGCCATGGTGATGATGGCCAAAAGCGGCCATACCAACCAGGTTCACCAACAAGCCCATGGTACTAACCACGAACAGCTCTCCCAACCTCTTGGTTTCCCTGCCCTCCATCATTCTCTCGATCGCCTCGAACATGATCTCCACACTGATCAGAACCAGAAACACACCGTTGGCAAAACCGCTCAGTGTCTCGATCTTGCCGAAGCCGTACGGAAATCGCTCGCTAGGAGGCCACTTGCTAGCAACAGCTGCGAACAAGCCGACCGCCAAGGCAACACAGTCAAAGAACATGTGTATACTGTCGCTCAGGAGGCCGAGGGAATCAGTGACATAACCGTAAAACGCTTGTACAGCCATGAAAGAGAGGTTTATTCTGTGAAAAGGGGGTTAGCAGAGGCAAGTATAGTGCTGACCGCGAAGCAGAAGGCGAACTTACGACATGAAGTAGAAGATGCGCCGAGAGTCCTTCTCCGTCATAACCGCATGGATCAACGGGTACTTGGAGGTATACGGGAGCAGAAACGCTGTGAATCTCGACCACTCAGCAGAATGGTCATGATGCGAGTGCGAGTGCCCATGCAAAGTGGCCGAAGCCGGCGGTTCAAACCCATGCCCCTTATCAAAGCCAGCGGTCGTGGGCGTGATGATGGGTCTTCCGCCAGCAGTTGAGCCCGTTCGAAAGTGCTTGATGGCCCCTAAAGGGGGAATATTGGGGCGTATCTTTGTAGGTCCTGGCGAGTGATTGTGGTCATGATCGTGGTCATGGTCGTGGTCGTGACTGTGGTCATGGCTATGGTCGTGGCTGTGGTCATGTCCATGGTCGTGATCGTGAGCATGACTGTGGTTGTGACCGTTGCTTTGCGTCTTGTTGTGTGAATGCGCTCCGGTTGCGCGCGAGTCCCTACGGCTGCGCGAAGAGCCTAGGGAGCTCAGAGAAGGGAGCGACGGCGGTGTATGGGAGTGCGCATGCCCAGGCGAGTGGTCGTGGGAGTGTCCGTGTGAGTGTGAATGTGAATGGTCGCAATGGTCGTGTCCATGACCGTGGGAGTGCAAGTGGTCCGAAGCCAGATGATGGTGCTGCGGATATGTGGACGCCGGCAAGGCGTAGGAGGTAGCCATTATGATATTATAGCAATATCTGAGACAACACTTGGCTAGGGTATTATCGTGTGCGGTGTCTAGGAGAGCTTCGATGCTCCTATTATCGATCTATACCGCTCGGCATGTGGTTGTCGAGTAGAGATTTCAAGGAGAGATGGCCGGCGCAAGCTTGCGTTTGTCGCTGGATGTGTTGCGATAACGAAGGACTGTTTTGGTCTAGATATCAACACGGACAATGGCATCAGCTACAAGCCCTTGTGCAAAAACCACTACGCCATTCGACGGCAAAAACACCAATTGAGAGGCTCACTGCCAGTGCAATATGAAATTAAATCAAAATATTACCTACCGCCACTCTTTATCCCTGGAGTCGTCGTCGTGTGTACCCTTATGGCTCCGAAAATCGCGACGATCGGGTCTCGTTCACTGGTGAGACATGCGGTTACGAGTTTCGGTCAGGGGAAAGCAAGCAGCACTCCGGTCCGGTAGGTGTCACAGAGGGCTGATTTTGCGTTGGGGCCGCGATTCGGACGGGTACGAGGGAAGGCAAAACCGACAACAGCGGGAAAGTTGACAAGATGCGAAGGAGACTGAGAATTCGGTGTTGTTGTGGTCTAAATGGTCATGGCCAGTCCAGAGCAACCGGTCCCTCGTCCGGTGTCTTGTCTTGGGTCGCTGGGTCCCCTGGGGCTCCCGTCTTTCCCACTCGCAGTCGCGACTCTCGCCGGCCGCCTTCCTTTTCTGAAAGAAGTCCATCCCATGTCCGTGTGGGGAAGACAATCGGACCCCACCGTGATGGGAACAATCATTGGCTGTGTTGCAACGACCGTACTTGACCCCTGCGCCGGCAGTGGCCATTGCATGAACCGGGGGGTTCTCCACGGGGGATAATCTGTGCTAACCATCAGCGCGAAGTCACCATCCAAACGTTAACAAAGTCGATCAGCTATTATTGATGGTCAATTCAATGATTGCTTCACTTTTGGCCAGTTGACATGCTCTCAATGATTCCTATTACGTCCTATGAGAAGATCACAAACACCGAGCTGACTTATTTCTCACAAACTCACTTTCACTGTTGTTCTGCGGCGTCATATCACACAGACATCAAGTTTGCACCCCCGCGCAAACCTGAAAACCCACCGATCTCCTGCGCATGAGACGGTGCAGGTGACAGCTGTCTCGTACTGTGCCGCTGTCCACTGTAGCCCCAGCACTCAACCTCGCCCCTGATCTTCCGCACTCCAAACCACCATGTACAGAGGTACCTGTACACAAACACACCACTCGTGATGGCTTCAATACTTGTTGCCCTCGTAGGTCCCTTGGTCCTTACAGGACTGGCGCTACTGGTCACATACCTAGTACTAGGCCCCTCCAAATATGGCGGTCCCTCCTCAGGCAAAGGAGTGGTTGTCCACGTTCTCGTTCTCGGCGATATTGGCCGAAGCCCACGCATGACATACCACGCCTTGAGCATAGCCAAACACGGCGGAAAGGTGAACCTCATCGGTTATCTAGGTAAGTTTAACCACCACGCCCGCCGCCTTCATCGTTTCCATCAACCCACTAACAAACCCCCCCCCCAGAAACCCCCCCTCACCCCTCCCTCCTCTCCTCCCCCTCCATAACCATCCACCCCCTCCCCCCTCCCCCCGTCCGCCCCCCATCTGTCCCCTTCCTCCTCTTCGCCCCCTTCAAAGTCCTCCACCAGCTCTTTTGTCTTTTCACCCTCCTCGCCTACACCCTGCCCCCCTCTCAATGGCTGCTCGTTCAAAACCCGCCCTCGATCCCCACCCTCTTCATCGCCGCCCTCGTCTGCCGTCTCCGCGGCGGCAGCACCAAGCTCCTCATCGACTGGCACAACTACGGCTGGACCATTTTATCTTCCACCCGCGGCCCGCGCCACCCGTTGGTATACATCGCCAAGCTGTACGAGTGCCTCTTCGGCCGTCTGGGTGACCACAACCTAACCGTCACCCACGCCATGGCGCGCCAGCTTCGCAAGCCGCCGTATAACATCCGGGGGCCGATGACGGCCGTGCATGACCGGCCTGCGGACATTTTCAAGCCGATGTGGTGGGGCAAGGCGCGGCAGGAGGTGTTGGAGCGGGTGCTCCCCGCCGAGCAGAGGGAACTGGTACCCAGCATCATGGAGGGCAACACGAAGCTGATCGTCAGCAGCACGTCCTGGACGCCCGACGAGAACTTCGGTATCTTGCTCGATGCGCTGGTGGCATACGCGGCAGATCCCGTATCGGAGGAGACGCCCGTGTTGGCGGTTATTACGGGGAAAGGTCCACAGAAGGAGATGTACTTGCGGCAGATTGAGGAGCTTACGGGGAGTGGACAGTTGCCGAATGTGAGGATCGTTACGGCTTTCTTGCCGTTTGAGGACTACGCGAAGCTGTTGGCTTGTGCGGATCTGGGCGTGTGTTTGCATATGAGCAGCTCGGGCGTGGATCTGCCGATGAAGGTGGTGGATATGTTTGGGGCAGGGCTGCCGGTGGCTGCGTATTGTGGGTATGAGAGCTTTGGGGAGTTGGTGAAGGAGGGTGTGAATGGGAGGGGGTTTGAGCGTTATGGGGAGTTGGCGATCATCTTGACAACGCTGTTGAGTCCGGAGGGGAGCGGGGAGTTGGAGGTGTTGAGGAAGGGGGCTGTTAGTGAGGGGAGGAGGAGATGGGATGAGGAGTGGGATGAGAAGGTTGCGAAGATTATGGGATTTGCGGCGTAGTTCTTCATGTTGTTGTTGAGATTGGCCTAAATCAACCTGTAGTTGGTATTGCTTGCGTGTATGTATATCTTAATACACCTAATACTTTCCTTTCACTTTTTACGACACTGATTGCTTAGTGCTGCCAACTGAGCTACATTTCTGACTCTTCAAATGGGGATCACACAGTTTGGTCCCTCTCAGATGATGGAAAACTTCGCCTGTTTCTTGAATGAACGGTCTACTACCTCGATCTCACATAATATGGTCTCTTAACGAGACTTCATCCCTCTCAAAGCAGTCTATCTCTATACAGTCTTCTCATTTGTAAGAGTGCACGAGGTTCTGTACTGTGGATGTTAATTCAAGAACTTGCCTCCACACCCACCACAAATCCCATCCCCCAACATCGCGATAATCTCTCCCCTAATCCTCTTCTCAGCATTCTTCCTCTTAATATCCAGCTGTTCCTCTTCAGTCAGGGGACGGGCATCCTCATCACCTTCACCTTCCTGCATCTCCACATCGCCATCTTTGTCCTTCTCCTGCTGCTGCTTGTCCTCATCCGCAAACTTGGGATTAGCAGGAATGCATTTCCTAGCCAAGATCTCCGCCCGCATGGTCCTCGATCCACAAGCGCCGCAGTTCCTCGTGATTCCAGGCATTTGGATCGCCAGTCCACTTGTCGTGCACACGCTGAAGAAGTGGCCGTTCTCACAGCCGCTCAGGTCGCTGCGTTTGTCTTTTTGCTGTTGTTGGTGGTTCTGCCGTTGTTTGGCAGGTGGCAAGATTCTGGCGCCGCAGAGGTCGCATTTCTGGCGCGCTATGGCGTACGCAAACAGCGTGTTGAGCTTTTGGGGGAACTGGTGTTCTGGAGCGTTGAGGTTGATGAGGTTGGAGGGGTGATTGATGGTCACGCCGGGGACTTCGTCGCCACCGCCGTATAGCCATTCGAAAAGACGGGCTTCAGTCGTCAGCCTCGATTGGGATTGTTGAGATTCTGCTGGTTTGGTGAAAGACTTCCGTTTTGGCACCGGTGGTGGTGTCACGGGCCTTTCAGGTCCACGGAGGGCTGGGTCAATAGCTTCTTCGGCGTCTCTCTCCTTCTCTTTCTCTGTGGCCTCCTGCACTTCATCGGCCTGATTCCGAGGTAGTGTAGCGCCCCTTTTTCGCGGCAAGGTTCCGAAGAACACTGTCGATCGTACCGTATGCCACCCACCACGTTCTGGATGCTGCGTGCTGTGTAAACTAGCAATCATTGCAGTGACATTGCCACCTGGTGACACCGTGAGGCCGTGTAGTCTGAACCGATGCGGGTGGATTTCAGGGACCTCTGGTGCCACTGCCATCGCGTCTTTTCCGTTGTTAGCGATGTCGATGGTGTTATCATCGTCATTGCCATAAAAATCATCGTCGTCCAGATCTTCGTCCTCATCCGACTCGTCAGACACCACGGAAGCATCATCATCCCCATAACCCCGTTTGAAATGCATGTCAGCGGGAACACTGACGGCCAACTTTTGCATAACCTGAGTCACCCATTGCGGCTCGTGAGTCTTGCTAGGCGAATTAACGAGGTCACTATCCTCGTTAATCGACGTAGCAACTTCACCGGGAAGGGCTGGCACATTTGTCTCGTACCAGTCAAGATTGGTAGAGGTTGCCGACATGCGAAGAAGTGTAAACAGCGGAACAGGTGTCTGGTTCTTAAGGTCTGGACGGTGGATGACGAGGTCTGTTTTGGATATCAGTATGGAAGTAAAAATACGAGACATGATACTGGAAGTGTACTCACCGATGATAGGATTTGTTGATGGCAGGTCAACAGCTTCGTCTATGTATGTCGTTTCACAATCACTTGAATCATGAGGCTCACAGCTGTATTCCGCACCGCCAATGAGCGCTACCTCAAATGGCTTGTAGTTAAAGCCCGCGACGATAAGTCCACGACAGTACTTGACCCTGCCTGCATTCCATACCTGTTCATAACCATTAGCAAAAAAACATTGCCTGAATAGTCAGTGGCGGTATGGCTTACAGCGTCTTCAAACTCCACAAAGGAGTCTGTCGAAAGGTGAAGACATCTGCCGTATGTGTCTGTCTCCTCAAACTTGAGTTCCGGCAGCTCTCCTCGCTTCCAGTTAGAGGCAAGCGTAATTTTACGGAAACCGACATAGTTCCTGTCGACGTAGGAAAGAAGGCAACTGCGTCCACCCCCTTCTTCTACCCATGGGCTGAAGTTGATCCCGAATGATGTGCCAAAGGGGACCCAGTCTGGATCCATAACCTGCCATACTGCGTAAGCTTCGAGTTCCCATGCGGAGTTCTAACTGGAAAGATACTCACATTTCCCTTGGGATGAGGCCCTGAACACTGGAACCTCGCCACCTCATTCACATACCACACCAAGCTTTCCTTGGACTCGACCAGTAAGGAAATGTTGCTTTTACTCCTCGTTTCGTCAACCTTTAGCATGCTCTGTACACTGATCAAGGCCACTTCTCTCTGATCATTGATCGTAGCGAGAAGGGCTTGTCCAGGCGCGATCTCTTTTGCCCAAGCAAATCCGTGGATGTTCTCCGTCAGGGCAAGTTGTTGGCCGGGTACCATTAACCTTTCGCCAACGCCCCAAAGCACGCTCCAGGATATCAATTCCCTGCGCTGCAGCATTCCTTCGTTTGCCCTCGGTAAAATGTTGGCCACAGCGCTATCGTCTCCGTACATGGCTAGAGTTCCAGAGCCCGTTAAGATGGCGAGTATAGGTCGCCGATTGAGCCCCAATCCGGAGGGCGACCAAGCTATCCTCACAACATGGTTCATGCTACTGCCCACGCCAGTAATGGGTCCGAAACCAGCGCCAAAAGGTTGATTGGCGCGCTGATGGGCGCCGATACCGTCATCATCGGAGTCATCGGCAGAGCTCGGCGCATCCGAGACGTCGTCCTCACTATCAGAGTCGCCATCGTCGTTACCGCTGGCAGCTGCTTGATTGTCGTAGGGAAACGGAAGGTTCTGCGTCTGGAAAAGCTCCCTGTTGATTCGTGGATCTAGTGGTGGGTAGGAGACAGGCATGTGCTTGCTGCCTTCGGAGAACTGGGCTCTCGGGTTGTTGCGCCGGCTTTTGCTCTGGCCTTCCTCATCATCAGACCAGGACGTTGACGGAGTGTCGCCATTGGGCTCCGGGGAGTGCAAGCCAGGAATGAAGATTTGGTGGTGCCGGACCTGTGCTTGGGCCATCTTCTCCTTCTCCTGCCGTCGTTTAGTAAGGTCTGGAAACTCTGGGACGTAGACATGGACGGAGTCGTCAGCGGCTACGGCCAGCTCCCCATCACATGAGAAGGCAATGGCACGCTTCACCAGGGGCCGTGAGTTGAGGCTGAGTTCCCTCAAAGGGAGAAACTGCAATGAGATATTAGCAAGAGGTCACGACATAGGACATAGTGAGTGGTGTCTGATTGGTTGGCAATTATTTGATAGCTGTGGTAGTGTAGTAACTGACAATCTGCACAGGCGGCAGTCCATCCATCCTTAAGCAAAAACGCCAGGTAAATCTGTCTTCGCAGTCACATGTAGATTTAAAGTATTGAAATACAGGACTTGTGAGAGAAAGGTGAAAACATAGCGAAGAGTACGAGGCTCCAGGGAGGCGACATGACAAGGACGGTGTTAGCAGCGTACCTTTTGTTGGGACTTGGGCTCGTCGCTCATGGTGCCGTGGTGGTTGCCTCTTTTGCCGTGGTTAGTAATTTGTGTAATTAGAGCACAACTAGAGGTAGTTTGTAGGAAGGAACACCATGGCGATTCTTTCGGCAGGTGTGAGTTAGTCGCCGGGATGGATTCAGAGGGTAAGTGCAATGCGCTTGCAGGATGTAAGTGAGTGAATGGTCGAAACTTTCCACTTTGGACGACGAGGACGACCAAAGCATGAACTTTGCCTGCCCCACCATATCCAGTGCCAACCCTAACCCTTCGATAGAGGCTGAGTGAAGGTCAGGGGCTCGGGGGCATCAAGGCTGCCTCTTTGAAACAGAGATGTTCCGACCTGTATTCAACATGGCCAATTCATGGGCACGCTTGTTAAACAGAAAATAACATTATTTGTAAGTTTTATGGTCCACCTCTCCTACTGCTTTATTTCTGCGCAGATTCGAGCCACGACCCCATCTGCCATAACACTGCGCATCCGACAACAGCTCCCAGCGCTGAGAGCTTCTTCCCCAACCAGTTATCATCTGTAAGAGGTTTGGCGAACTGGCTCTTGTGGGTCAAAAGGGTCTCGTTCTTCATCTCTTTCGTGGTCTCAGTAGTGGTTGTGTCCTCCTTCCCGACCGAGATGGCCTCCTCTTCGTCTGCCTTTTTTCTCAGCGCTGCAATAGTTTTGCTCAACGCAAGCATGTCCTCTTCTAGAGTTGTGTTTTTGGAACCATCAACCTCCACATTTTGTACGTTGCCGAAGAAGTCCGTCACAAGACGGCTGCGTGCTGCCTCCGCCCCTCCCGGAAACAAATCGTAGCGCACTCCCGCGTTCGAATGAATCTTTTCGTATGTGTAGCTGTCAAAGAGATCACCAACCGTCTTCTTGCTGCTGGTGTCTCTGACTTCGTTTTCGAGGAACTCGAGGTTGTAGTAAGTGTATCGATCAATGACCGCGACTCCAATATCGTTATCGGCGTGGTGGGAGTAGGACGACTGGTCGAGTTCGGAGGACCCGGTTGCGATAATATTAGGCGAGTATAGCTTGCTGTACATGGTGTTTGCTTGGCAGGTGTCAATCATGAAGAGAATCTCGTGGTATCTATGCGCAAAAGGAGTTAGCATCATCTAAGCACTTGCGCAAAGAGGACGTGTAGGGGAACACACCTCTTCTTCTCCCACATTTGCTCGAAAGCATCCGCCAAATCAAATGCGCCAATCTCCTCGGCATCCTGGAACTTGAGAAACTCGTTGCCTCCGTGTCCCGTCATGTACACCAAAATGTTGCTCCGATCGTCTGTCAACAACCTCTTGCTCCGGGGCATCTCATCGCCCACACGATCAGTCAAGAGACGGATAAAGTTCTCCACCGTCACTTCATATCCCCTATAATCCACTTCGATGTTGTCGCCATAGAGATCCACGGCGCGGTCGGCGTTGGAGTACACAGTTCCGGGGAAGGCATTGCGGGGATTGCATGCCATGTCATCCGGAAGCATGAGAATGATTTGCGAGTCGGGGATCCCGAGGCGCTTCACGGTGCGGTAGATGGACAACACATTGGCAAGATGGCGGTAGTTGAACCAGAACCGGGACGTGCAGACGAGGACGGCCCAGTTACTTGTGTGTTCGGCCTCGACAACGGCGGCGGTGCCAAGCAACATCGCGCCCAAGAGGGCCGGCAGCCGAAGAATACTGCTAAGCTTCATCTTTGATTTGGTCCGGATCCGAGATGTCGGGATCGGTGGCGGTACCTCTGCCGAGTGTCGCCGAGTGTCGAGAGACCGGGAGGAAGAGGAACTGCTGTCGGGTGGATGGGGGGCGAGTGTCGCGTGGATGGGGGTTCGGATGGTATTCTGATTTCAAAGCGTTTCCGTATCCGTCGTCCCTTCGCGACCCATGATCAAGGCAGTCGGCCGCTCGGTTCTTGTGTTGTCGACGGGAGATGTGTGGAGGAGTGTTGGTCGAAGCGCGGAAGGAAGCATGCGTGTCGAGAATGGTTGTGCAACACTGAGCGCAGAATCCGGGCCAATCCCGACTGCGTTGCGGTCCCTGCAAGCTGTCATGGGCGCGTTCGTTTAGGCGGCTTTAGGCCTGGCAAGGCCTGGTTACATAATGCCATAATGCTTGGCGTAATGAACCATTTCAGGGGTGTCCTCGCAGCTCTTGGACGTCAATTGAGGGGTGCTGCTTTCCCCTGGACGGCGAGCTAGGCTTGACTGGAACAAGAGCTTGAAAGCTTCAAAGATCATCTGACACAAGCGCATCCAAGTGTACATACCGGTACGGACATCGATTACTGTACGTCCAAGCGCGCTGCGAAATACGGAGTGGTGAATACAGGTATTTTCAAGCCCGTCAGTTGTTGTTGCCTCTTCACCACAGTGGCAGTTTCCCATCCACCATCTGCCACTCATCCTACCATAAAAGTCACACGTCCAATCAGTACGAGTTAAACCACCACATGTGATATGAAGTGACGACAAGGTGCATCTGTTAATAACCCCAAGGCATCCGAGATTTACGTTTAGTTGGATGAGAAGGAGGGGGGAGTATGGATCGTCCCATCTCTATTACTAACCGTTCCTCTCTCTTTGATTATAAACGTAAGCAAACATCTAAACCCTGGTCGCAAACAACCTCTACACATCAAACTCACACTCCCAAACAGCCAGTCATCCTCAATTTCGTACGTACTCTATACAACTGCGTCACGGCGCCTGGTCAGTTGATATTGTTCGCAACCGGGCTGTAGACCAGAATCAGGCCAGAGCTTTGCCTCTCTCGTGAGCGTGGCACGTCCTGCGTCCGAGTTCCAAGTGAAAGTCAGACCAATCCGAACAAATATATCACGCCAAGAAGGAGCTAAACGAGCAATCACCCGGCTCATTGAAGGTTGGTCGCCCAGACTTGCACTTCAGGTTTGTCAGGGTTCCTTCAGTTCCTTCCCTCAAGCGCGCTTTGTTGATGTCCAGAGTTCTGACTCCCAGTGGAACTCCGGCAGCTTCCATTCTTCTTTGACGCTGCACGTTTCCTCCACCATTGCGCGCTAATCCCCACCCCGGGAGCCGCTACGCTGGCTGCAGCCCCGCTTGTGTGTGCGTCAACTCTATTAACATTAAGAAATATTAGAGTCCGATCGAGAGGGACGGTGAACCTTGCAACACGTCTGCAACCTTGTCGAAAACACTGCAAGTGGCCCGGGCATTACATTACTTACGACTTGTTGTTTACCTCGCAGAAATCCCAAATCGGACGCCGGTTCTCGCATCGCAATCCAAGACCCCAGGTTGACTAATTCTACATCTGCTTTGCCTCTGGTCGGTCATCCGGGACCTACAAGTACAGTAGCACTCCCTTCCCTTCCAGTTCCCCTCGCGTCTCCAACGTCGACCATAAACTCCCGTCCAACTACCGTCCCTCCGTCCGCTCCAGTCTTCCAACTTCCCGCTCTCAGTCCACCCCAGCCGTCTTCCACCGGTCGATCCAGATTTTTACGCCCCCGCCGTCACAGTATTCAGCCACAGCCTCGTTTTCTAGCCTGCACAGATATCGATCGCGACGGGCTTATTCGAGTTCGGGAGGCCTCGGCTCAGCCCTGACAGACATCTCTGCAACCCATCGTCATCGTGGGCCTGCCCTTCTCACGTCAAAGGGACGTCTCGCCTTCCCCAAAGAGCCTGGATCCCAGCTTTGCTCCATCCTCCGAGTTCTACCTATTACACACAAACCCCTGCGCGAAATCGGACCCTGAGTCCCAAGTCCTGAAACCTTCAGGCATACAGAATTCCTTTGTCCGGAACGAGAGTCCCTGGGCCCATATAACCATATAAAGCACCAGCTGCTGTTTCGACGTCTTCAACACCTCGCCTTCTTGTCTTGGCCATCGACATACCAAGATCCACAGGATACCAACATGGGCAAACCCCCAGCATACCTTTTCGTTGTGAGGTAAGCTGAATTTTTGTGTACCTTGATGGCCACGGCGTTGCTTTCTGCGCGGCGTCTTGTGGCCTTCGTGTCTCCAATTTTGTCCGGACGTAACTGACCACGCCATGAAACAGGCACGGATTGCGCCTTGATGTAGCCGACAAGAACTGGCATCTCACATCGCCGACTCCCTACGATCCTCCCCTCACATATAGTGGCTGGAACCAAGCCAAAAACCTTGGAGCGCGGATAGGGAACATTATCCGAGACAGAGTCAAGGAGGACGAAACAGCTGCCAAGGCCGCAGCGCAAACCGACCCCTCGGCCAAACCGAAACGCAAACGATACGAGGTCGTCATTCACAGCTCCCCGTTTCTGCGATGCATCCAGACCTCCGTTGCCATCAGTGCCGGTTTGGCACAAGACTCGACCCCATTCGGACCCTCTACGGGAGGCGATAACAAAGAGCTTTCAGGGAGCTTTGCCCACGGTCACCGAGCAAGGCCGTCTACCGCGTCCGATTCTGCTTCTGGCCCAGCACCCTTAAAGATAGTACAAGGGTCGGCCATCCGCAAATCTGTTCTCCGGCTGGACGCTTTTTTGGGCGAGTGGCTGTCACCTGGCTACTATGAGCTCATCAGCCCACCTCCCGAGTCTGTCATGATGCTTGCAAGCGCCAAGGCAGATCTCCTCAGACGCGAAGATTACAGCAGCTACCCTAATTTCAACGCTCACCATCACTCAAACTCCCAAGGGCAGCTTTGGAGCCCGACCGCGCAGCGCACGCATAGCCCTCTTTCCCCGACAATTAGCCCCGTTGACCATCTGGAGAAGGATGACCTGTCCAGCGTGGCCGGTTCTCTGCCTAGAAGCGAGAGCGCCAGTAGCCAGAGTACCTGCCAGTCTCAACCCGATTCTACCCTGCAGTCGGCCACTCAACCGTTTCCAGCCATGGGTTACGTCCCCCCAGTTCCCCATTACGCAGTCAATGGCAATAACACTATCCCTCCGGGCTATGTCGCACATGCTCGGGATGCGTGCTGTGATATTGACTACCAATGGGATTCGATGCGGGCTCCTCTGAACTGGGGCGACGGTGGTTCCTTCCCCGAGGAATGGACCTCGATGCATAGACGGTTTGGCGCAGGTATTCAGATGCTAGTTGACTGGTATTCCACGGCCGAGCACCCTACCAAGATGGTCACCAAGACGGTTTCTCGGTTCGGTCGGAGAGAGTCGACCCAGGCCCAGGAATCCGAAGATAGTGACGACGTGGAGACCGAATCTATCGTTATTTTGGTATCGCATGGTGCGGGATGCAATGCACTGATTGGCGCCATTACCCATCAACCAGTCCTCGCAGACGTTGCCATGGCGTCACTCACAATGGCGGTTCGGAAGCCGGATCAGGAAATACATGAGAGTATCCAGCGAACGAACACTGGCCAGAAGGGAACGACGCCCATCCATCACTACTATGATCTTAAGCTGTTTGCCAACACAGACCATCTGCGTACCCCTGGCCAAGCACCGAACCTGTCGCGGTCTACATCTATCTCCATCGCTAGTGTCGCCACTGCCCGGAACCGTTACACTCACTCCCACTCTGTTTCCACGACGTCGAATTTCTCCTATCAAGACATTGTGGGAGGGAGAGGGGGTGTGTCTGACAGTCCCCTGAGCGCCAGTCGCAGAGTCTCTAGTGGCTCCTCCACCACTCCTAGGTTTGTGTTTGGTACCTCCAGTGCCAGCAACGGAAGTGGAGGTGGGATTACGGTTGGAAGTGGTGTCTCATCATTCGGCTTGAGTAAGCCTTCGAGTCTCTCAACAGGCCGTGGACGTAAGGTGTCTATGGGACTGTGGTCACCAACCAGCCTCCGCAACAGTACTGGATTCGATGATGACGATGACGATGATAACATGGTCCTGAATTTCGGTAATTAGTTCGACGACATGTGCGGGTAACCACCTCTCGCATAAATTTCCTTGGTCGTATTCAACAACATAAGCATACGGGATAAGCGGGCGTTTTGGGTTTTTTTTTACAACTTTGTCTTGCCGCAATACCAGAATATGAGGGGTCATTTCTTGGGTGTGGAAACCGGGGAACTTGGGATGTCTTTGAATTTGGTCCGGGCATTAGGAAAAAAGGAAGGAGAGAAAAAGAGGATAGGACACATTTGGGTGTACGCCCTCACGGGAGAATGAACCTATTCGACTTGCATGCCTTGCTTTTATTTGCTAGGGCTCTACGGTCATGGTACCACGGCGCAAACGGTGTTTTCTCCTCTCCTCAGTCTCCCAAGCATGGGTTAATCTGTATCACTAAAACGCAGTCATTATCTTGGAAATATTGCAACTCCGTTCCTTCTCACAGATCCGAATACTGCCTGTGCACAGCGTGTACGTACACAACCTACACGCAAGCGAAGCCGGAGATGACAATGGCCACAGAGCATATACATCATTGGCCGCAACGTCACCTGGTGTGATGTTGAACATCAAAGCTCCTAGAGGTAACTCGCCGGTTGTCCTGCAACATATTTGGGAAAAGGATCCCGATTACACTGCTTCGAACCACTCTCATCACTCTAACCACTGGATGCAATTTAATTCGTAACCCCCGTGGCTTTGCTGACATGACTCTCTTGTTGTTTGAGGACGATTTAAGGATGGCCTGGATTTCGTTTCAACAACATGCCACATTTTCGAACTGATAAAGCCCCTTAATTTGGTTGGTGGTGTCGGTTCAAAGGATTTAAATCGGCATGTTTGGAAAGTTTTTACTTCCCAATTTCTGATGTTTTTGGTTCACTCCTCTCGTGTAGATGGTTGCATTTAACCGTAGATGCAAGGCCCTTGGTCATAAAAGATCGAACGGGAATCGAACGGCCATCGAACTACGGACTACGGGCTGGCCAGCCATGGGCATTGGGTGACAATGTGGGAAAGGAGAGGAAACGTCTCTTGTGGAGTGTTTTTACCCGCGGCCCGCCGCTATGCAGTGTTGAATCCGCCTTAACCCCGGCGCGTCCCGGGTCGCCCGGGCCCGCCGAAGCATGGACCCCTGGGCCCCACTTGCTGCCACGGATCTCGGGAGGATCTCGGGGGGTGTCTGTCCCGTCTAGACTAGGCGCCCGTGCCGCTAAAAGAAGGGCCCACGGGGGTGTGTTTTTGTCCATCAATGGTTAACAAAGAACGAGTCTCTGATGTCACCCTAACCCACTCAACCTTCAGAAGACGAAAAGTTCACGGTTCCGCAACAGAGAAACTTCCGGATCACCGCTGGTCTGGCTGGTTACTCCTTGGAGATGATGGCAAACATTCTATCCGCCCGTGCTGAGTACTGTCTTTTTGGGTCTGGGATAAGGTTCCGTCCGAGTCGGCATATCTAGATCTCATGGGTGGGATGTTTCTGGCCCTTCCTCGACAGATGTTCTGGCAATTCTGGACAAGTCAGGTCACATCAGCCCTGCCACTGCCCGGTCAAACGTGCGGTTGTGTCCCTGCACCCTGCTGAGCACCCTGCTGAGCACTCGCGTAGAGGCCGTAGAGCCGTAGAGTCGTAGAGACCGACTGGAACCCTAGACCCCCGGCCCCCTCGACTCTGCTCGATAATCCTGTCCATCAGCCCATCCATATCCTGACTTTCTCGGTCGCATCCCGGACACTGAGCAGACGTTTTTGGCCACTCGTTCGGCCTCCTGCTCCTGTTTCGCGGTATCTAGTTCTGCTGCGGAACAACGGCTCCATCCGGGACTTGGTATGTCCATACAGACGCCCATCGATGTACATGTGCTATCAAGACACATAACGTCACCGCTCTCTGTTGGCGGACGCATCCGCCACGGGCGCGGACGGCTCGTTGGACTACGATAGCGAACGTAGCTACGACGCTAGAGGTACACTTGGCATCCATGACCACCACAACATGGTCCGCCATTGAGAACAGACATCTAAGACCGTTATCCTGATCCGAGTTGGACGAGATAACTGTTGTGGAGGGCTTCTTTATATACCGTGGTCCTTTGTTCGTCACGCCGGCCTACCTTTTCCCAAGCTTCTTCAGACAATCGAGCACTTGCGATATCACACCTTACCTACGGCTTTGGTGGACGAGCCTTTCATATTGACTTCAATCTGATTCGAACAACTATCGATATTACATCCTTCAGACAGCGACCAGATGGGTTCTACAAGTGCCATGGACTCGTTGCCCAACGAGGTATGTTATCATATGTTATCCAGGCCTTATCACTTACACGGAATCCCCTCTATTTGCACCCTATCGCACTAGCGCCAAGCATCATCCGCTAACAAACACCACCCGAAAACCAGATTCTAAACGACATCCTCGACCTGCTTCCAACTCGCGATCTTCTTCCTCTTGTTCGCGTGAACAGCCATTTCTACTCGGTCGCTTTGCACATTCTCCACCAGCGCCTTTTGCAGGCCGCTGCCCTTCCAGAACATCGTCTCATTCTTGAATGCTACCACCCAAGCGCGAAGCTCTCGACCCCATACCTATACTGCGATTATCTCCGCACAGATAAGCTCGGTGCTGGCCCCAATGGCGACGAGGAAGCCAACGGGCCCGAACCCGAGCCGACTCTTGCCGGATTAAAGGGCCTATACTCACACTTCAGACCCGTCGTTCAGGAGGAGAATCGCCGACCGAGGCTACGCTATCCAAGACGGCAACAGCAGCAAGCCAACAACGGAGCACCATCCACAGATGTCAAGGACCACCGACCGTCCGAGGAGGTCTTCCTCGACGAAGGCGAGGTTCTCTCCCAGCTCTGCTGCACAACTAACCTCGTCAAAGTTGGACCGAAGCCCGGCTTTTTCCTCAGTAACGTCAATGTAAGCGACGGCGTCATGCGTGTCTGGCGCAGTTGGTTATCCGATCAGATCAAAACCCCGACCTCATCAGTATCGTCGTCGGCGTCCTCATCAACCACAGACCTGCACGCCAATGCGAAGAGAAGCGAGCAGCGAGAAGCAACACCAGAAAGAGCACCCGAATCCCCAGAGGAAAGACTCGCCAGGCTAGCGGAAGCCAAAGCAGCCAGGGCCGTTCTCTGGGCTGACTCCGAGCGGAACGTGGGCGTCCGCTTTCGTGTTACGGAAAAACCGACTGACGATTACACCAACAACCGCCACTACCGGCGCGAGCAGCCGCTGCTTGTGCCAGCCGACGAAGCATACGATGAAGATGAACAACCGGTTGCCTATCAGCTCGAATTCGACGAGGTGCTGGTGAGGTCGAGCAGGCTGCTCTTCATGATGCAGAAGAGCGAGGAAGTGAGCGAGGGTGCGGGAGGGAACCATGAAGGTACGGCTGTCATTGTGTCTTTTGCATGATTGCGAGCTATATCCCTTTTCCCTATGTCCTATTTGATCCGATTCCCCGACGGAAGCAACAAACTTGAGCGTCTTTGGAGAGACCCGAGAGAATGGGAAGGTAAGTAGTATGTTGGCTTCAAATGCTGCTTGTCTGCACATGGGGCGAAGGCTGGATGGAGGGAGGTGTTGGGGTGTGATAACCGGCTTACCACGGTTCGTTCATCCGATCTCCTGCCGTTCAGCGCCGATGCCCATGAGACTGCGAGCAGAGTTGGACCAAATCAAGGAATCAAGTTAATTGGTCATGGGTTGCACCATTGTTCTTTTTGACGTTTAAAGAGCTTTAGCTGACACTTTCTTACGGAACAGCCGTCTTCATCGACCCAACCGGCCCAGTTCCAGTTCCAGTCCAGATGATCTTCTGGCCTTCGATGCTCATCGGTGGCGACTCGGACACTTTCCATTGGAACCACATGAGCGCCCGGGAGATGACCGGCCGGGCATAACTGGATTGAAGAGGATTGAGCTTTCGGTGCATTCAAGCGCCATCCGGTCCTTCCTTTCGAACTGAACATGGGAGACCATTGAAATGATCCGCCCTTGTCTCTACTCACCCGACAATCAGTCTTGGTCGTAGAAAGACGCCATCTCTACTTGCTTCTTTCTCTACATTTTATTTGGGCAATAGGGTCCTCCCAACGGAACTAGACCATTCGAATACCGATAGACAAGACGAACTACACGGGATAGATGGTATAGACAGTGACATGGGATAAGACAGGATAATGAGGAGCTATACAGGGCACTCAGAGATACAGATGCGATTATATCTATCGCAGATATGGGTTACGAGGAGTTTATGGGATTTCAAAACGTTTCTTGGGTCATGGAGTACAGTTTGGAGAGTCTATTAAACATTTGTTTCTAGTCACTGGCATAGGAATCAGTCATTTAATTGAAGTTACGCTAATATTGCAACTGCATTTGACCTGATGATATTCCTCAGGTTTTTTCTCCATTTTGATTGGTATGAGGAATACGTTACGCCATTCATATTGAAGCTGAAGATTGTCCCTCCTTCACCCCCCCTCGGAGCCACTTTAATCCTCGTGAGTCGTGACACAAAAGGGATGGAATGAAATCTTCGACATCATATCATGGAACATCAACGTCCCTTGGAATAGGCTTTGATGATCGAAACATATATCAGAGCGGCAAAGTCGGGTTCAAAGAAAAAAGTAGATAGGTTGAACCTATAATCTTCAAAGAACAGAGGGATGAAGCGAGGGAGGGGAAGAAGTTCCAGGACCAAAAGCCAAGAAGCTCTTTGACACCCATCCCTGGTCCCGGGAAACACGCCTTTGACATGCATTTACTTATCTACTTGTGATTCAGACATCTTACTATGAATTCTCGTCCTAATCCTCGTCCTCCTTATCACGTTGACAGTTGACAGGCAGGCAACGAACGAGTAGACTAGTTCAGCGCAGCGCAGCGCAGCGGGAAGAGTGTCGTGAGGACAACCTGAAATGAAACAGAACAGAACAGGATGTACGAGAGGTACAACTGCTATTTTTGGAGTGAACACCTACCTATAAGCACCTAAATTGCTGTACCTACATACATGCTGAGTTACTGTATATGTATATGTACCTCTGTTCCGAACGGCTGTAGTGTAAGTATGTATTTTATGTACCTTGGACAAGAGACAAGAAGGCACTGCAGCGGGTTCCCGCGACGAGCGGTTCCAGCCTTTGCTCGTGTGGATGGATGGATGGATGGATGGATGAGATTGTTTCCGATCTCTAATGTGTGGCTTTATCGCCTCTTTTTTTTTATGTGTAACCACGTCTTGCGTTTTGATGGGCTTGGGAAGGGGGACGGGAATGGGATGGGATGGTGAGTGGTGAGTGGGCTGGATCAGGGGAGATGATGCCGCTTTTGGGAGAGGAAGCTGTTGAATCTGTTGAAGATTAGGTGATGAGTGTACCATCCGGAGGATGATACGTGTAAAGTATGAAGAATGCAGTGTTATAATATAGGGATTCAACAATGGTGATAATGGCTAGGTGAGCAGGGAGAGCGAAGGGGGTGTGGAAGTAGGTATGAGCGCCCTTGATCCATCCATCCTCGGGGGGTCTGCACTAACAATTTATGAACCTGCCCCTGAACAATGTAAACAATGGAATTCCCCAGGTACCTCCAGTGCATCTTTCCGACGTCGTGTCCTCGTGTGAGTGTGATGAAGAGAAATAGAGATGCTGTCCCTCCTCAAGGTCAAAACAGGGCGTCAAGCGCAATATAATGAAAATGGCATTGCTGTTGTCTCCGTTGTCTCAATACATCGGAGTCCAATTCCTTGGTGTGGTCGCAGGGCTTTTTGTGTACGGGCGTAAACACCACACCAGCTGCGGTTCCACTGTGACGGTGTGCCCCTTGCAGCAAAGACAACACAAGACCCCGCCTCCTGTGGCACCCCCCTGTAGGTGCTATTGCTCGCTATTGTCCGGCGTCCTGGTCGTCCACAATTTATGAACGCGACTCTGAGCTGGTGAGATTCTGATCTTTTCGACCTAACAATGGGTTGGATGAGTCGGTCATGTTGTGACTTGGTCCGATGCTGTCCGACAGGAGAGGTATCATCGCTGTTGCGTTCTCGTGTAGCAATTTACGAGGCGGCAATTTCCCTGCGAAAAGCGCAACAATTCGTTCACGAAAAAAGGGAACTGCTTGGAGGAGGAAGACCCAGAGCTGTCTGTACGGGAAGGTGCAGGGGAAGACGCCAAGAGGGAGGTTTTACGGGCAGGTGCCGTGACACAAGCACTTCTTTCCTTCTTTCTCTGTTTTCGTTGGAAGAACTGGAACCCGATGCAATTTTTTCGCTTCTCGCTCCTGTCTTCGATCTTCCCCCGCACAGAGTTTTTGACATATCCATCTTTCTTTCTTTTCGTTTCCAGCCGACACCTCAGACGAATGGTATCGCGTCTTGCCTGAATGCGACAGGTCCGAAGTGTCACCAATGAGTCTCCCTTGGTGAATTCAACCCCTCTTCTTCTTTTCTTCTGTCAAGCGGGCGATCAAACTGGTACGTAACCTTTCCAGCAGTACCAAAGCTCAGAAGCAACCGATGCGGAACAGGTCGACGCCGTGGCTCCCGAGACATTGGCGCCCCCTCCCGCTTCAAGTCCCGTTTCAGCTCGCTGAGAACAAGATGGTTGAGCGTACAACCGACTACTTGGGTATCCAGGGGTGTCATAATGCCGGCCTAATAATCGCCAACCCGACCACCCAAAAACTCGCTTGCAACTCATACCTACCCTCGCCGGGAACGGATTGGGGCGGGTCCTTATTATCCCTGAAGCTATAAACCTTGAGTTTACTTCCTTTACCCGACTGGGGTACAATAGACCAGCTACGAATCGTTCGTAACTTGAGGGGCTCCTGGGTACGGCATGGATACTCGGCGGTGCGACCTGAGCTGCTGGACTTTCTGTCGCTAAGAAAAGAAAAGCTCATGGCACCTAGCTCTTTCAGCTGCATGAGTAGCAAGTGTCCTGCGCATGCCAAGTACCTTTCCGATTGTCTTTCGCTCCAAGGGTTTCTTTTTCTGAAGGCGGGGAGGCCAGCAAGCTGGGAGCTTGGGAAGAGGGAGCCAAACACAGGGCGAGAAAAAAGCTTCAACATTCCTTTTCGAACTTTCCCAGACGAATCGGTTCCCGTCAGGGTGGTAATCATCTACCCTGTCGACAGGTAGGGATCGTACCCATCTCTGTCTTGCCTTGACCGGAACTGTTCCGTCTTTGTGTTTCTAGCCGTTAACAATGCTCCCTCATGCCGCATTTGGGGCGCGTTCTAATTTTCGACCATGGTATCCGTTCTGTTGATCCGTGTACAAAGCAAAATATGCAGCCTTTTACAAGGGGCCTCTTGTACCTCTTGCCAAGGCTTTGGCGTTACAGGGGGTAGAATTTGCTTGGCGCTACAGGGGTTGGAACTTTGAGCTCGATTTAGTCGAATTTTGAAGGTATTCAGAATCGGAAAAAAAAAAGACCTGCATTCGATAGCAATAAGTTCAAAGTATCCGTGATTCAAATCGCTAAGAGGTGCAGCAAAGAATGGTGGAGATATCATCGATCAACAGCAAAAAAGCAGCTTTTTCCTGTGTTTTCTGATCAACAACTCTTGGCATCTCACGATACCCTTTTAGGAAGCTGACAGGCCTTTATGCAGGTAAAAAGCCACGTACAGGGGGGTTACAGGGCTCCCTAGTCGAATTGGTACTTCTCGAGGTCCTGAGTGCCTTCTCTAGCGCAATATGCAGTGTGATCAACTGTATATCAACAACAGGGATCATTTTTGTATGGGAAACGGATACCATGGTCGAAAATTGGAACGCGCCCTTGATCGTCGTGGGCTCTCCTCCTCGAGGTTCTCATACTGACTAGCCCCATTTGTCCCTTGTTTCCTTGTCAAGGTCTGCCAGATGTGGGCGTCAACATGTGGCCTCGAGGGCCAACGTCATGAGCAAGGCTCTCAGTCTCACAAGCGTGAAGTGTGCCTGATCTCGTGTGGGCCTCCTTCTGTGTGACATGTTCCGTCGTTCTCTTAATACCGTTGTCGAGTAACCCTTACCTTGCTCATGTTTCCCTCTTTGCTCCTCTTGCCAGTCCGTTCCTCGTTTGTGTCACTCGACTGCTTCGTTATCGACTGCTGGACAGCGGCAACGGGACAACAACACTCGCTCTGGTAACAAGCAGCTGGGTCGTGCTTTGGAAATCAAGAACTTTGGACGTTGAGCTTGCTCGGCTTGGTATTCCGAAATGGACAACCGGGATACGCTCGGCCTCAGCATGGCGTTGCCTCCACCTCCCCTTCCGACTAAGGATCGTACTTCCAAGGAACCCTCCGGGACGTCTTCTGCAAGTCCACCAGACACAATGCCTCCTACAAGCACGACACCACCACCACCAAACAGACCGCTACCACCAACACCAAGACCAAAGAAGGGCACAGCACATAGCCAATCTGGCTCTATATCAAGCACCTTTAGCTCCCCAAGAAGCCCGCCGCCGACTCGACCACCACCCTTGAAATCGCAAGCTTCGCTGTACACGATCTCGCCAACACGGCCGGAAACGGCATCATCACTGGGGAAGAAAGCTGGGCATTCAAGATTACACACGCAATCGTCGTGGACATCTCTAGCTTCGACCACAAGGACTATCAAATATGGGCGAGGCAAGCACAGTGGCGTTGAGCTGGTACCGCAACCAAGCGATGATCCTGAAGACCCATTGGTAAGTTCATACGCTTTTCTGCCACTCACTATGCAAGTTCACAAGCTCACGTTTTCAGAACTGGCCCCGCTGGCGGAAGGAGTTCAGCTTTTATGCTCTGCTGCTGATGGTAGCTTTAACTGGAGTTATGAAGACAGCCTTCATCAGTGTAAATGCTCAGGCAGCTGATGGGTATCGTGTATCATACACTGCCGCCGCGGCTTTGACCGGTGTCCCCTTGATTCTATCCGCCTTTACTGGGCTCGTCAGTCTTGTGACGTCGAGAATATGCGGCAAAAGACCGCTATACCTCATCTCATTATTACTGTTATTCATTGGTACCATATGGAACACCAGCGTGAGGACCAGCTACAGCCAATGCCTGGCCGCAAGGGTTTTTCAAGGTTTGGGATGGGGTGCATTTGATAGCTTGGTCCAGAGTTCCATTTACGATATGTTCTTTGTAAGTTCCACCCGATTCTTCATTGACTTTATCCCGTACACGGCTAACGCTTTCAAGGAACACGAACGCAACCTTCGGGTTTCCATCTACACCATTGTCGTCATCACAACTACATGGGGGGCACCACTACTTGGTGGGGTATCCTCGCGAGGCCAGACTGGGTTCGAGTTGCAGTTCACAATTCTCAGCTGCTTTTTGGTCCTTGCCGTGCCGGCCATTACCCTCGGTGTGCCCGAGACAGCATATGACCGCACTTATGCACTACCTCGGATTGATGAGGGTAGTGAAAGTCCGTACAAGGCGTCCATGTGTCAGGGTATCCGACGGGACCGTATCTTCGATACTATCAACAACTACATCGTGAAGATGAAGCCATACTCCTACACACGTGGATCGGCAGATTCGGCCACTCTGCTCCAAGCACCTCGTGCCTTCATCGCACCTACTACCCTTATTCTCTTCTTCACATCTTTCCTCCCATACTCCTCACTATGGGCCTTCAGCTCGTCTCTCTCCCTCCTGTTCCACTCCGCCTATACTACAACCACCATCGGCGTCCTCATGACGGGTCCCTGGCTTCTCGCCACCGCTACAACGGTCATCTTTACGCTCCTACCGCTCTTCCTACCTCGATTACAGTCACAGTTCCCCGTCTTTGCCTCCATACCAATACAGTTCAATAACAAGGTCAACACGGCCGCCATCACGGCTGGTCCCCTCCTCGCTTTCATCGGCGTCCTCGCCTTTGGCCTTCATACCGACGCGGGCATCAACAATGAGAAGATCTCGAGTATCAACCTCTCAGCAATCAGCTTCACCCTTGGTCTCCTCGCCACCGGGGCGTACGTCCTTGACGCCATCTCCCGTCCCTTGATCCAGATGAGCATGGCGTCGACGTCCTCGTCCAACAACCAGACCGTGGCTACCAGGACCGCAAACGACATGGCGGCCGGCGTGGGGTGCTGGAGGACTCTGTTTGCCGGGATCCTCGTCATTGCAGTCCCTAGTAGTATCTCGTGTCCGAGTAGCGGCGCGGTTCTGTCTTCAGGGCATGGACTGAGAGATATGTGTATTGGGTTTGCGGTGGCACAAGCAGTGATTGCCGCTGTAGTGGGGGGCGTTTGGTGGTTCTACGGTGAGGAGGTAAGGAGGTGGGATGGGAGGGTGATGGAGTTGGTGGATTCGGGGGCGGCGGGCAAGGGAACGAGGGGAAGGGAGGTGAGCTTCTTTGATACTGATTAACTCAAGGACAAACTCAACTGGCTTGGATGAAGGAAAGGGTAAATGACTGCGACGAGTAATGACGATCATGGGTACGGTATGGGCATTGGACATATAGGACACTCATTTACGATTTACGGATGGTTCACGGGGAAAGCAAATAGTGTAAAGGGTAGAACATCTTCCTTCAGGAAAGGAAGTTGGGCTGGAGAGCAATTGATCACAATGATGGCATGATCGGTAATAGGGTTCATGTGTTGTGGGAAAATACTAGCAATATCCTAACTAACAATATTGTCTTTACAACCAAACAAGCTTTGTGTAGAGGTTGTCAGTCGTCTCTCTTTCCGGTCCTCGATGACGTGCTTTTAACACGTGTCCGAAGACATAGAGTTCCTATGTTCAAGTCTCAACTTGACTTAAAAATGTACGCCCTTCAAGAAGCCTTCAACTCCCCGTGAAAAGAGCCATGTCCGTGGACCCCTGGGAAGATCAAACAGGGACGGAAACCGGAAGTCGGACGGCAGCACGTGGGAGTTAACCCCCTGTAATGAAATGCCGCGCATCAGTGCAACCAAGGTTACGAAAGAAGGGAAGGAAAAAAAAAAAAGAGTGGAAATGTCAAGGACAAAAAAAGTCGAAAAAGAAGTGGACGAGCTGGGAATCGAACCCAGGACCTTTCGCATGCTCAGAAACATGCTAAGCGAACGCTCTACCAACTGAGCCACACGCCCGATAATTTGTTGTTGAGAATCAGTGGGGAATCTGTGACTATAGAACCACTCCCTAGTGTTGAAGCGCGCAAATGTCACCTGCCCTTCCCCTCCTTCCCCATCACCTATTTCCCACCTTCTGCATGGCAAATTCTCAACACAACCTCTGTCTCTAAAACACCAACAGCACTGTGACAGACGGCACATTTCGATGAGCTTGATTGCGAAGAAGCATCATGCCATCTCCCAACTCTTCCTCTTGGAGGTCTACAAAGCTACCCCGCCTGCGGCCTGTCAAGTGACAACTCGTTCAGCCCGAGGATTCTCCCACGTCGATGGTGTTTGACGGCAACGTCTCCTAGTTGGCCCCCTTTGATTGCCCACAATGGAGGCATACAAACTTCCCAACGCAAGCAGACTGAGCCCAATTTGCCTGGTGTCTTCATTGCGAACGAATTGACAGATAGGGCTTCCGAGCTGCCAATCAGCGCGGTCTTTCTTCTTTTGGGGGCCTACAAGACGAGCCAACAAGACGGGTCAACAAGACGGGGGCCTACAAAACCAACCCCGCCGCTGTAGGCCTCACTGTCTCACGAATGGGTCTCTGGTGTTTGAGGATGTCGCTCTCAGGATTACACCGAGAACGGCTGTGGACGAGCTGGTTATATATATCCTCATGGACGACCTGACTTCCCAAAAGAGATCGGTAACGGCACACAACCGCTGCACACTTTCTTCCCAACTTCAAGTTCCTCCTACATCAACCTCGCTTTCAAGAACAACATCACCTCTCATCAAACCATGTCACATCCCAAGCCAAACAATATGGCGCCCGCCGCATCGAATGGCCAGTACCAACACTTTGTCCCCCAGTTCCTTCTCAAGAACTTCGCCCACAGGGTCCCCAAGGCACCCAAAGCACCCAAAGGAACTCCAAAGCCCAAGTATGAGAAGGGCATGTTTCCGGGAGACCTGGTGATCAGCAGCCTCGATATGACCCAGGACGCCGCCGCCTTCACCGAGAAGCCCGTTTCCAGGATTTTGGGGCAGATCAACATGTACGACGACTTCATCACGAAGCCGGACAAAGAGCGGAGACATGTTGAGAAATTGTTGTCCAGACTTGAGGCTCAGGCAGCCCAGATCGTCACCAAAGTCACCAAAGCCTTGGAAGCCAAGGAGCCCGCAGTCCGTCTCATGTGGGATGAACGCTCCCTGCTCCGCAAGTTTCTCTTCCTCATGAGATATCGCAACATCGTGTTTTATAAGCGCTTCCACCACGAAAACTCAACCGAATACTCCGATCAAGACCGGGAACAGCTCCGCGAATACATGGCCGAGAATCCTCAGTTCAAAACACCCATAGATGTATGGTTGAATAACATCAAAACCATCGTCGAGCTCGAAATAGATCCAGAGTTCAAGTGGGCCCGCGAAATCGGCAAACATATGTATCCCGACGATGCTCAATGGTTCCTCTACAACCTCCAGTGCAATACAATGGCATTTTGCGTCCCATCGAACCCCGAAGAAGAATTCATCCTCACTGACAACAGCTACACGGTCTCCGATGAGGTGCAGGTGTTCGCTCGAAACGTCCGATCGGACCGTATTGAGACACTTGCGCGGGCACCTTTTCACGAGTTTGTGCCAGTATCCCCCAAGCTCATGATCGTTCTTCGCTCCCAGTACTTGTCTGAGCCACTAGAGGACAACTGCCCGGAGGTCAAGGCTAGAAGGGAAGCACACCGATCCCTTGCTTTTGCAGGATTTGGCCCTGTTCAAAGTGTGCTGGAGGATCTTCCTATCGGCAAACCACACAACAGCCACGTCAAGGTTGTTAATGGTCGTTTGTGCCTGCGAGATGGCGAAGACGGCTGTCAGAGAAGAGATCACAGCTATCTTTTCCATTTTTTCTCAGTTGAAAGCCGCCACGTCAACACGATCAACTCGATTCTTTTAGACAAGTGCGTACATTGTACTAGTCTCATCTTCAACTCCAAAGACGCCTTCGGAAAGACGCTCGAATGGTATCTGACTGCCCCATTGGAGTACGGCAAGACGTTGATCGGGGAGAACGCAGATCTGCGTGAGAAGATTTTGATGAAACTGGAAGTGATTTCCCGGTCGTTTGGTTCGAAGAAGGAAACAAAGTGGACAAGGGTCAATAAGTGTCATGTGGCTGCTGACCACGAGTACAGTCGACTTGTGGACCAGCAAGTGAGGAGGGACTTCAACAGACTTTTGAGTGGCAAGACGGACAAAAAGCCACTCTGGATTGACGGGATTCGCGCTGCTATCGATGAGGGGGTGGAACAACCAGAGTCGAGCCACGAAGGAACTTCCCCTGGATTTACACCCACCCCACAATACCGGATGTTAGGTACGACATCACCCTTGGAGAGCATAAACGGAATTGGACTTGCTAATAAAATTACTACCAGGCGGCTCTGTCCACACCGTAGAAAAGGACAAAGAGCAAACTCTCTTGATGATGACGTTGCGCATCAAGATTGACTACTGGTCGCGCGGAGTAGATGAGAAAATTCGCCAACGCAACCGAGACCTGCTTATCGCCGAATACCTACGAATGCCCGCTCGAAGACTATGGGGTTATATGAGGATCGTGAGGTACATGTACCTGAGTGATTCTTTCTTCATACCCATCAGACTAAAGCCTGAACAGCCGGAGGACGCCGTCATATATGGTAGGTGGTGCCCTTTCCTCTTTCCTACAAAATGCCGGAGACTGACGAGAGTGCAGCCAAGGACTTGATTGAACCAAACAGTTTGACTTACCTAATCTATAAAGCTGTACAATTTGATATTGAACTGCGCAAGCGACCCCATGTCGATATATGGGGTGAGCTCTCACCGGACTCGGAAAGCATGGCATTGATGACAGAGTTAGCATTCAGGGTTCAAGGTATGAAAACTGAAGACGTTGCTCTTACTTTTACGCATTGCGCTGGGTATTTGCTAACTGCCCGTATTAATCATAGGTACCGAATCCATTCTCAACTGCGGTACGTAAAAGTCGATCCGTATCCCACCGTTGTCCCTTTTACCCAAAGCCATCACCGAAAACCCTGATGAACCAAACCCAACTACATCCATGCCATATGATATGCAAGAAACCCCCGCTCAAAAAACCGCCCTTTCTTTATCCTCCCCAAAACGCCTTCCAATGAAACTCAAAAAGAAAGTCGAAAAAAAAAAAAAAACACCCTCAAGCTAACCCAATCACCGCAACAGGAATCCCCATCATCGAAAACCTCGCCGCCTCTCTCGTCTCCCAAACCCCCTTCGCCGGCATGGCCCTAGGCATCTGGTCCCGGAACCCGCGAAACCCCAACTACCACCCGTCTCCCTCCCCGGACTTCGAGTCCAACCTCGAAGCCTCCCTCTCCCTCTTCAACATCCTCCACCGCACCGAGCTCGCCTTGCGCGTCATCTGCCGGACCCGCTTCCTCGGGATAATGGAATCCGAGCGTTCAAAGCATAACCTACACCCACAGACGCTGCAGGATCTGAAGAAAGTCTTCTTCACCGCCGTTTATCCAACTCCCCCAGATGATTGGAGGTATCGCTTCTGGTGAGGATGACGATAGTGATGATGATGACGAGTACGCATAAGGAAACGGCGTCGGCCCCGTCCCAGCCCCTTGATGCCCTTGATTCTTGTGATCAAACTGGATTTGACAAACCGCCGTCGGACTCTCAGTACAAGTACTAGCGACGTAATACGAAGTGGTCGTAGTCGCAGCGGTGGTGAGGGTGGTGGCGATGTTGATGGGCACGTCTTGGAGGGCGGCGAGGTAGACGAGGATGGGTTTTGAGAGCTTGTTGAGTTGTTGACTCAGTTTGAGCATTTTGCCGATGAGCATTTTCGTTGTTATTGTTGCGGTATCGTCGTGAGGCTGTGTGCCCACGAGCGATCCGTATCCCCCGTCCTTCCGTCTCGGTTTAGTCCGGTTCGGACTCGGACGATTTCTGTTTTGATGGTTTATTTGGTTGGCCGTTCGTTATCATAGGGATTTGCTTTGCTGCGCTGCAGATGGACGGCAAGTACGTCAGTGATCGTGATGATTGATGAGACTTTCTCAGGGTTCAAGCTTTTAGCGTTGGGGCGCAGCTCATGTTTGTATGTGGTGATGGAGCATGGGGCCATGGTGCTGGGTCCACATAGGGAAAAGAGCAAGGCGGGTGGTGTGATGAAGCAAATGAAGTCATTTAACTAGGCGAAACGTGGCGGGCTGGAGATCATACACAACAGCAGTGATATTCACGGAATGGTCTGGTGAGACATTTTAGTTCGGTGGATAACAATTATGTTTAAAGCTATTTTTATCGTCTGTTCTTTAACAGGATGCGGGCCGGACAACGCCAAGACTCCTTCGAGGTCATTAAAAGGGCAAGACTTCAAACTATCTCCAACAACACGGACTCGTCACACGATCAACTCCGACATCGAACCCCATTAACCTCAAACTCTCGATCTCTTAGCCTTCCTAAGTGCTTCCCTCGCCCTTGTGTCGCTCTGATCATTGACCGGCCTTCTATTTCCTATCCCATTTATTCCGCGGTTGGCTCCAACGCCTGTCCTATCTTCGGCCAGGGCACGCTCCAGCTCCTTTTCGGACCTTTCCCGCCTATGCCTTTTCCACTCCCACCACATCGACATGGCAGTCCATAGTATCCAAAGGGCCAGCGCGACAGCGACATAGATTGCCTTGACCTTCGTTCTTGTATCGTCCGCTGCGATCAGGCCTAGATAGCCATTGATAATTCCAACCGTGATGGCAATCCTTCCGATTGTGAGGTGAAGGGCTGACCAGAGTCCGCGGCGGCGATTTACTTTGTACTCCTTATGGTGGAAGATACCAACCAGGGGTTGAATGAACAGGAGGGCGAGGACGAAGATGCCGATGATTGGGTGGTAGTTCATACGTCCGAATCTCATCTTTTTTGATGGTGGTAAGATGTCAGCTTTCGTGAAAGGGAAAGAGGAATACCGAAGAAGAAGAAGTAAAAGATTGGGGAGCGAGAGAGAAATACATACCATGTCGGGCCTCAGTTTGATAAGGTGGATACCGATTCCAACGGCGGCCATATAGACAAGTAGCGTAAAGAGTTGCCAAGTAGCATGGGCGAAGAGGGCCATACGACGGGGAAGCAAGCGAATAAGGATGGAACCGAGAGGAAAAAGGATGACGAAGGCGAGGGCAGCGATGATTCCGTGGATATGTAGGTAGTAGCGTTGATATGGTCTCCAGTCGCGAACATCGTCCGGCACTCCCTGAGCGACAGGCGCTCCCTGACCAGACCCTGGGAAGTCAAAGTGGTTATGAACATCGGGACGACCTTCGACGGCGACAACGGAGCAAACTAAAGCCGGGTTCAGTTGGTGGACAAGTCCAAGATGCTCTACATGGGGAGCTGGGAAGAAAGGTATTGAGGCTGGACTTACAGATGCCAATGAGGGCGGCAAGTTTTGCCGCTGAAAGGAGCGCCATTGGTACAAGTGGGCGTTCACCTCCAGTCGTCAACATGAGCCAAAAATGGTGATATTGATAATGTGGGACCTGGACAGGCGTGTCATCGATTGAACAACAAGCCTGCCAGTACAAATGCCACTCTGGGACGAAAGAAAAAGACGGACTAAAGCTCAGAATAAAGATGGGGAAAAGTGAAGCGAAGTAAAAACGCTGCCAGCCTCCTGATATTCAGGTCATCTCAGACAGGCTTCGTTGTAATGCACTTTCCCTCGGTGTTGATCATCGCACAACAGTTGGGGAAGTCGCGGCTCAAGTTCGTCCATTACAACTCTTCCCCGGCAGTTGCATCTCTCATGCACCCGCCTCACTGACACTTCATGCCTTCTCCAGCTTCTCCTCATGGAATCTTCAGTCAGTTGAGGTTGCTCTCACTGCCTTGGTGAAGATCGAGCGTCGTCACTTCTTTCCTCTCAGCTTACCGTCTACCCCCACTCTACCAAGTCGGACAGTCAACCACGGGCATCGACCACACATCGATTTTCAGCGGCAAGCGGGCGGGCGGACGGGTAGGATGCCGTTCGTCCACTAGGAATTGGATCTGTATGACACGCGCCACATCAAGCTAAGTAGGAACGAACCGAACTGGGACTATATTTCGAAGAGAAATTCCCAGTTAGGTTCTGGTATTTAGGAGCCTCCTCCCCTATTGAAGACAGATGAGCGTGAAAGTGTCACGGTCGGCGTTACACCACAGAAGACGGTCCGCATCATTGGGTCGCGGGCCTCGAGCCGCTCTTTGGGCATTTCGTTCTCCAACATGCCCGTGCCGTCCGGTGGAAGAACGAAGCCTGCCTCAAGCTGCACAAACGTGGCTGCCCAGCTGTGTTCCCATCTCCCGGTCGGCACCGAGACAATGGGTTTGGTTCCCGACCCGTTCGTCGTTGCCGTCGACCAGCGTTGGTCGCGTCAGCACCTGCAAAGAGGAATGAAAAGTGAAGCTGAGTTGGGGCATACCTTATGTATCGGTGATGGTGGCTGTAACAGGACTCGATGATTTGAAGGAAGTTGATTTAAAACAACAAGTTGATGATATTGGAAGGTACCTCTATGTTGAGGGGTACCGACCTACATCAGGAAGTGAGGTCAGAATAAGCTGGCATAGATCATCATGATCTCACCAGGCGCGGTCGATCTCAGTTCTTAACAGCCAGTTAGGTTGAGCGGTATGAATCCCTGAGTCGCGCAATGATGTACACGCACATCCGGCAATCGCTGAACATCATCGACAGTTTTGTCGATACATACCGAACCCTGATCAACCTGATGTGCGGCAGATCACAACGGCTTAGACAAACGACAACACATTCAAAACATACACTTAGTATACACGAACAAGTCAATAACGAAGAGTTTGAAAGCATCGCGAAACGTGATTAACCGGTTTAGGTATTATCCTCAGCAGAAGTGAAATTTCAAGACGCCCAAAAACCCCTGCAAGTTTAATCTTCCATCCTCCATGTCTATATGTTCTCGTATGGTATAATACTATGCACATAAAAATAATTCAAACAACGCATGCACTCACTCACATAGTCGGTTCGTCGCTAAATTACAAAGCAACAGCACCGACGAGGGTGAAGAGGACAGCAAGACCGGTGACGACGAAGGGGCCCTTGTTCAGGGGACCAGAGACGGCGAAACCAGCAGCGTTCTGGGTGGCAGAAGCGGTGGAGGAAGCGCTGCCGGAGCCGGAGCCGGAACCAGAGCCGGAACCGGAGCCGCCGGTGGTGGTGGGAGAGGCATCACCGGCCCACTGGGAGCCGGGGCCGTTGAGACCGGGACCCTTGCCGGCGCCGTTCTCGAGGAACTGTGAGGAGGGGGGGTTGGTTAGTTTCGGGTTCCTTCATGGTTCAACGCGTATTCGAGAGGAAAGCTTACCTTCTTAGCAGCAGCGGGCATCTCGGGAAGCTTATTGTCCTCAACAAGCCAGTCGTCATCCTTGGGAGGGCAGTCCTGGGCCTTGGTCGTCTGGGAGTAGCCACCGTCGCCGGTTGGGGCGGGGTACGTGGCGAGGGCCTTCTTGTAGGCGGCGAACTCGGGCAGCTCGATGCGCTTGCCGGTCTGGTCGGTGATGTCCTTGCCCTTGGTGATGTTGACGATTCCGTATCCGTTCTCCTCCATGGTGTACTCGTACATGAGACCACCGCTGTAGACCTTGGTCATGAGCTTGGGGTCCATGAGGGCCGAAACCTCGCCGAAGTCGCGGCCGTTGGTGGTGCAGCCGTACTCGGACAAAAAGATGGGCAGGCCGTAGTCGGTGAAGTTCTTGACCTTGACGTCCCAGCCCGAGGTCTTGAAGTCGCTCTTGCACCACGAGTAGTCGTTGAAGGCAAAGAAGTCGGACCGCTCCTCGTCGGTGCCGCAGTTGAAGTACTTGGCCGTCTGCATGCGGTTCTTGGACACGTCGGCGGCCGAGTAGCCGACGGGGATGGCGCGGTACTTGCGCGCCTTGATGTAGGCCCTCATGTCGCGGTCGGTGGCCTTGACGTAGGGCGCGGCGAGCGTGCTCTCGGCCTCATCGTGGATGACCTCGTTGCCGGAGAAGAAGGCGAAGGTGTTGTCGTACTGGGCGAACTCGTCGATGGTGGCGAAGACGCTCTGCAGGTAGACGGCGTTGTAAGAGGGGTGGGGGGTCGCGCGGTTGATGGAGTACAGCGGGTTGTTGACGTCAAGGGCAACGTAGATACCGGCGTCCGCGAGGGCCTCCATGCACTCCTTGTGCGACTTGGAGTTGTCGGTAGAGTAGACACGGACAACGTTGATGCCAAGATCCTCGAATTTCTTGATATCCTCAAGGCAGATCTTGGGATCGGCAAGGGGGTCCTAGATGTGTGTGTTAGTCGATAAGGTTTGTTTCGTTGATAGTCATGTTAGGGATGCGTACGAGGTTGGCAGAAGAACCACCGGGCTGGTAAGCAATACCGCGAACGTAGAATCTCTCGTTACCCTTGAAGAAGGTGTTACCCTTGGTGGTGATGGGAGTGATGGTGGCACGCTTGGAGTTCTTGGTGCCGGTAACACCGGCATTAACGGCGCCAGACGCCGCGAGGGCTGTGATGATGATGGTGGAACGCATTTCGATGGTGACGGTTATCCAGACAAATAATCGTTATATATTCAGGTGGCTAAGGGCTAAACGAGGCGTGGATGCGGCGGGAACTGGCTGATTATAGAATCAAAAAATAACGTGACTAAAATGCCATACAAACGAGCGCTATGGCAGTGAAGGTGAAAAAGGGCAACAGAGATGTTGCGGAAGAGGGGTTTAGCGATAGACTGATGAAGAAACAGCAAGAGCCAGCGATGAATGTTTTAAGAAGAAGAGAGAGTGAGAGTCAGCACATTCTCGTGTTCCCAGGGAGAAAGGGAGGTTAAAACCAACAATGTTGGTTGGCGGTGCATAGCCACCACCCAAGACGAGGTAAGACGCCAAGTCAATGCCAGCCATTTGGTGACAAGAATCTTGGGATTTCTTGGAAGCCTCTTGGAATGCCATCGGGCCAATAGGCTGTCGCCGGCACGGCTTGGCTCTATCGTATTCGGCGATTCCCTGGTAAAGCCCGTGTTGGGACGTCGGCGTATCATGGCAGTCCCGTCCTCCCAGTTCCCGCGAATGGCCTCCATTTGCTCCATCTGCTCCATTCTTGGTTTCAACTATTTCCAGGTGAGCCGGGCTCGTCGTCAGGTACACGCTGGCACTCCGAACCCCAGACTCCTCCATTTCCAGTAACCATGTTATGCTCTTTCAAGATGGACAAGATGGGCTAGAAGGAGGCTCGGTTGCGTGCGCCAAGGTATACCAAGGTCCAGAAGATTGATACCGCCGTCAACTCATTTCGCGGTTGATCAAATCCCATCAATCCAAGACAATGGTACGAATGGGTTCTCACCGTACCATCAGCAGTTCCCAAGAGCAGGGAACCGTATCAGATCCGGAGCGCACCGTTCATCCTGTCTATCAGCGATGGCACAGACATGTGGATGGGAATCTTGGGAATTTTTAACAAAGGGCTGAACTCCGCAGTGAAAATCCCTAGATCCCAGACGTAACTCGAGGAATGCCGCTTCAAGTCTCCCAATCCCCAAGCGTCGAACCATGCTTTGGCAGGCTTTGTTGTCGAAAGGTGAAACACGAGTCGGACCAAAATGAACGAAGCATCCTCGAGGGCATCGTCAAAGACGAGCGGGAGGCCGGAGAGATGAAATCCCCGTTCGAGTCCCGACTCTCGTGATGATGGAGTCGACCGAGTCCGGTCTTGGAATTGGAACCAAGGCTCCATCCCAGGGCTCCTCAAAAAGAAGGCTCAAACAACGGAGCCGAAAATGAATTACCCCTGGCGGGTTGGCACTGCTTGGCAACCACACGCTGCAGTGGTCCGCGCTGTGACAGGCTGTGACAGGTGCGTCTAATCTCCTGGAGTGGTTAGCTGCCGAAATGGATCGCCACCCTTCATCGCCCGATCTGGACCGACACCTCACTTGGCGGCTTTTCTCCCTTACGTTGTTGGACCCCAACCCTTCAATTGCCTCTACGTGAGGATTAAAGAGGGAGGGAGGCATGTGGTGTAAAGTACCCGACAGCAAGTCCCCCTGAGGTCTGGGGAAGCGGATATAAAATGTCGGGAATCACTCCATTTTAAGGTTGGGCGAGGTCGAGATGGGGTTGGAGTATACAGTCCCCGTCTTCCAGAACCGTGCCTGGCATGGGTGGAGGATGGAGTGTGCTTTATAAGTCAACGTCCCCAGCTAAGAGAGAGTCTCGGTCCCTTGGCGACCAAAAGCGTGCCTTCATACACCTTGCAAGAGAGGATATAACGATCGGCCTGAAGTCTTATTATGCTTCAACGTCCTCGCTCCAGCTGCGCGAGCTTACCTGGAACCGAAGAGATGGGAGTGGGAGTCTTTGGGGCTGGATGCTCGGTGTCCTGGATTCAGGCTACCGTGGATGAGGGTCAACGACTGACGTTCCACATGGTAGAACTAGGAACGAGGAAAGATGCAGCTTTGTCTGACTTGTGGGTTTGTTTGGCAAAACTTTCCTGGGTCAGCGGTCACCTCAGGTTGCACGAATACGGCGCCGGACGCCGTACATGAAGGACCCCAAAGTATGTTTGCTGCAATGCATACATTGTTTCTGGCCTCCCGGTGAGGTCGCATGTCGGCATCAACGCGGGTAGGTATGTCAACGGCGCAAATTCATGTGCGAGTAATCAACTCAAAACAGAACTTTTTGCACATACAGTCAGCCCTACCCACAGTCAGCTGGGTACCCCAGAGTTGGGACTGGCGATGCCCAATGTTGCGATTGCCCAAGCACAACACCAAGGTTAATTTGCCAGTATGCAAGATACCGTTGCTTTCTCAGCAAGTTACAAAGCTAAAGCTGCCTTTGGTTCCAAACCTGGAAAGATTCTCTGAGCTGATCGACCGAATTAGCAAAGTCTCGCATCAGTCTTACACGATAGTACCGTCAGTAGAAAGATGTAAGGGAGTGTACAATCGATCAAACTGTCTCGGAAACCATTGCTTCTTTCCAAGCACGCCGTTGAGTCCAAGTGTCAGAAACGTGGTGTGGAGGGCAAAAGCTCACCACAGGTTGCGTACCACGCAGTGTCTCAGACCCTCCCGTTCCGAGACCTATCTTGCCTCGGCCGTTGCGAAATATCACAATATCCGTGCGAAGGAAAAAAACAAAAGCTTCGGCAACGGTTGGGCCTTTCTGACTGCTGATGGCGCTGTTATATATCTTGAGTGCTTTGCCGCTCATTTCCAGTCGAGAGAGCTTTTGGAAGCAAGATCTCACCTCCATCACTCTCTCATCCTCGAACCCTCAACTATCAGCATCGGCATCAGCATCAGCATCGGCAACAGCCCCGGGAGCCAAGCACAAACACCAGCCAAGAGAGAAGAAGAAATCCATCACAATGCTCTTCTCCGAGGTATTCGTCATCGTCGTGGCCTGCATCATGTGGGGTCTCACCTCCCTCGGCATGGCAGTCTACTACCACCGCCTCCTACCACTCGAAGCCCGTCGGCACTCGCCAACCCTCCAAAACAGCAGCTTCCTGTCAACACTTGTTTCAACCTTGCTGTTTATTGCCGCCTTCGTCTTCTGGCCCATCATCGCCCTCTGGAACCTCTGCGCCCGATCTCCCGCCATCGTCAGAGGGACGACATGCTGCGGTTCATACATGTTCGGAGGAAGACCCAAGGCTGGATGCTGCGGGTGCAGTTGCATCTCGTGCGAACCCTGCATCAGCGACGAGGTGTACGAGATGGAGAAGACCCGAAAGGAGGAGTCAAGACGGATCGTCAACGTTCAGAGCGTGCAGCCGGCCATGCAGCAGACGATGGAGATGAGGCCGTATTCCGCTACCTCTACCGCCCAGGAGAAGCGGGTCGTCGAAAGTACTGAGTCTCTGACTGAGAGCGCCCATACGACACCGAGGGTCGACAAGGATTGATTTAGGACAGAGGCAGATGATATATCGATGTCGGGAATAGAGACTAGAAAGGGCCTTGAGTGGGGGTTGTGAGTCTGGGGTCGCGGTTGGTGAGAGACTGCGCCATCAACAAAGGTCAGGAGAAATAAGCTGGAGTTCTGTTCTGTGTTAGTTTGGAGTAGACATTTGGCGTGAAGTTTTGCAGGATAAGAAGTCATCATGGAAGCTCGGGGTGGCGGGTAGATGAAGAATCGCAAGTCCATCAGCTCACTCCAGACTAGTGGGAAGATGGTCAAGGAATATAGTTAGATATCAAAGAACTTGTTTTGGCAGAACAAGATCGCGGATGTGTGAAAATAGCAGGAGAAAAGGTTTGGTTGATATCAAGGCTTGAGATGGTTGATTTGCAGTCGCTACCTCTAGTGCAGTCCATGTGATTGTAGTGAAAGTGTGAGGGGATTGCCGGCTCCTGGAAAGGCGAGTGCCCGTGCGCAACTGGCACCCCATCACTTGCTATAACCCTAACCCCAACATTGCAATGCGATAAGGATTCGGTGCAGTGCTTATCGGAGCCATTCTAAGCTCGCGCATTCCATCATTGCGACTTCCTTCTTTTGTCATTCCCCAAACATCTCTCCATTCCCTTCTCACAGTATTGAGAAAGTTTCGCCTTTGGAAAGAGCCATCGCCTTTCCTACATGGAAGTAACGGACGTCCAAGTCATCTCACATGCTGTTGCCAGTTTCCTTGTTGGCGAACCAACAAAGTGGAAGGCACGGTCATTAGCTCACTGCAGCGGTAACACCTGGACGTCTGAGTTGGCGACCATTACACGTATGGCTCAATTGTTGTAACCGTAATCCCAGCCATCTCCATACTTCCTTTGTACTATACGAGTACTACAGTAGCGCATGTACTCCAGGAGCTGAAGAATAGGTCTCGGACACGGCGACGGGCTGTTTTTCGTCTGTCGCAACTGCTCAGCTTCACGGGCGTGAGAAGCTGCCCTTGCTAGTACTTCGTGCTCTCAACTGGGTTTCTTCCACATCTCCGAATCTTATTTCTTTCAGCTTCCTACCTCTACCTTTCAACAACAGTGTCATACAACGGACGGGCGTATAATGTCCTCCAACGTCCCTCGCACCAAGACTGTCCGCTCGACTGGGACAAGAAGCAGCAGCAGCTTGAACAAACCTATAGGATTCTCCCGGAGCACCGCTTCAGCTACCAGCCAGGCCAGTCACACCACTTACACCAGCTCCGTCACTAGCGCGGCCGCCCCGCCGTCGACAACCACTCCAACTCCCAATATCTCTTTGTTTCTTACCAACCTTCGATTGTTGGATCTCGACTTGCTCCCGGATTGGCCCGACATCAACGCTGCCACCTTCAGCGTAAAAGATGCAGCCCAAGGTCAGAAGAAGCGCATCCAATGCGTTGAATGGGCTCTCTATCAGCTCTTCAACTTGTGGGACCCCGAAGAAACTCGGAACAAGTTAAAGCCTTTCTTTCCGCCTCTCGAAAATGTCCAATCCCTCAACCTGCGTGCTGCTCTCGTCCGGAGCTTGGAACAGGCAAAAAAGAATGGCGTGCTTGGCCGGGATGCGATAGTGCGCAAGACAATGCTCGATGAGTGCAAGGGCGACAGGCTGGAAGAGATTCTGGCCATCTTCTCGTCGGCTGTGCTCAAAAAGGTGGTAGCAGAGCAGCAGCGGAATGACCCACGAAAAAGACATCCCGCCCTTGCGCAGGCGCTGGCACTCGAAGATCGTGGCTACTCAGGCGACCGATCACAGCTCACAGCTCTCGTAGTTGCTCACCGAGCCTCTCTCTGTCGCACTTTGAAAGACAAAAAAGCGACGAGAGAGAGATACAGAGAGTTTTCAGACTTGCTAAAGATCAAGGAGCAAAAAATTGCTGATCGACGACAGCGAGCTCAAACTTTGCAAAGGAGGCGCCAAGATAGCGGAAAAGAGATCTCAAACCATGTTAAGCTCGATGTTTGGCGGACTGTGCGAAACAACTGGTCGGGCAATGAGCGGTGGTTGGAGACACTCTTACACGGCGACAAAAATACCCGAAACGATGGTGTCTTGTCGGCGCCTTTTGATCGAGTCTGGCACCGCGTTCAAACTGGTCGGATTTCGGAGCTTGAAGACAAGTCAGATAGTTTGCTGGACGAGCTGGACGACCGAGTGAAGAGCCAGAAGGAAAGACTCCAGAGATGGCAGACTTTCCGCCAGCAGATGTTCGGAAAAACCAGCAAGGACTCTACAACCAAAGAGTCAGCCCCACAGCCCAACCCGAAGGGAATCGATCTCGGACTCAGGGGACACGAGGCTTTGCACCGCGGCCGAAGTGCGCGAAGGCTTACTCTCCTCAAACCTGTAACGCCTAATGAGCTACGGGGCGAATACAAGGAACTACTCCATGACTTCAGGTCGGAGTTGTCTAATATCGACCCTAAGCTATCCAGTATTCCATCCTGGTTACAAAAGCCAAGAGAGCTGCCACGAAAGGAGTCTGATACGGAGGTGATTTCCGATATTAGTGATGACGAGAGGAATCTTGCCGCAGCGCCTTCTCGAACCTTTCGACGGGAGCTTACAGCAGCCGAAGATTTATCATACCAACCTATACTGGAGAAGCTAAAGAGTGTCCACGAAGAGGGAGAAGCACTAGCCCATTCAGACGCCGTCTTTGCTGCAAGTTCAACACGGTCACGATCCGCGACTCTTCCATCACAACACACCAACGATTCTGAGGCAGCAGAGGGCTCCTCTCGCCTAACAAGGAATCAGCAAAGAGAAGAAGCTACAAACCCAACACCGCCTCAGTCTTCAGTTTCGCCCCCACGCCGTAGGCCATCCTTGATCTCCAGGAAGGAGAAGCAACCAGAAAGGCTATTGAGCAGTACGGCTTCGAGTGACCGTCCACCCTCACCACCGACTGAGGAAATTCGCCGACAGTACAGCTCTCACCCGTCTCCCGAACCACAACAACTAGCCGACCAGATCTTGGCGTCCGTCGATGCCGCCTCGCCTTCCCCCCTGAACAAACCACGGCACACTCTTTCACTGGCCGAACGCACCTGCCTAACCCTTGCTCGGCGCAATTCACAGGCCGCTGCCAACAACGCAGACGCCGACGGCGACGCAGATGAGGAAGAAAATACGTACTTCCCGCCTGTCCGCTCTGCGTCTCACAAACGGTCACACACCATCTCCAGCCCCTACAAAGCAAGCACACCAGACACACCAGGTGACCCTAGCAACAGCGGAGGAGCAGCAGCAGGAGAAGCAGGAATAGGAGCAGCATCAACCTACGAAGACCTCATGACCCGCACCCGTCGTTCCATGGCCAACTTCGAGTCTGCCCAAAAGAAGGCTCAACTGGAGAGGCGACGGTCGGAGCGCAAGTCGAAGCAGCTGGCGCCACCGCCAAGGGGTGGGTATTTCCCTGCGGTGGGCGAAGAAGGAGGAGAAGACGCAGGAGAAGGAAACTCGGCGTTGTTGCTGGCTGAGGAACTGCTTAGTGCGGGGCAGGATGTGGATTATGATGCTGTTTTTAGGAGTAGGCCGAAGATTGCCATGAGTCCGAGGCCGGGGAAGGGGGATGGAGATGGAGGGTTTGGGGGGTGGGAGTAGGATGGGAGGGAAGGAGTGGTGAGCAATTGTAAGGTAATCCCGAGATAGGTTGAGATGCGAATAATATTGGCCCGTATCATGGAATGTTTTAATAGGCCCGTAACGGGTTATGTTATACAGGTGGTTAGAGTTCGGCAAGACTGACATTTTCAACCGCACTGCTGAGCGTTCATATATATGGCCCCCGCTCATGCTTATAGTGTTATGGCCGATCCAACTAGCCCCTTCACCCACAGGATCAACGGACAGCTTGGTTAAGGCCTTCATTCATTAATCGCAGGAATCCGCGCCTGGATATTGTACAAGTCTTGTCTTGGCGGGGTTTCTTTTCGGGTTCAAACAAGGTTTGGCTTGGTGGTGATACATCGATGCGATCGACTTCTAGCTCTGTTCCTCCCATCCAGTCTAGGTCTGCTTTGGTCGTCGTCGTCGTCGTCCCATCTCTATCCGTTCGGCCCCTCGAATCGCGAAATATCGCCCCATTTTCCATCTTCTTTCCCCCTTATCTCTTCTTTTACCACCCCTGGTTCTTCAACTCGAAGGTCCTGTTGACCGCCGCCTTGAAGCCCTCCTTGAAGCGAGTCCTCCACCTCTCCCTCAGGTTCCTCTTCCTCTTGAGCGCCGGACGCTCATGGAACCTCTGCAGCCGCACGTCCTTCTTCACCCGATTCTGCTGAACCGCCCTGTGCAGCTGCTTCATCGCGCCCGCGAAATCTTGATGTCCGGACACGTAGAACGTCCTGCCGGTCGACGGACGGAGGCGGATGTTGAGCTCCTGCTGGGGAGCCATGTGGCGGGTCTCGAAATCAGTTTCGTTCCAGGTCTGCATGGGCGAGGGCTTGGAGGAGGAGTGGAGGGCGCCACCGGAGGAGGAGGCGCTGCTGTCCTTGTTGATGGCGTCGACGATCGTCCAAGGGTTGTCGTTGGCAGTGGGAGGACGGGGAGGGAGAGCAGAGGATGAGGAGGTGGTGCCGGGGCCACCGGCGGCGGCGGCGGCGGGCTTCCGGTTCGAGAGAGCCGCTCGGAGAGTCTCGATGCGTGACTTGCCCGAGACGTAGGGGTTGGGCGGCGGCTGTAATTGGGCGCGGGCGCTGGTAGAGAAGGCATGGCGACCGGCGAGGCTGGACCGGGCGCTGGCGGAGGCGGCCGCTACCGTCGTGCGGCAGACGGACTGGAGTGCTGAGCGGAGCTCCATGATTCTGGTCTGTTTACATGGTGAGAAGGGGCAATTAGTAACTTGATGGACGCAGGTAAAGTATGGAGACCGAGAAAGCAAAAGGGTGGACAACTCACTCAATTGGTCATGAACTGCTCCGTCCGGTCGCAAAGAGGCAGCGGCTTATCGTGCGGTCGATTTTCAGAATCTCAAAGTCTCCCACCAAGCGACGGGCACGGTTCGGGGCCCCGGCGTCTGCTGCTAGCGCGTCCACCCAGCCGGCCCAGTTGCCGGTTGATTGTGGCCCGGGCTTCCGCGCCAGCTGGCAGGCCTTGCTCTTTGAGGCTGAAAGATGAGGCTGAAGCGCAACAGTTGAGCCTTTTGCGCCACAGTTGCGCAGCGTCGCAGCTGGTCGCGGTTGCAGCGAGTGCAAGTCGGTGGACCCACTAGGAAGTTTAAAGTTCTGGCTGGAGAAAGTGCCACCCCAGTCAACTGGATCGCTGCGGGCAGTTGCCAGTGCGCGTCCACGCAGTCAATGAACCGGGGCGGTTTTGAAGTTTTGGCGAACCATCAAACAATTCCCATTCACCTCCAAACTGCCACCATCCAGCACCAGTGACAACACGAACTTAGACAAACCGTATATCCGTATCTACAGCACATATACGGGATTTCGAAGCGATTTTCCACCGATTTTGGGTTTTAGGCCAACCCCGATTTTACGACCACCCAGCACGACCCCATCACCTCTTTCACAACCAATCTTTCCAGACTCTTCGTCATGGCGTATAATCCTTATGGAGGTATGTCCCAATGTCGACATCGCCTTTGATCTATGCGCGCCTGCGATCGTGGTCCCTGTCGCATTTGCGCTAGGCACATACTGACAATGTCATTCTTCTTTGTAGCGCCGCCCTACGGCCCCCCGCCGACCTTTGCCGCCTACCCAGGTGTGCCTATGGCCCCGGGAATGGTTCCGCCGCCCGGTCTAGGTAAGCTTCCTGCCCCGAAGCAGCTCCTTCCTGATCACCTGGTTATGTAATCTAACCTACTCCTGTCTATAGGTCCTCCACCAGGCATGTCCTCTGCCCCCGGATTGGCACCACCACCTGGTGTCCAGCAGCCTCCTCCTGCTACTCAAGCTAATCGACCAAGCGGCCTACCTGCCTCGTTCCAACCACCCCCGAACCTGAACATCAACTTCAATGCTCCCGTCATCCGCTTGGGCGCATCTTCGCTCCCCAACAAACCCGGCATGCCCCAGGGCAACGATCGAAAGGATTCGCACACCCCGACCAGTGCGAACCGCCCCGGTCTCGGCTCCGATCGCGTCGAACAGTCCCGTGCGCAGCTGCGAGAGAGCATTCAGAACCTTGTCCCGCCGACACCGGAGGAGAGGCTACGAACGATATTCCTGCACAAGATTCCCGATGGCCTCGCCGGCGAGGAAGGCGTCCAGAAGCTGCTCAACACGGTTGGCAGGCTGCGGCGGTGGGACTCGGGCCACTCCCACTTGTCGGACTTCAAGGGGGCATTGTTTGGTTTTGCACAGTACGAGGACCCCGATTCGCTAGCTATTGCTGTGGAGTTACTCAAAGATCTCGAGGTCCCCGTGAAGAAGCAAACACCGACCGAGAATGAGCCCCCCAAAGACGACGACGAGGCTTTCGCCGCCGATATCGACAAGGTCAAGCTGAAGGTCGAGGTTGACGCGAACACGACCAAGTATCTCGAGTCTCGCAAGGAGGAGAGAGGGGAGGATGCGGCCTTTGAGGCGAAACTAGGTGAGGCCAAGGTTGCACTCAAGCAGTTTGTTCGAGACCTCTTTTACCCGCGTCTTCGCACTGGACAGGACGCCGACGGAGATACCACCATGGCCGATGGAGCAAACGCTGCCGGAGATAGCGTCGAGGTTATCAATATCCCGCTCGCTCAGGAGGACGAGCTGGCGGATATTCCAGCCGAGATGCGCGAAACTGTTGCCGCCGAAATCGCAGCTTTCAGAGACAGGAGCAACAAGCGCGACCTTGAGCGTCTACGTCGGGAGGAAGAGTTCGAGGAAAGGGAACGCCAAAGGAACGGAGCGCCTCGCATTTCACGCCTGGATTCTCCTCCGCCTACGGATGCGGCGAACTCAAATCACGTCCCGCTTGGCCCGCGTGGTGTGCCTAATGCGCCATCAGGACCTCGTGGGCAACAAGGCAGAGGTGTTGAGTTTGTGGGTGGCGGCACATCAAATGGTTACAACTTCAAGGACGAGGACGACACCGATGCCGATGACGACGAGCTCTACCAACGCGAAGTCAACAAGCAGAAGGCAGAGGAGGAAAAGCTCTACTTGGAGGCCGAAAGGAAATGGGTGAACCGTGAACGCCAACGTGCAGCTGCTCTCGAACGTGAGAAGGAGCGCGAGAAGGCGGAAACCGAAGGATTCGCCAGGAGAAGGGAGGAACAACTCGAGAGGGAGAAGAGTTGGGACGACGAACGTGAGGCAGCCCGTAAACACCACATGTACTACCGCGATCACCCGCATTGGGTCAGGAAACGACTACAGGAACGCAACGACGAACAAGCACGGGATGAGATGGATAGACGGGCCGAGGAGGACCAGAGGCGTAAGGCCGAAGCGGAGATGGAACAAGCCAGGGGTATGGCCGACTCCTTCCTCGAGCGGCAAGCCGAGGAAATGGAGAGGCGGCCAGCGGCTGCCCCGGCTGCGCCCCAGCGGTTTACCATTTCCTTCGGCGCAGCGGCTCAAAAGGCAGCACAGCGTTCCGCCGGTGCCCGCAGGACAGTTGCCGAAGTCGAAGGACTCCTGGACGACGAGGAACAGGAGCAGACCACAAAGCGGCAGCTTGTTCCCATCAAGTTCGAGCCCATTACCGACACCAAGGCTATGTCGGAGGAGGATCTGCAAAAGGCAGTGCGCGCTTTGGCGCAGGAGATCCCTGCGGACAAGGACGGGCTCTGGGCTTGGGACGTCAAGTGGGATTACCTCGAAGAGTCCATCATCAGCGAGAAGCTTCGGCCTTTTGTGGAGAAGAAAGTGGTCGAGTATCTTGGTGTACAAGAACAATTCCTGGTTGACGTGGTGGAAGAGCACCTGCGCAAGCATCAAAAGCCTGCCGAGCTGGTTGAGACGCTGGGCGAGGCTTTGGATGAGGACGCGGAGGATCTAGTGAAGAAGTTGTGGAGGATGGTGATCTTCTTTACGGAAAGCGAGAAGCGTGGTTTGCCCGCTTAAAAGAATGTCTGGGAGCCGATCACAGTGGGTTTGTCTCTCAGCCTTGTATGGTCTCTTGTGAGGTTCATGAAACAATTTACGAAGGATCAAGGCCTAGAGATTATACGGCGTAAAAAACAAATGCTTGTAGGAGAGTATATCCAAAAATCAAGCGTTGGGAACGTTAATTGACTTTTATCAGCGAAGTGTAAAGGTCTTGGTGTTGGTGTTGGTTCGTTGATCCGACGTGCCTCGGCAAATGCCCACAGATCTACTCTGACAGCGAGGGGAAACCCAAGCGTTGCGCCACTTGCCCGCACTTTATCCTGGGTTGAGTCGCAGCCGCTTTTGGATCAATGATCCAATAGGGCTTGGTACAGTCGGCATTTGGGCGTTGTCCTTGGTCAACAAATAGGTCCATTGGGAACCATTAGTTATTGACTTGTTCACTTGCACATCGTTTTGCTCACTTTCCCTTTTAACCATATTCCTTTGTTGTCATCACCTTCGACATTGAACCTTCACATTGGGACCTTAAGTAAACACCAACCCCTGAAAGCCGACGAATTCGAAAACAATTGATTACGTCATCCACCTCTCCAGGCCTCACACATTAAGAAACCACCAAACCATGTCCACCCAAAACTTCAAAACCCACCCTCCCTCCGTCCCCAACACCCTCCTCTCCTTCCCAGCCCCGCACGTCCTGCTCGTCACGCTCAACCGCCCCGCCCAGCTCAACGCCATCCCGACGTCCCAGCACAAGCGGCTCGCCGCGCTCTGGGACTGGTTCGACGCCGAGCCGGCGCTGCGGTGCGCGGTTATCACGGGTGCCGGCCGCGCATTTTGCGCGGGCGCTGATCTGAAGGAGTGGAATGAGCTGCATAGCAAGTTCCAGCAGAGACAGAAAGCTGGAGCTGGAGGAGGGTTGGTGGATGGGGTGGAGCATGGGGGGCAGTATGGGACTGTGGGGAAGAGGGGGGAGGCGTTGAGGGATGCTGCTGCTGCTGCCCGGGCTGGGGGAAAGAAGGGGGGTGTTGCGGGGGCAGGAGGGAGTGATGGGTTGATTACTACTGGTGTTGGGGGTGGGTACGGGACTGTTGGAAACAGGAAGGAAGCGCTCCGGAACTCGGAGGGAGTGAAAGCCGGTCAAGCGCCGGATGCGCCCGCGGAGAGGATTGCCAAGGAGGGTCGGGCTAGGGATGGTGGCAAGATGAAGGACGAGGATAAGCTGACGATGGGTATCGGAGGAGGTTACGGAACTGTGGATAACAGGCAGAAGGCGATCGAGAGCGCCGCCCATCTAACCGAGGAGGCTCGAAAGGGAGACCTCAACGACGTGGACGACGCCAGAATCACCACCGGCATCGGCGGTGGCTACGGCACCGTTGCCTCCCGAAAGGCGGCCGCCGCCGCACGGGTTGCGAATTCGGAGTCTTCCCGCGTCGGCAGCCTCGGCCTCAACGCCGGCTTTGGCGGGCTCTCCAACCGCTCGGGCAAGAAACCCATCATTGCTGCTGTCAACGGCCTCTGCCTGGGCGGCGGCATGGAGATGGTCATCAACTGTGACATGGTCATCGCCTCCTCGAACGCGAGGTTCGGTCTGCCCGAGGTCAAAGTGGGTGTTATTGCCGTTGCCGGGGCACTGCCTCGTCTCGTGCGCACGGTGGGGAAGCAGAGGGCTGCTGAGATGGCGCTGTTGGGGAGGAACAGGTACTCGGCGGAGCAGATGGAGAGATGGGGGGTGGTTAACTTTATCGTCAACGGCGAGCAGGCGCTCGTTGAGGAGGCGGTGAAGTTGGCGGAGGAGATTTCGAGTAACTCACCTGATGCGGTACTGACGAGTAAGGAGGGGCTGAGACTGGGTTGGGAGGGGATGGGGCCGGAGAAGGCGACGGCGGTGTTGGAGGGGGGCACGTATAAGAAGTTGGAGAAAGGGGAGAATATGAGAGAGGGCGTGGCGAGCTTTGTGGAGAAGAGGAAGCCTGTTTGGAAGGATAGTAAGCTATAGTTGCGTTTGATTGTGTTCGCGATGGCATAGGCAATTCTACCACGGAGTCAAAATGGAGGCAATATCTGGTAGTTGGATTACGACATGAGGGAGGATGGCATTCTTTGCCCCTATCCTTCACTCAAAAATGATACTATTAAGTCAACCGCTAAATATTCCCGATTTATGTCTCCCAATACCGTGAACGACTGTTCCTTGTCCCTGGATATACACAGTACCGAGTCCCGGCGTCGTGGAAAGATTCCACCTCCACATCCTCCACTTCCCCGGATCATCGCCAATCTTACTCCGCACGGAAACCGATGGTGAGAAGCCCGCTGTGGGGTAAGCTTGGGGCTAGCATTAGCGGAATGCGGGGAAGTATTTGTTAGGGCATTTTAGGGCCTTTGGCCTGGAAGAGGAAGGGGAACCATTGGAGGTGGATTTCTCCGTTGGACGGCATCCCATTTTCCATCAATGACAAGGAGCTTTTTCTCCTACCCCAACGCGCCGGTCAGGACGGTACACGACGGTTGCACTCATGCTTTCTCGACTACCACTTTGTCCGCCATGTTTACCCTACCGAGACAACGGGATAGGTGGGATCGACAGTCACCCAAGCTTCCATCGGTGTTAAGAAACAGTGTGATGGGCGACGACCATAGGCGAAGGGGACGACCATTCATATAACAGGCCAATGGCCCCGTCCCGACCCGAGATACAGAGTGGTATCGTGCCTCTCTGGAGCCAACATGAAGTTCCTCGCCTTCGCAGCCCTCGCGGCCGCCGTCGTCTCCTCATTCCCTGCCCCTGAGCTCCCCGCCGGCATCCCTCGCTCCCTCTCCGAGTTCAAGGAGAAGCACCCTTACACAGCCAAGCGCAGTAGTCAATGCCGGAAGACAGTCACCATCCGGGCCTCGCGAACCGACACCGACGATGTTGCCGACGACTTCCTCCGCGGTCTCAAGCAGGCCAACAACGGCGGCACCCTCTACCTGCCCAAGGGCAAGACCTTCGTCATCGGCAAGCCGCTCGACCTGACCTTCCTCAACGACGTCCAAGTCCACCTCGAGGGCGAGATCAAGTTCACAAACGACACGGCCTACTGGCAGAAGCACGCGTTTGCCCATCCCTTCCAGAACAGCCTCATGTTCTGGAAATGGGGCGGTAAGAACATTAAGATCTATGGTAATGGCGTTCTGAATGGTAACGGTCAACGGTGGTGGAACGAGTTCGCCGGCCTGGAGATTCTCGACCCTAGTAACACGTACCTGCGTCCGATCCTGTTCTATGCTGAGAACGCCACCGGTATCGAGATCGAGGGTATTCACTTCAAGGACTCACCTTGCTGGACCACCTTCTTTGTCACTTCCAAGCACATCTCGTTCAAGGACGTGGCCTGCACGGCCGAGTCCAACAATGCCACCGCTCTTCCCAAGAACTCGGATTTCTTTGACTCGCTCAATGTCGAGCACGTCAGTGTCGAGCGGGTGTGGGTTAATATTGGTGATGACTGCTTCTCGCCCAAGTCCAATGCTACGGACTTGTACGTGAACACCATGTACTGCAATGGTACTCACGGACAGTCGATGGGCTCCATTGGCCAGTATGCCGGCGAGAAGAGCTTCATCCGGGATGTGGTTATTGAAAACTTGTGGATGTTGAACGGTCAGCACGGCGCTCGTTTGAAGTCATGGGCTGGCCCTAACGTGGGCTATGGCTTCATTGATAATGTCACGTTCCGCAACTTCTGGAATGCCAACAACGAGTACTCTGCCTTCTTGGACTCTTGCTACTTCAATGTAAGTATCTCCTCTCTGCAAGAAGATTTTCAACGACTAACACACTGCACCCAGATCAACGCTACTACCTGCTCAGCATACCCTTCTCAGGTCAACATCAGCAACGTCAACTTTGAGAACTTCTCCGGATACACCTCGGGCAAGTACGGACGCGCAGTTGCTCGTCTGACTTGCAGCCCCAACGCCGTCTGCGAGAACATCAAGTTCAAGAACTTCAACGTCACTAGCCCCTGCGGCGGTGATCCGGTTGTCATTTGCGATGGCATCAGTGGTGACCTTGGCGTTCCTTGCGTTAACTCGACCAGCCTGGAGGCGAAAGCCGCGTTGAAGGACAAGTGCAAAACTGCTATGGCGACACTCCCAAAGCCGACACCGTGGTTGTAAAGAGTTTGTATTTATATAGGAAAACCTAATCAGTTATTAACTATTCAAGCCTCGTACGGCTCAATCAAACTTGCAACAAAAATACCGTTCTCTCCAATGGTCTTCTCTTCCCAATCCTTGAACATAATATGTCATCATATCCATTTACATCGCAACAACAACAACAACCGCCAAAAATCCAGCCACCACCATCGCAGCAGTCATCACACCCGTCACCCTCGCCGCACCACCCGCTTGCAGCCCCGACGCAGGCTGCGAGCTCGTCGCCCCTGCCACAGTCGTCGCCGACCCTGTGATCGAACTCGTCACCGAACTGGTAACAGTAGCCGTCGTCACCGTCACCGTCCCTGTCCCCGTCTTCGTCGACGTCACCACCCCAGTACTAGACCCCGTAGCCTTCGCAGTGCCACTTCCACTTCCACTTCCACCACCACCAGTCGTACCAGTAGAAGTAGCACCAGTAAAAACCGCAACCGGCGCCGTACACCCCGGCCCCGCCGTCGCCCCCGTGTTATAAGCCGACATCCTCCCCGTCTCAGAATAAGTCTCCCCGCAAACACTATCCAACTTATTAAGCTCCTTGCTGTGTTCGCTCACCCAGCTATTCACTCTGGATGTGTACACCCCGTACTCGCTTGACAACGTGGCGGGCAGCGTGATGGTGCATTGAGGGTTTGCCACGGCCGAAGGGACGAGAGCGTCCTCGGCTTTGTCGAGGGCTGTGCTGAGAGCTGGGCCGGGTGTGGGGATGTCGGCGATGAGAGAGAAGATGGCGAGCATGCAGCTTGCTTCGGGGAGGAAGATTGAGGAGAGGGTTGTTGCTGGTAGGGTTTTTGCTGTTAGGGTTGTTGGGGTTGCGGTGATTCCGGTTGGGAGGGGGACGGTGCCGGTGCCGAGTTTGGAGCAGCTGCCGGGTTTGGAGGTGCTGGTGGTGACTGTTATTGTAGTTGCTGGGGTTGTTGTGGCCGTAAAGGGCTTTAGGGAGGATATTGATATTGTAGGGGCGGGATGGCCTTGGTCGTGGCCTTGATCATGGTTCTCTACAAGGACAGTGTTGGTTTCGATGGCGGCTAGTTGGCGGCGGGTCTTTGTGGACGGGTTGAAGGAGGAAAACCTCAAGAGGCCAGTGGCTGTTTTGAAATCACTTACGGCGGCCTCTTCGGCGATGAAACTGGCGAGGTGGCCGCGGATGTTGGCGCTGTGGACGTCGGCTGCGTTGATGAGGGCGAGGGAGAAGACGAAGAACGATAAGTTTGGAGGGATCCAGTTGAGGATGTAATTCAACCCCTGTTCTATTACATCCATTAGGGAGGGGGTGAATGGTTCAAGGTGGTGATGGTAGGTTTGATCGTTAGTTGGTAAACTTGTTTGTAGGTTGTGCACTTTTCAAGACTGTGTAGTAGGATTCTATAGGAAGAGTTTGAAACCAGGTGATCGAGTTGACAACTTTAGGTGAAGAGAGAAAATGGATGATGAAGAGCAGAGGGTAAAGTGGAAGTTGTTTAGATCTTAATCGTGGAAGAGAGTATCGATGTCACCCCTGGTTGAAGCAGAACAGATAGACAAAGAAGTCGCGATCCAAAGTTAGAACATCTTAAGGACGGCTGCTTCCTTCCCGCCACGGGAAAGGTCCAAGAAATTCACTTCATTGTCTGAATCCTTGGAGCTGGTAGCAGCTTCCTTTCAACCTCAAAGAGAAGGCCGTGTCATTTTTCCACTTGATCAGCAATCCCATAGGATTTTTTTTTGATATTGAATATTCACTCAGCCGTATGTGCCGACTGTTATAGCAGGGACTTCAACGTCAACCTTAAAACAGGCCATTGTAGTCAAGGTTTCCGTTGTTATACTAAGAAGAAAAGAAATAAGTCATGGGTAACAAAATTTGTGTAAAGTCCAAAATGCAATATCAGCTTTGCAGCTTGCCTCTAGTAAGGCGGCTTAAGCCCTCGCTTTACACTTTAGCTGCCGTAGCCGTAGGAGCAGCTACAGATTTGCCAATATCCCATCCATGACAGAATCGTACTTCATGGCTTGAAGAGTAAGCTTTTCCTCTTCACCGGGAACCTGGATGATGACGGTAGCAACGTGATCGAACCCCAACCGGGCGTAAAGGTGATATCCCATAGGGCTTGCCATGACCGAGATGTCTTTCAAGGACTCTCTGCGAATGACATCCATACCCCATCTGCAAAGCGTGGTTGCGTGGCCGCGTCTCTGGAAGTCTGGCAAGGTTGCCAGGATCTGAAGATGAAGCTGCTCCGGACCAATGTTCCCAAAGTACTTCTTGTAGGCCTTGGCCTGACCATTACAGAAGGCGTTGAAGTGCTCCTGGTTGGCATCTCTACGTGTGCTCCCTCCTCGTTTGTCAACCTCACGATTAGCTATTTGGGGAGTTAGCGTGAGACTGACGGTTAGGTGAAGTTGGGTATTACTTGCGATCCTGGGGGATATACTCGGGTCCATGCTTCCGCTTGTTCAAGTAAGAGACATCCCAGACGCTGATGGATGCTATCTTGAGCTTCTCGCTACCGGCCGGGTCAACGTCCTCGACCACCATGACGGTCCAGTCATCATATGAAGGGTCTAAGAAGTACTCGAACAACATGCGCGTGTACTTGTAGTGGTCCTCGGGAAACTGTTTCCGCAGAGGGAAACGGTAGTCCCATTGCGGGTCGAGGGGCATTGTCTTGATGATGACATTGGTGATGGCATCAACGTCTGATGGGAGTCCAGGCCTGATCATGGCAGTTGTTGTAGAGAGCGTTGGGTTGAAGTATAGTTGAGGCTCAATCTCAAGAAGGGAGGGACAGTGAGCGAGCCTTATTACCCCCAGCAGCTGACATTGTTTTGGCTGACAGCCTGATGGCTGCTTGTGACAACTGGATCAGCCAGGCATTCCGCCTTACTAGTTTGTTGAGCTTTGTTGAGGCTCGTTTGTATGCAAGTGTGCGGAACAGCCTCGACTGGGTCGTTTGGGCTGTGTAACTTGCCCAAACGGCCAATGCATGGTAGTCGTTGACATTGCCGTATCAAGGTTGTCCGTCTCGGTGACTCGGTGAACAGGCCAAGGCAATGGGTGAAGGTAGTTGAGGGCGGACGTGTTTCAGTGTTGAGAAGCTCAAATATCCGACTACATGACAAGCCATGGTTCTTGGTGATGAGGTCAGCTTCAGCCGCCAACAATGAAGGGATTGGTGGTCGGAATGGATGGCATCGGGTGCTGAGATTCTAACAGCTGTACAATAAATGCTGGTTATCATGGCTATATCCTGGAGCTAGAGCCACACTTTCTTGTACACATGCAACATCTCAGCAGGAGGATGTCAAAGAGGCAGCCGCTATCAACCGCTGACGGCTGCCACCCAACTTCCCCAATTCAGGGGCAGTAAGCGCACCCCAGCACTAACATCTGAGCCAATCCGAGCAGCTCAACCCCTCCAACCTGAGCACGACAACACTGCCGCCGAACTCTCTCGATGAGTGAGGGAACATCGACGCCTCAATGGACAGAATGACGCCGCCTTTGGCCCCCAGTTCCCATCGAGACCGTAAGGCGGGTCTTGCATGAGACCATACCCAGAAGGGAATTGCGGCGAGCATGAATTTCCCAAAATGGATGTGCTTACGGTGGCCCAAGTGTTGGCTATGATCAATTGAAAGTTGGTCCAAACTCTCAACTGTAAGCAACTGCCAGCCCTTTTATATTAACGCCTCTATATTACTTATATACAGTGTTGAAAGATTTACACCTATCCAAAGGCATTATATTACTTACTTATTACAACTCTCATTAACTCCTATCAATTCCTATTAATTCCTATTAATTCCTATTAATTCTTATACTTTTTATTAAATTCTATTTATTCCTATTGAGTCCTATTAACTATTAACTCTCGATTTCTATAAATTCCCATTGCTTAGGGATCCATTTGCATTGATACCCTACCCCACAGTCCAAAATTTAGAGAAGAAGCGGAGGATCCATTTGCACTGCTACCCTAAATCTTGGCAAACCTTGAGGCTCCCAAATCTTATTGACTCTTAGAGTCTTAATTTATTATACCCCTTCGACTTCAATCGAGTTCTATTGATTCTGGTTGACTTTCATTGCCTCTAGTTATTGCTTTATTGCTTCATTGCTTCATTGCCTCATTGCTTCATTGCTTCTTTGCTTTATTACTTCATTGCCTTACTCTAATACTTTGCTTTATTGGTTCGATATATACAAAGAAGCGTGAGATAGACTTGATTGCTAAACTGAATCTACGCTGACGCGCCTGGGCGCGTACCTAGTGCCTGCAGTTGACACGGGCCATTTTCTGACCAAACTTTTTCAATTGATCATAGCCAACACTTGGGCCACCGTATGTGCTGAATGCAACGCGATGATGGGCGAAGAGCCTGGCTGGGGGAATGACGAGACGAAGCCACAACTCTTCCGCGCGACACTCACCCTCACACTGCCCTCCCGGTGCCCTCGCTCTGTGCCCCCTTGTCGAATCTTGAAGAGTGTCCGAGAAGGAGTCCCAGGTAACACCTCGAGCCTCCATCACTCAAGCGCCGGTCCTCCCACTTGTCGTTTGCCTACATAACAAAGTCGGGACCAGAGACCCTGGGGATCATAAAGAAGTAAAGTGTCCAGGTATGTCGGTTGAGTGTTCCACGATGCAACTTTGCAACCACATGTTTGTCGACATCGAGCGTTGACACAGCAATTGCAGTCCAACGTCCTCATCGGCTCACCACCTTGAGGTTCCGCAGCCTTGCCCCATATCATCCACTCTAATCAATAACCATCATGTAGCTAGGACGGCCACCTGCCCAAAGTTGGACAAGATGGCATTTCAACCCCCCACCGACCATTTGGGTCCCTTTTCCCATTCGTCCTCCCTCGAAAATCCGCACCTGGGGTCAGCAGAGCCTTATGACGACTCAAACCCGGACCTCCTTGGCGTCTCTTTCCCCTTTCCTTTTGGTTTCTGGCCAGACTTCTCTTGGGATGGGATCGATTTCGACCATTCACTCTACGCTGCTTACCCTTCCTCCTCTCGTGTTCTTGGGCCGACTCATCAGGCAGCTCTCTCAACTCCAATCCCAGTCCCTGTGCCCGCACCAGCACCGAGACTCTCCAACCCCTCGACCCAAGCTTATCCGAAGGCTCATGACATCGTATCTGATCAGGCTCCCGACTATCATGCATCCCCCAATGCAGGACTAGCATCATCACTATGTGGAACCATTGGTCTACCCCGGGTGATTGGCGTTGATGCTTACTCCGGCCTGCCTCAAGGACTTTCCGGGAGTGGGGAACACGATGGTTTCCATACAGGACCTCCAGGCTATCAACAGCCTAGCTCAGAGAGTCATCACAAGGTCCGGGACTGGCGTTTCGTGGCGAAGCAACCCAGAGCAAACCTGAACAGTGCAAATCCAGGACAGCACCAACATTTATACGGCGTTTTTCATCCGAACCTCAGCCACTTGTCTCCAAACGTTATTCATACACCGGCATTGCCAGAAGATGCCTCATCGTCCCAGCCATGGCAGTCTGTCGGAGGCTCAGGACATGGAATTTGGACGGATCATGGAAATGGAAGCCTTCTCATTCAGAAATATGTTGGTGAGTCAACAGAAACAGAGAACCAATGGTTCAGTCCTCAAGAGGATCTCTGCGATTGGGTGACACCAGTTTGCGAAGGACATGACGGGCATACCGTGCATCATGAGTCAACCGGGTTCGACCACTCCGTGGGGGTCCAGTCTCCTTTTGATGGATGTGGAAGCCTGATACCGTACTCAACATCACGTACGCCGGAGTTGAGAGATGACCCACGAACCCCGTCTTTGTCAACAAATGCCACCACTCCTGAGTCGACTGGTAACTCTGGCCCACTCACTCCGGAGCCCAGCTTGCCGAATAGCATACGGAAGAGCCAGCCAGCGACTTTCCAGTTTGTTCAGTACACTGCTGGAAGCGACACAGGTGATAGGACCTCCAAAAAGCGGCTGACTTATGGCGATGATGATCAAGATGGTTTAGCCAATATCGTTACGAAAGATGTCTTGAGAGATCAAGAAGGGACGGTTAAAGGCATCCAGATCGTCTTTCACCATCGTGAAAAAATCACCAAAAAGGTTCGACGAACAGAAGAGGAAAAGCGAACCAGTGCGTTAGCTAGAAAAAGAGGTGTTTGTTATTGGTGCAAAGAGAAGAAGAGAAAGGTAAAGTTACGCTTCATCAACGCTTCAGTCACATGTACTAACCTAAATGTAGTGTGATCTCCACGAGAAAGGACCGTATGAAAGCTGCCGTGAATGTGCGACAAAAAAGACATACAAAGGTGTTCTGCGTATGCCCTGCTTCACATCGACACTAGCCGATATGCTCTTCTTTCGTGCAGGCATGTGAAAAACCATCGAGCAATCCCGATCAAATAGATTATTTGCTAACATATGCCATGTGTCAAAGGCCCGGCTGTCAATGAACCACTTTTCATTAAGCGGGAAACGGTCTTCAAGCTTGCAGAGTTCTCAAAACCAGACGTGGGCGTCATTACGCTGAAGCTCACGCAAAACATCGGCAGTCATCATTTGGTCGTATACGCCTCCCAATTCGAGCCATTGCCGGGAGACAAATTGTCATACACGCCAACGGACAGAAGAACGGGACAAAAGCACGAAATACCGATGCCCCATTTCTGTCTGACCAATTACGAAAAGGTTCATGGTCACATATTGGAGTATATCAACTTGTCGAAAAAGGACTACCTGCACATGCTCAAGGAGGGTGGTGGTCTCACTTGGGAAATTGTATCAATGGCCATAAGATACGCTGAAACAAAAAAGGTAAATTTCCTTCCCCAAATACACGCGTCCAGTCTTGCTAACTGGACCAGGGCTCACTTGTTGATACGGCCCTTGATCTCTGGGTTATCTGCAGGATGATTGAAGACCCGTGGGAATTACTGGAGGGCAATGAACTCGGTGTTTCCCGTGTGAATCTGCCTGGAACCAAATTCCATGAGAAAATCCCAATTCCTCCAATGATGGACACTCAACTGGACCAGGTCATAATTCAGTTTGTTCTGAATCATCTCCGAGGCAAGCTCATTGGCCTGTTCGAGAAGAACATTTCTCCAGCAAAGCCTGAGACTTGGTTCGAGACCTTTCTTGCCTCGTTTATCCTGCTCACGCACATCGAACGATTGGCAGCACACTCTGTCCGACATGCGGAGACCCACACAATGCCGGTCAGTAACAGATAACCCGACTTTTTTCCAGTACATATAACTGTATGCTGACATTGAAGCAGACCAAATACTCCAACACCAAGTTCCTTGAGCAGGCTTTCAATACTGCAAAGATCATCCTCTCGCGTTTCCACTACGCGTGTAACGGATCTGTACCGCTTGGCCTTAACTGGAAAGCCTCCCATGTCTCTTCAATGGCCAAGCTTGGGCCCAAAGAAGTTGAGTTCATGCAGAGAATACAAAAGGCATTCAAGGAGAGAGGTACGTTTAAAATATCTGACTCATCTGGTATTTTGAGATACGATGCCCACTGACTTTCCCCGCTACAGAACATGATCTTCGCAATCTCCCCGCCAAACATGAATACGAGACTCATGGGCATTGGTATCATCAACTATTCATCGAAGACTGGGACACGTCCCCTGTTGATGTAAAAGACCCGTACAAGTGACTGAACCCCAGAATGGAGTGGGACAGGTTCCCCTTGTCGGGTGGGCGTTGAACGGGGACTCTGTTCTTAGCACCAGTGCCGGATATTGGATAGACAAACTCTGAAAACTCCCACGCATTGCGGCTCAAAGGAACCTCAGTTGCCACTACATTTTCGGAGTTTGGTGTAGATCGTGACGAAAGAATTAGAAATATGATACCCCCACTCGAACACGTACCAGCGTAGTTCATTTCGGTGACTGCTGCCAAAAGTCAGCCGGCATGGCAGCCTAAGAGTCTGAATGGCAGCCTGGGGCAAGGGTGAAGCAAATTACAAGTCAACCATTCAAGACCCATGGTATAATATCCCGTTATTGGTTCATTCAGATGCACATCAATCAGTCGACCTTTTTTTATTACGCAATGGGGTACCTACGCTTCGCCGTTCCATCAGCCCTATTTGCACGACGTAGGACTCTTCGAAGAACCCTGCTTATCCGCATGCGGTTGTTCGGCTCAAAAAGAACCCTTGTTTGAGGCTCTGCTCGAAAAACATCATTGGTCTGCCCTATGACTACCATGTGGAGAGTCAGGGAGGCTCAGACCGAGTTCTCGGTGTTTGAACCAAAGTTCTCCAATCATGTCTGTTCAGTTCTTATCGATGCGGCTCTGTGAGCCTAATAAATTGGAAACCTCCATTCTTCACACCGGGAACCTTGCACGTCGACTCACTTGCTTCGATGCGGCTATGCGGTTTCGGTGGGAAAAGACTGGACTTGAGGCTCTGGTAACGGCATGATTCACGATTTCTTTAGGCACAGAGCTTGAGGCTCTGCGGAAAGATGCGGTAGAACTCGGCTTCGAGTGCTTCTAGGTAGCAAAGTAAACCTTGAGATGAGCCTTAAGAGGTCGGATGAGCCTCGGGGATTTGGATATAAAAGGGGGACGTCGTACACAAGTTTGTTGAGGAGATGGAACAGACAGCACACAGCATCTTCACAGCTTCCTTTGCTTTGAACTCGGCATTCCTAGAACTTTATCATTGCATTGTTCCTCATTCTCATACCATCAAGCCCAACCACTTCTTCTATTTCTTCAAGTTTCACATACACAATGGCCTGCCCCCTTCAGTCCACTCGCGCCTGCAATATGGCACCTCCCCAGAAGGACTCCAGTCCCATCGTTCGTCCAGACATTGACTGGATTCCCTCTTATAAAGTCTTCAAGGAGCGTGTACAACGCTTAGCAGCACTGAACCTCAATCGTCCCACCACTCTTCCCGCCGGATGGCCTTCAAAGATCACATCCGAACGTGTCTGGTCTGGGTCTGACTTCAAGTCGGAGGACGACTATGTGGTCAAGCTTAGCCAAGAGGATATTGCCGAGATTGAGAGTGCTCTGGAGTATTTTAAGGGTAAGATCGCCTCTATAGTACCACCTGATTGATGCTTGATCTGAGCTCATAGCTAACATCTCTTGTTTCTCATAGCTCTTGACCTCGGCCCTGACGATGTCTCCAAGGACAACTTCCCTCTTCCCAACCTAGGCTCCAAGCTCGAGGAAGTCGCAGACATCATCCACAACGGCCGTGGCTTCGTCATCCTCCGCGGTCTCGAGCCAGACAAGTACTCAAGCGTGGACAACATCCTCCTCTACCTCGGCGTCACCAGCTACATTGCCGAAACCCGCGGGATGCAGGACTTTGACGGGCGGATGATCCTCCACATCCAGGCCGTCCGCAAAGAAAGCGACGTCGCCCAACACGGCAGCATGCCCAACTCGCCCTACGTCAACCGCGCCCAGCCCTTCCACACCGACCTCTGCGACGTCCTGTCGCTCTACGCTTTGGGGGTAGCCGCCTACGGCGGCGAATCCTTCCTGGCCTCGTCGGCCACCATCTACAACGAGATTGCGCGCCTGCGGCCGGACGTCATCCATGTTTTGGCCAAGGATGACTGGCCGTTTGACGAGTTTTACAAGAACCAGTATCACACGCGGCCGCTGCTTTACAACTTCTCCAGCAGCGATGGAAAGCAGGAGCATGGCCCAGGCTTCCAATTCTCCCGCCGCCCCCTCACAGGCGCGCACTTCTCGCCTCACCACCCCCTCGTCCCGGCCATGAGCGAGGTGCAAGCCGAGGCTTTGGATATGGTTTACTTCTTGGCGAAAGAACACGCGCTGGAGATCCAGCTGCAAAAGGGGGATATGCAGATCTTCAACAACTTTGCCATGTTGCATGCTAGAAGCAGCTTTGTGGATGAAGGTGAACACAAGAGACATATGCTGAGGTTGTGGTTGAGGAATGAGCAGAAGATGTGGAGGGCAGAACCAAAGAGCGAGGGGCTGGAGAAGGTCGGTCGGGAGGTGTATGAGTGGGAGAAGGAGGAGTGGAGGAGAGAGGTGGGGACCAAGTGGGATATTGAGCAGAGTCCGCCTGAGTTGAGGGTGGATTTTAAGAGGGCTAGTTGTGCTTGAGTGATGAGAGTCGAATCGGTGTAAGAATGAGGGGAGGCATATTGTTTGAGGTGCAGTTGCTATTGTAACTATGCCTGGGTTTCGAGGGGATTTTTGGGTTTTGTTTTGCCCGCTTGGGATGGCTTTTTGTTGGTCCAGTCTGCTTAGACTCAGCTGAGTGTTTTGGAGGTATTTGGGTTCATGTTTCTATTTTTGGGGCTTGTTGAGCGGCATCTTGCTTTTGAGACTGTAAACCTTTGAAGACGGACAATTAAGACTTCGGTTTTAGGTTCAAGTTGATTTAGAATAAACTTTCACCTTTGTCTTTTGACTCCAATAACATTGATCTCCGTCCAATGCAGTGCACTGGATGAGTGATAAGTACCTAGAGGTACAGAAGCGAATGCCATTCTGTTCGGTGTATTGGAGTTACGTAGCTCGTCAGAAACTCTGTTAGAAGGGGTAGTAGAGCGATCATTTTTGCCATAATCAAAATTGAGGGCCACTAACAGATGTATCTGACGGCAACAAATGGAACTGAAACATTCGTGTTTTGTATGAGGGGTGTGGGAAGGAAAGACTGATGGTACCTACTACGGTAAATATCCTTGCTAAGGGCTTTTGAGGAAAGAGTCATGATAGTGGTGCAGTGGTAGTCAGTGCAAAGCAGAAGCCATGCCTGCCACATTCGCACTTGCTGTGCGTGGTGAGCTGAAGTTTCCCTCGGATAAGAAAGTCCGTCAAGTAGAACCAACGAACGGAACTGGAAGTTGGAGCTCAGAGCTAAATAGAAGCATCATCAACTGAGGCTTTGAATCGCCCGGGAAGGTGCAGTGAGTGGTCGGTCGCGATAAGGAGCCTCCCCTCATGTAGTACTTGTTTAGAACGACTCGTACAATGAAGGAGCAGCCAGCAGAAATCATGATTTGACGATGAATAAACATCGTATTCAACTTTATACACCATTATGCTGCAATCGTGATGAGATGAGCATTGTAATGTTCAGTTGATAACAAATCTGGCAAGTGCGTACCTGACTTTCCGCCGGCGTGCCAAACGAAGGTACCTTGCGTCCGTCGGGAACTGTTCTTTGAGACCGACAGGCAGGAAAGTGAAGTACTTTTGCAAGGAAACTATAACTGATCTTGCAGCTCGCGGCAGCATTTGAAGTTCAGCTCGTTCCAGAAGACTTTTGGTGGGAATCACATCCATTGGATTGTTACTGCGCCCTTGAAAAGCAACACTTTGTCTCCCGGCCCGATCAACTGTAGTTCCTCGAGCCGTAGACCCACACGCTTCAATGACTAGTACTTACACAGTAAGTATTCTCAAGGATGTTCGTATCCCAGCGGGTAGGAAGAAAGGTACCTCTAGTGTTAACCCCTTACCTACTCGTACTGAGTGTCGAGATCCCCGTGAGGATCACGACGCAGTGTATCGGTCAAGCCAATAGTGATGATCCCATTACCATGTCTACCATGTACCTTACTTTTGTTCGGCGGCGAGTCTGACGTGAACTAGCGCCTATCGGGTCGGGGTGCCAGTTCCTATGATCAATGATATGATATGATGATCGGAGTTTGACAGCGCTTGCGGAGATAGATGCGGCTGATGTGCGAGTGCCTAGAGTATGTTTCGCTTTCCTCTTTGAACATTCTGGATAATTTCCCCGGCTGGATAGTCTATCAAGACCGACGGACCTGGTCTCGAACTTATTTGCCCTTGTCATTTGGAACTTAAGCTGAGTCGGATCTGCTGCAAGACTTCGGATGCCATCAGTCTATTTGCTTGGCGATGGTTTTGCGATTAGGTATGTGGGGTTTACGGGATGTGTTGCTGAATTGGGCGTTCGTGATGGAGGATGAGGTTGAATCTGGACTTACAATCTTAGTCCAGGTAATGGATAGCTAGCAACTTCTAAATGTTTGAAGTGAAAATTGGAAAGTGAGTGCTAAGTGGGAGATCACTACCATTGATGCTTTTGTCCGATCTCCAGCTCTTTTGGAGATTGAAGCACGATAGTGTCTTGCTTATTTGGTTATTGGCGCTGGCTGTCTTCTCTTTCTCAGATCTCCCTTTTCCCTGTTAGTCCGTTCTTGAATATCCCGCTTCCTATCGACTCAGCAATCATTGCTCAACATCACCACCATATTCTGTTCCATCATCAAACAGCCACCTAATTTATCTTTTCAAGATCTTCTCCGCGGCGTCGGGCAGAAGGAGTGTCTCGGAGAGTGTATCCAGTATCCACTCCAATCAGTCAGCGATGCATCTGCACCACTCCGTTCCTGATCAAAGGTCCCTGTCATCCACGAGATGGCACACAGGCCATACAGTAGCCGCCCAGTGGCGAGCAGGGCAGTGACAAAAGTTTTGGGCGTGACTGGAGTGGATTCGAGCAAGACGAAGTGGGAGAGAAGCTTGAGAGAAGGTTCGAAACGGGATGGCGTAGGGTAGCATCGAGGGACAGGGCAGGGAAGGTGGAGGAGGAGGGAGGGGAGGGGCCGTGGACACTGGACGGTACCGTTCCCACCCCCAAACGCCTTGACAGTTGCCAAGACTTTGCTGAGCTGGCCACAACAACCAAGTGAGAACACACACACACATCGTAAAATATCGTCTTTTTACATGATTTCTATACAGAATTGAAGCGCCACACAACCTCTTTCATCGTACAAAGTAAATAAAGCAATTGCGTTAATTAATTAAACTATCGCGACAATACCTCCCAAATCAATCTTAAAAAACTAGAAGCGGACTCGTCACGCCAACATTACCTCGGTCCACTTTAACAACGAAGATCAGGGTTCGAATTAACTAATACGCACCTCTACCCACCCTACAAAAAAGAATCGTATTCTCATCGAGTCTAAATCCATCGCCAATTTATCCAAAAAGAAGGCTACCACCAAGAAAGCTACCCCCAAGAAAGCTCCCAAAAAGGCCGCCCCCAAAAAGAAAATTGCTCCCAAGAAGGCTACTCCTAAGAATAAGGGGAAAGGGAAGGCGCCCGCGCCAGAACTAGAGCCCTCTCTAAAACTAAAGGCGTTTCTAAAGCCTAAAACCGAAGCCGAGGCTACCTCTGTACTATCCTCCCTGCCTATACGGCCAACCCCTATCGAACTCTCTAGTAACCCCAACAATGACTTCGATAACGACGAAGAAAAAGAGGAAGAGGAGGAAGAGGAGGAATAATAACTCTCTAATCTCCTTATCCGCCTTATCCCTAAAAAGAAAGCTATTAATACCTTATTCTATTTCTCTAATAACGATAAGAACGCAATATCTCCAACCCAGCCACATACTCCAACCCAACCGCGTACCCGCAAGCAAATAGCGCCGCCTCCCAAACCCAAGCCCAAGCCCGCTCTCCCTTCCTATATTTAGATAGAGTTCACAATTATAGGGTTATACCTTACTACCCTCAAAATCAAGCCTCCTGCTATTTCTAACCATAGAAACTATTAAGAAATTGTGGTCGAATAAGAGAATAGCAAAATCTATAATTAGCAATTTAGGATAACCCTACTTAGTAAGGTCCTTCGTCTACAAATAGAGTATACCTAAAAGACTATCGCCAACGCGGCCGCCGCTAAGGTTAAGTACCAAATTATTCTTCACAATGTTACGTATACTACTAGCGTTTATAATAATAATAGGAGGAATAAGGCTATAATTTATACAAACACCGTTATAGCTACTCCATTTAATAATAACAACTATAACTTTAATAGCGAAAGTATTATAAAAATATATATCCGCAACAATACTACTTAGCACTATACCTTCACGCTCGCCTTTACCTTTACCCTCATCGACCCGCCCGCTGTAATATTAATGCCCATCCCTATTGCTAACGTACCCTCTACTCCTACCCCCTCTTATAGTATAGCTAATCCCTTTATAACTACTACGCTGCAATTATTATACGCATTTATCACCCCCAAGTCTAATATAGGGAGGAAGATTATAATTAATATAATATTAGAAGAAATTGATAAACTCAACAAATAAAACCGCAGACGAGAGGCACGTAGGGAGCGTAAATCCCGCAGCACCGCATACTATAAGCTCTTTCAAACGTAGAAGTATAATACTGGGCACAGCTATAAAAATTATAATAAAGGAATTAACCACCAAATATACTACCTCGTCGATAGCAGTAAAATATATTATAACCTCTCTATCAAAGACGCGAGCAAGTAGGCAAAGGCCATCGCGGCTAAGCATACTACCGTACGAAATCCCCCTACTTTAATTATTTAAAAGATAATTATAGTAAAGACCGCCACGGCTAGCACTAATTCAAGTAGCGGGAGACGTAGTAGTAATAGGCTCCCGGTACATATTAATATTATTAACAACATTAATAGCAATAATAGTAATACCAGTACAAAATCTATTAATAATCTTTTGCAAATAATATTAAGAAGGGAAGAGAAGCTACTAACGCTATACTACTCCCTATACTAACTATACTTATACCCGCTATACTAATTAATATATTACCCTCTATATAGCTACCCTTATTACTTAACTCACCTAACTCCTCCTCCTTCCTCTATTATAACTACTTCTACTATTACTATACCGGTACCGGGTACTATAATAACCCTACCAAGCGCTACCTTAAACGTACTATTTAATTACTAGATTACCGCGTTCTATAATTACCCTATTAACTACAAAACTTTAACGGATAAACGTAACCCTCTACCCTTATCTACTATATTTATATAAATACCCTCTATCTTACTTTTAACTATGCTTCTAATACCTCTATTAATTATACCCCCCTCTATTATTAATAAAAATAAATCCTCTCCAACTCCCTCTTCCTCGCTACCACCCTTACTATATAACCGTACCCCTAGCGAACTCATTATTAAATTCTTTAAAACCTTTTACTGGGAGTATTATGTTAGAAAAACTATAATAGCAGCGCAAGCATTGCAAACTGTAATTATACTACGGGAGGTACTTAAAAGATTAAACGCTCCCGTTATGAATATTATAGCGTTTAAGGACTAATTAATTGAATAATTTATAAAATTAAATTTTATAATAGAGTTTTATACTTCTTTAAAGAATAGTATTAAAACCTTCCTCAAATAAGAGTAATGAAATAATCGCCCGAATAAATAATTTCTATAATATACCTTCTACCTTCCAATTAATAAATTTAATTAACTATAATTATTATATACTAAATTCTTAATACAGCTTTATAGTATGACCGATTGATACTACCGCCCTCGAATTTAGTATTACGAAAGTATTTACTTCTCTAGCGAGTAGTACGACCGCTAATAATAACATACTAGACAAATTATAATAAATCGATATATGATAAAAAAAAGTAAACTACTCTAATTATAAGAGGGGATTCTATATATTTTTAGCACTTTTATATACTCTTTTCATTATTATATAAATAAATACTAGCACTCTACTTAGTATTTCCAGTATTTCTAGCACTTCTAAGACCTTTTTTTCATTATTACATAAATAAATATATTTCTAGCACTTCTAATACTTCTAGCATTTCTAGCCTTTCTAGTATTAAATTATAGCACAAATCACACATTACCCCTTATACTACCCAATCACCCTCCCCATCTACCTTCGCCTAATAACGTTATTAATTCTTTTAAACTCTTCTAATTAGCTAGCATATAAAATCGTATAATCTTTATCAATATCATCAACACCCTCCATAATCAATTTAATATTCTTAAAGTAACCACGGATCTATTACACTCTATACCCAATACTTTCAACAATTCGATAAAAGAAGATAAGGAAATCTTTATTAGCTATCCTATCGCTACCCTCGTTGTTATATACCCGCTTTATATATTTCTTAAAATTACTAAAATACGCCTTGATCTGGTTAAATTCTAAAGAATATAATAATAAATACTAAAATAATATACCCGTGCTTATATACGTATAATAGAGCTTATTATATAAATACCAATTCGCGTTATCTATTACTAAAATACTATTACAACCAGGAAAGGGATTTATTATAGGGAGGAGGCAATTTCTCAACTATCTAATAAACTCTAGGGTATTTATTTATCCTTTAAATACTAATATTTTAAATATGCTATCAACCGATATAGTTAGGAAAATATAATACTATTTACTATACTTAAAGCGGTTCGATATTATCGCGATAGTACTGCGGGGAGCCTAACTAATATAATAAACTCTATTGCGTCGGTCTATACTAAACTTATTGTAAAAAACGAATATCTTTATAATAAATATTTTTATTTTTATTATTTATTCTATTACTAACTTAGGCTCCTACTATACCACTTTAAACGTTAGCCTCTTCTTTTTCCAGCGCTCTTAATATAGATAGCATCGTATAGTTTCGTCTAATACATATACGTCGTATTTATTGGCTAAGAAGGCACGGATCTCGTCGAAATATAGGGATAGCTTTAATACTAATAATTTTATAACCTCCTTTATAACATTAATTACAATAATAAACGATGAACAGTTACTATAATTACGAGTATATTTCTATAGCCTATATAGGGAGCTTTCTAGCATTCTAGGGGGATCGAGACTATAAGACGGGCTTACTAGTAATATCGAAATTTCGTTTATATTGATATACTGTATGTACGCTTACGCTAACGGCCGTTGCAATATCATTAATATACTCATCGTTATAAAGTATTAAATTTACGACGGCTCGCTGGCTTACGTTAGGAACCTTTACTATATTATACGACGAAAAGACTAGTAAAAACAATAAAAATGCTAAATAAAACGATAGCAAATATACTAGCATTAAAATGCTAGCTTTTTGGTACAGATTTCAATAATTTACAACATGATGCGGTTGATTTACGTTGATTAAGACGGTTAAATCTGGTCAATCTATCAAATCTATATTCAAGTCAGTGTTGTGGCCAACTCAACCCAACTAGCGTGCCAAGACTGTTAAGGCGTTTGAGGGTGTGGGAACGTTCGGTGCGGAAATGTAACCCTCTAGGGTGGGTGGTATCGGCGTCTTGCGCTATCTCGGGTGTCATGATGTGAGGTCTCTTTGTTATCACACCGGGGTGCGTGGGATTGCGGGTGCGCAAGGTTTGGAATTTTTGTTCCCGTTCACTGTTTCCGTCGGGCATGTGATGATGTTGATCGAGCTGTTGCCTCCTTCGGAATCAGGGGGTTTTCTGATAATCCATCGGGTCCCCTTGTTGAGGAATCATGATGTCGGTTACCCTATTGCTTGAGCACCTCCTGCAAGTTATCCATTGCATATTTTACGCACTCAACCCATAATCTGGAGGAATCAGCAAACAGATCCACGGAGACTCATCTCTATAGTCTTTTCTCCGTGTGTGCCATGTCAAAACAGTTTTGCATGTGTTGGGCATATCGTGATCGAAACAGAGCGCGTTGCAAAGAGACCGCACAGTGCAGGAGTGCCCTCAACGCGATGTCTAATCTGGTACAGGGAGCACCAGTCAGGACCTTAATACGCCACAGCCGAGTGAGGCTCTTTACATGCCAACTACATCCTCTGCAACACGTTTCTACAAACTCTCGGCTCATGGTGAAAGATGTTGTGATTTGATTACTGTATCAATATCTAGTATCGTTCATAGTGTTTCAGTGCCCATTCTTCCTTGAATACCCATCATACCTCCACCAGTATGGTTTCCAAGGTTGCCGCCAAAGGCAGGATTGGCTAGCTTCGGATCGGCGCCATGCATCAGGAATAACAGGACACCAGACTCACTATTGCTGCTGACGGCCATGGAGAGGGCAGTCCGGTGACTATTATCTTCCGCGTTTACATCGACACCTCTCTGAAGCAGTAGCATGATGACGTCCTCCTGAGAATTCTCGATAGCAACATGAAGTGCTGTCATGCCGCTGCTGTTGCGCTCGTTGACATCGGTATTATGATAAAGAAGCATTTGAATGATGCCACAGTTGCCATTCCTGGCTGCTGTGTGTAGCAACGGCTCCCATTGTTCGCCGTCCTTGGATGCCCAGGTGGACGAGTCAATGGACTGGGCTGGCTTATGCCTCTTCCATTCTGTCGCCACCTGATCTCGGAGCTGAGCGCCCACATTTACAGCATAATCAAGCGCGGAGACGTCTGTGTTGTCTCCATGGGTGGCTTCATTAGAGAAGCTGTGATATGGAGCGCCAGGAACCGAGCCGTTAACGTCAAAGGGGGCGCCAGGGAGCATGCCGTTGCGGAACAGGTGATTTTGTTGCATGGGAACTGGATAGCCCTCTTGATCTAGGAGTGGAAAGCACGGTGTCTTGTTGGGTGCTTCCCCACCATAAACCAAACCGTCAGGTGATAAGGATGGAGCTGAGCTGTTGGGAGGGGACATGGGAGCGACGATATCGGCTGGGGGGCTGCTCAGGTAGAAATTGTCGCTACCGAAGAGCTGATTGTCCCACACACCGATCTGATATTCGATAGTTGGGTGCCATCCTGGCTGTGGAACATCGGTCGGACTGGTGGGCGCAGAGGGTCCCAGATATGGTAGTTCGTAGTTACCGGCATATTGTGGATGGAGGTTGAAGTATTCGTGCCCGATGCCCTCTGCTTGTAAACTGGCAGCCCGAGCCTCCATTGCCTTCTTGTCTGTATAGATTAGTTAGCTTTCATGCTTCGTCTGGTTGTTGTGAACAACAAGGCAACTACATACGCCGAAACCTGCGTTGGGCAATGCGGTTTTGGACCTTTCTCCTGTCGTTCACCACCGGCTTTGGAGACGGTGTCTTTTCGGTGGCGGAGGTTGTCTCTGTTGTCATCCTATTGGCTTATTGCTCTTTGTTGCGCTTTGTGCTGAGAAGAAGGCTTTGATAGCTGGTTCAAGTAACGTTGGAAGTGAAGTAGGTCAGAGTGGGGTGTAGATCGCGGAAAGAGCTTTGAAGGTCTTGACGAAGAGATCATCAGTGACGAGGCTGCTCTCTGGTTGATATAATCCTGACCAGACCCCCACGGGCATATCACTGTGAGGGATGTGCTTCACTTCAACCTTGATGGCGCCTGGGTAGGAGGACTGTACACACCTAGCTGGACTAGACTAGTAGCCGGGGACTAGGACTGCAACGGTAGGGAATCAGTTGAACCAGGGCACCTGGGCCGGGGTTGATACTAGGACTAAAGTTCCCCGCATCCTCATCCTCAAGGGGGTGATCAGTACGTGATAAACATTGACTGGTTTGATACCAGAGAAGGTCCACAGGAGGCCGCCGTGATGCGACGTCAACCACGGGCTTAGGTGGCATTCGCGTGGCAGGGGGCACATCGGGAGAGGCAGGAAGGGCGACTTGACCAAGCAACTCTAGACTCCTCTTTGCCTCCATTCAGGACAGCATCACACTCGAATCTTGATATACCGCAAAGACTCGGGGCGTTGATTTTAGGTTCCAGGGCCTAACTGACAGAATATATGTATTAGGTGCCTTAGGGTTTGAGTTTTGGAAGAGATTCGAGCAGTCTGCAATGCTAGAGGTGCCTCAAGTGTACTGATTATGTTTGATTTCCCTGGAAGCTGAAAATCAACGCCCCAAGTCTTTGCGGTACGACAGACTGCGTTGAATCTGTACCCAACTTGGGATAGTACAGGTTTGGAGACGGGGGCTTTCTGGTCTGAGGCTGGGGCCGTTGAAGTTGCCCTTGATACTCTCCACCGCTTGGCTGTTCATGGTCTTCGTCGGCTCCGACAGTGGGCATCCGATGAGGTGCTGTTTGAGTGTAGGTAGTATCAGATTGTTGTTGTTCTATGCGAGATCAGCTTCGACAGCTTGTTTCTATGCAGGCGCCAACGTCGATTGAAGCCGGTTTGTGTGCAGTGGTAGTGCTTGAAGACAGTCTTGCAGTGTGCCGATGCAGAAACGGAAACCAAGTGGGATTTGAGGCTGGAGTGGACATAGCTGCGTAGGCCCTATGTCCCGTCGCCTCATCACGACATGAATTCCATTGCGTTTGGTTTTGGCAAAATTTTCACAAATGGTATGGGTCAAGTTGTTGTTGAGTTTCGCGGTGTGCAGTACCAAAAATGATGCAAAGGGAAGAGAAAGGGAAAGAGGACGGATGCTGAATGTCAACCGACTCTCAAAGAGGGGCACCTCAAGAATTTGGAGACTGGCTCGTGCACCTGCCTGTCCCCCAAATTGCCCAATCAGGAACGATAAATGGCCTCTGATTGGTCGGTTTGGCTGTAGGGCTCCTGTCCGCTTTCGCGTTTGCACAGACAGGCACTGCCAACATGAAAGCATATTATAATTATGCCCTCATCGCCAAACTGGTGTTTTAACTTGGAAAGGAAGTTGAGTGACGTGCGTCTGTGTGTCGGCTACTGCAGAGATACCTAACATCCGCATTGAAGGCGTTTGCTGAGATGACGGTCTTAGTGGCCGTGTTCGTGCCATGCTCTCCCAGCACTGACAAGCCAATAGAACCTAAGTAGATGCAATATAACCAACTATCGAAATGTTCCCGTCATAACACAGAAGTTTGAACCGGTTCGACGCTGTCATCGGCCGAGGTCGGGGGCAGAGGGTGGACTCCTAAGAAGATTCACCCTGGAAGTTGTCACGGTCCAGATGATGGGGGGACGCTTGATTTCAGGTGCAGAGTGGAGCATTCGGTAACAACCGAAAGCGTTGCGTTAAAAGCGGCAAGTGGGGGACACCGTGCGCTATCGCGGATCTGCGATAAGTCAACGCAGGTCGAAGCCAAGCACCTGCCAAGCTTCATATTTCAGCACTCTTGGCTTCCTTCTTTCACACCCGTCCGTGCCTTCCCCCCTTCGACAGCTTCAAGTCGCCCACTCAATCTTTTCCTCTTCCAGATGGCTTCCCCTTTCTCCCTCGGACAACCATTTTATCTCCCCTGTCGCCGTTGCCCTGACCTGCGATCGATCTCGCCGCCGGCCATCATTGCTAGCTTCCACTTTCTCCGACCGTTCACACTCCGGCTTCCCGCTCACACCATCTACCTACCACACCAAAATATCTCCTACCTGCCTCTCGCTAACTCTCTTTGGAAACCAGCGCGGACTCGATACCCGAAGAGGTCTGTGAACTATGGACCCTTGAGTTATTGGGCAGTAAGCAGCAAAGACAGGACTCGGGCATGATTTTCAAGATACTACCTTTCCCGTCCCCGGTGAGGTCTTTGGTCCCCGACCATCTCCTCTTCACTCTTCACTTGCTACTGAAAACAATATTCGTGGTTTCCTCTTGCTTTTGCGTGCTTTCATTCTTATGGTAACCTACCAAAACAAGACAGAGTCGCATGCCCGCATACTGAGTTGCCCTTTCAGGAAGTTGTCTAACCACTTATATGTATCAGAGGGTTACATACTCAAATTTTTCATCACAATCAAGGATGGGAGACATGAGCACTGCAGTGCAGACTCAATGATATTCTTGAATTGCGATATCTTGGATTTCCAAATCTCAAATCTTCGTTATCACTCTTCCATCATTGTTCATGGGTCTGTCTGCTACTCCTCACCCAATCGTTGATGTCTTCCGTCACTCCAGTGACCGGTTTTGTGGTGTAGTCGAAGCTTCTGCATCCTACTGTGAACATGGGTGATTAATGAGCCTCTCAAAGTTGCCAAAGTTACATCGGAGTTAGGATCATCAAAAGTACCTGCCGTACGCAAACTCTCTCCAACAGCTGTTCTTTTTGCCTTGCCACCATATACTGTTAAAGCCACTACATACGTGACATCAGACTGAAGCTCGGTATATGGAAATTCGATAACGAGATAAACAAGTGATGTGACCGAGGCTATGGCGTTTTGCTCATGCCCCGAGCTCACTGTTCTACTAGGTAGAATATCCGTGAAGGAGGCTGGCCTGGTTAAGCTACCGAGAAACCACAACCTTCCAGAACTCCCTTCAGAGGGTTCTATACATACCAGTCGGCACTCGTTCATCGGTACTTGGAGACCATCTCAACCGTATGGGCCTTTTGAACCAAAGTAAAAGTGCTTGCCAAGGGCCCAAGAGACCCAAAACATGCACAGTAGCGGCAACCAAAAGTTCCCTCCGTCGGACTTTCGTCCGGCATTTATTCGTACGAAACCACCGCCCACATCCCACATCCCATATCCCACATCTGTACAAAGATGTGACCCCATGAAGCCCGCTCGGAGAAAAAAGAAAGGGAAAACTAAACTCGGGGACCACTGCCAACACCAACCTACCTACTACTACCTACAAATGCTACCCAAGACTTCTACTTCACCTCTTCCACTGTGTGCTTCCCGAAATGGATGGCCAAGGCCAATGCGTGGTCCCTTTTTGTTGCACTCTTACTACCGATGGGACAAAAGTCTCTTGCGTTTGTGACTTTGTTGATTGGTTGCTATGGGGGTAACATAAACCCGTTCGTTCGGCTCCCCACAGTTATTGAGGGATTGTTGGGTTGGTTGAGTTGGTGAGCGGTGTGCTTGTTAGAGGTTGGGAGAGGTAGAGAGGTCTTTGTCACTGCAGTCAGAAAAAGTGAGAGTGAAGACGTTGTAGCTACTGCGTCTTTAGGGGAATCGGCTTTGGGTAACCATAGCGAAAAAAAAATTAAGTGTCTGTAACATGCTATTAGAGTCACTGGTGAAAAGGTGAACGAGAAGAACAGTGAACAGTACATGGAGAACAAAACCGGAACATAGCCAGGCGCTAATACGATCACTTTCTGTTCTCCAAACATCATTGTGAACAAAAGTCATCTAGGTGGTCGAATTCTGGGCCGGATAGTTCGCCCAAAGTGTTATTACATTGACACTGCCAGTCGCCCACTGGTGATGTTCACTTCACTTTCACTATGTCAGTGCCGGATTTCTCAGCCTTCCATCTCCGTTAACGGTAGTCAGAGAGATGTTTGTTAACCAATGTACCACAGTGAATTGTGCTACTGATGTTGTTGTCCAGACAGAATCAAGAGTCATCGTGGCATGTCAGCAAGGAGCTCATCCATGGTCTCAAATCAGGTGGGCAAATATTCAGTAAAGTTCCCACATAACAAGTCCATGTCTATGAACGAGTTAACTCCCGCTTCGCTAAAGAGTAACACTTAATTTCCTTCCTCTCAGATCCCTCTGACTCCAAGCTCGCTCGCTTGATCCAGTAGACGCAACCCCCTCCCACTCACATCCAATACCCATCCTTCCACAACTCCTTGCTATAACCCTCCGTCAACCTCTCATCCAACCCAAAAGCCTCCTGCCACCCCACAAACCCACGATCCAACACAAAAACCTTTTGGTTGACCGGCTTCTTTTTCTCCTCCTCCTCCTCCTCCTTCTTCTCCTTTCCCTCTCCATCAGCCCCAACAGCCTCCTCCACAGCAGCACTATCAGCCGCGGAAGTGAGCTTAGTCTCCACCTCCTTCGGCATCAAACGCTCCCGCTCGCGAATGTAGCGCAAGGCAGCGCTGGGTCCGCGTTGCTGCGAGAGCGCGCAGTGGAAGACGACCGTCTCCTTGTCTTGGAGCTGGCGGACAAGGGTGGGCAGCATAGCGTCGAGTTTGCGCGAGGGAACGTTTTGGGAACCTTTGATGTGGCCGCCTATGTAGTCTGTGAGGGGGGAAGAGGGGGAGGGTCGGGGTTAGTACTTGGGGAGATAAGATGGAGTGTCGAGTGGACTTGGAAGTTCGTTGTGGAGGACCGGGGCGGAAACTAGTGTACGCACCGTCATCCCGCACGTCAATGATAGCCAGAGTGGGGCTGCCACCAGTCTCCGTGCCGGCCGCCGCCTGTTCGGCCAGGATCAGCTTGGACAGGGACGGGGCGGAGAGCCGCTGGAGGGATCCGATAGTGGTCATTTTCTGGCGGCGCTTTTTGGGATGTTTGTTCTAGGAGGGGAGCACTTCGAGGGATTGGAAAGCAGCGAGGACGGTATATGAATGCGGGTGAGGAATATTTGTCGCTTTTTGTCTCAAAATGCCGGTGTTTTTTCTCCTTTCAATTCCCTTCGAAAGGTTTCTATCAGACTGTTAAGTGTCAATCCTTCCTTCCACTATCAGGTCCCATCGTTCAGCGGGCGGCGGTCCAGACCGCGGACACGGCATCTTACAGTGAGCTGTACCGTGTGGAACGGTCTGGACCCTCTTGTGCTTTTAGCAGGCAGGGCAGCTGTGAGCAGCTGCTAGGAAGGTTCCAGGCAGATGTCACGGGCGCTTTCGCAATGGAGAATCATTGGCGGCGATCTTGAACTCTCAACCTTATTTGCACCTCAACAGACCTTCGAGGTACACTTGCACTTGTTGGATGAAACTATACGCCGTATTCCGACTCGAATAGCGACGATCTTTAATCTGCGGTCCCTCTTTTTGAAAAACGTAGGCTCAAGCGTTGAAGATCGCATGGAAGATTGCCACTATCAATGAAGTCGGCTGTTTCGGGTCAAGTCATGCCGTCCAATTCTCGAGTCATTTCCGTTTACTGATACAGGTTCATCCTTTCAAAGATCGAATTTGCGGCGAAGCCAACATGGTCCCTCTTCACTCCATGGCCCTACTTCGGTGGAAGTTGCTGAGTCGATCCTTGCCGTAGATAAGCCCAAAATACAGAGTGATATTTCGCTCTGGGACTCAGAACTCACCTCCAAGAACTTGGGTGAAACTTTGAGGAGGCAACCTCGCAACAATCCCGCAGCTACCGTGTGGCTGCAGTCAAGAGGTCCTGGTGTCGCATCTTCATGGCTGACCTGGCCTAGCCGTTTCCACTTTGTTTCTAGATCAACATCTCTGCCAAATCAGAATCTCGAATAGCACATCAGAGTCATCCGGATCCGTGCCTTTTCCAGCTACTTGATCCTCGGCGCCTACGCTTACAGGAATTTGACACCCCAGTCCGTTCTTTCTGGCGTGTAGTTGATCATGGGAGTGACTCGGGCCTATCTTCTGGGCTCGGGATCTTGCCCTGTATCATCATCCCGCCTTTTTCCTCCCAGTGTTCATCTCTAGTTGCTCTGTCCTAGAGATGAACCATGAGAAATCGGGATCATTTCAAATACGGCCTGATTCTAGGAATCATTGTCTGCTGCTCGGCAGCATTGACCGCCCTTGACAATGTGGCAAGTGCAGAGTCTGCCGAGACTGGGCACAATCCTATCAAGTCATGGCCACACCATCATCCACCCGTGGTCGCAAGGCGTCCGGTCAGCGGCCATGAAGATCTTGGCTCGCAGCCCGTGTTAACGACCGTGACCTCGCCGATCAGTGCCGCAGTGGTAGCAGAGGCAACCCCTTCACCTTTCCCGACAACGGCACCCACGACAATCAACCCCATTATCGAAACAATAAGCTCCCTCAGCAGTGCCCTCGAAGAAGCTGAGTCGAATGCCATATACATCTCAAGCCTCCTGGCGACATCCATCATAGGGCTTCAGGAGTCGATCGATTACCTTACCTCGTCAGCTTCCAGTGCTTTGGCATCAGTTCAAGCCTCGGCCTCAAGCGCAATAGCGTCGGCCGAGGAATCGGCTTCCAATGCCGTGATAGCTGCAGAACGTTCAGCCTCGAGCAAAATGTTGGAACAAGGGGAGTTGGTTACGGTCACGGTCACAGCAACCGTTGTCTCAGTTACAACAGACGCCGTAGGATCGACCATAACGGTAGATCCAAATTCGACAATAGTGAGTGCTCCCCAATATTGAAACTTCTCACCGTCTCGTTAACCTTTGCCAGGCCCAGGCTCAAAACGATCTCGACATCAAAGCTGTGCAAGGAGCCGCGTCATCGGTCAACAGTGCTGCTATAGCAGTTGTCGTCGCCATCATTGGTTCCTCTGTGCTTTCTCTCGCCGGCTTCTACCTCTTCGTGAGATACCGAAAGAGGAAGCAAAAACAAAAAGAAGAAGAAGAGCAGAACGTAAGCGATGCGCTTGACCGCGCCATCGTCAGCTATATCGTCAAAGACCAGGCCAGCCCAACAAAAGACGGGGACCCTTTTAGCCCGACGGGGCCACCAGAACCCATCCACTTGGAGACTATCGAAGAAGTTCAAACACCACCTCCAGCCCAAGGACCACAGCCACCTCCCGTTCGACGGCCCTCGCAAGCCTATCGTCCGCCGCAGACACCACAAACGCCCCAGTTTGAGGCACCACCCGACATTTCCCCACGAAGAATCGGACAGGCCGTCAGCAAAGACTATAGTTATAATAGTGACATCCTCCTCCCATCGCCTGGTCCGCCACCAACTTGTCCCCTGCCCACTCCACCAGCAACAAAAGACATCAGGAGGAACATCTCGATACGGTACGCTCCCGAGTGCAATAAAAGCGTATACGGAGACATACTGACTCGGCCCCTGGAAACCGTGCCTACCAACACGTCGGTGATGAGCGGTGCGAGTGGTGGATACCCACTCGGCCATGCGAGGACTGTGTCCTCGACCGTTGCGGGAAGTATTGGTGTTATTGGGAGAATGGGTAGTAGCGCATCTGCTCCTGCACACGCGCGTGGACCATCGACTTCTTCGAGGCGGAGAGCGGCGACTACTGGGAGTGTGAGATCGCAGGGTCAGGGCATGGTGGATCAACAACAACTGCTACAACAGCAACAGCAGCAGCCGGGAAGAAGAGACGAGAGGAGGGATTGGAATTGGCCGTTGCAGAAGAACGGGTTCGTATGATTTATATCGATGTGGAATGAGGATGTCGGCGCTTGGGTGTTTCTAGGAGTCTTTGGGTTGCGCTCCCGTCCGTATTAGTGGTGGCATTCGTAGAACTGAATACAACCGATGGTGGTGTCGCTGTCAAATGAAACGAAAGCAGGGCACCTGCAGAAGGGTTAGGGTTGAACTAGTCTACGACAAGCAGGTTTGAGCCACCGCAAATGACGTGGCTGATGTGAGGGTAGGCAGTTGGCCCAAGCATTTCTACCATGAATCCCAGTTGAGCTCTCCAAGAATGACGCAGGCGGCAACAGCACTGAAGCTTTGGGGGAAGCTGCCAGTGGTCACATCGCGAGATGCAACCACCTGAACTGGATCAATCACCAAGTCCAAAGAATATGTTGACACGACAGCAAAAGTGTGAGGACTCGATACGATCTTCATTGATAAAAAAAGGGAATACAGCAAGAGTTTAAATCGTCTCTACCTATGACAGTCACCAAAACCTCCCAAGACGAGATGGAAGCCAGCCCCGGTTTGGGCAACGGGGTTGACGTCTTGCATGTGAAACCGGACCAGATCTGACCAGATTCTGGCGGGTTCTGGGACTGGGACGGAGGAGCTGTAAAGCGCGATGACGACAAAACGCCCAGCTCTTCCGCCGAGACCGACGCCGGCATTTTGTTAGAACAGCCTCTGGGTCGAAGTTTCACAATAAAAGCCGTAGCAATCGTGGAAAGACCTTCCGGGATTTGTTTTTGCATCTTTGTCAATTTCGTTCTTCATTATCTTTCGTCTTTTTTGTACCGCTCTTCAACAGTGATACCCCATCTCAACTTCCCATTTTGAAGCTCCTGGTAAACAGGAGTTCTACAAACCGCAGTCGCAGCCAGCCCTACAGAAGCTGTTTGCGCTATCATCTTGAACGCCTAGCCCGACGAGTTCAGGTTAGCGTCCCACCAAGAAATACCCTGGCTGCGTTAGTGCGATACCTGGCCTTACGGTAGAAACAGCAGCAAGGCGCACCGACCACACTATCGAACGTTCGGCAGAAATTCCCCGACCTGGGCCGAAAGAAGGACGTGGACAAGACCTGAAAAGCACAAGCACACGACCGCCCTTTTTTCCAACAGGGAACTCCACCACACGCACCGCTCACCACCTCGGCCATTTCCAAGTTGTCTCAACTTTAGCTCTTCCAACAACATCGCCAACCGACCGAGCGATACCAAAACAACCGCGCCGGACACGGACGACAACAAACTTTAAGCAACCCACTTTCCGTACAGCATTTCTATCACAATGGCTCCCCCGCCGCCCGCCGACCTGCCTCTTGCGCAGAGGATTCAAAAGCTGGCACAGACCCTGCAGTGTACGTGTGCACCCCTCTCCGTTTGAGCCTCCATCGCTGTTCTAGCGATTCGAAGATACATCATGAGCGCAAATGGCTAACTGTCGTCGTCTCCTAGTCGCTTGGTTCGCTGGGTACGTCATGATTCTCGATTGCCTTGCGGTCCCGCTCCCCTCTCGTGTTGCCCACGCAGCAAGGCGGTATCTCACAGGAGCGGAGTGTCGGAACAACCGATTCTCGCGCCAGGACATGTCTTGATTGCTTCGAACGTATGCTGACGAGATATTGATCATAACAGACATGCCACCCTTCTTATCTGCGTCACCCGCTACGCCTTCTCGTGGCTGCGCATGAACTATTATGGTGGCATGGCCCAGTTCTGCTACCGCACCACCTTCCTCTCCGCTGCCCTCACATACGGTATCGTGGTTTACAAGACATGGCGCGCTCGTCAGAAGACCGGTGCTAAGCCGGCCAACGTTGTCAGCTACCTCACCGACGAGAACGTTCAGTACCTCCGTATGTTTGCTCTTCCCCTGCAAGCGGTGGCCCTACCAACGAATGCTAACCCCGAAGCTCAGTTTTGGCCCTTGTCTGGCTCTTCATGCCCCAGTACCCTATCGCCATGCTTCCCTTCGCCATCTACTCGGTCTTCCACGTCGCTACCTATACTCGTGCGAACTTGATCCCGACTCTCATGCCCCCTACTAAGGTGGCCCCTGCCGCCGGAGCTGAGCCCAGCGCCAAGCCCCAGTACACTCAGCACCCTATGTCCGACGCGATTGGCAGTTTCGTTAAGCAGTACTACGATTCGTCCATGTCGGTCGTTGCCAACATTGAGCTCATCCTCTGGATCCGTATCCTCCTCTCCGCCATCATCTTCCAGCGCCGCTCCTGGATCCTGATCGTCATCTACACCGTCTTCCTTCGCACCCGCTTTGCTCAGAGCAGCCACGTCCAGAACTCGTTCAGCACCTTTGAGGCCCGCATCGACAACCTCATTGGCGCTCAGGGCACCCCTCCGGCTGCTCGTCAGGCTTGGGAGACCGCCAAGGGCCTTGCCCGTCAGTTCCACCAGGCTACTGATGTCAACAAGTACATCAGCGGTGCCGCTGCCCCCAAGAAGACCTCTTAAACTGTCGGCTACCGCCGAAGCTTGAGATCTTTAAGCATTGATGACAAGATTGCTTCGCGGATACCAGCGCGACCTAGGCAAGACAACACTTGAGACTGGTGGCCTGCGGTGCTTCCTTTAATTCGAAAATCTCTGGCCCAGAAGCGAAGGATCGGTCACACCTTTTGGTCGGACCGAGTTTCTAGAGGAACTGAAGGATGAGACAGGACTCTGTAAGGGTCGTGTATCGGGAAAGACCTGTTGGTTGGAGGGCATTATGCCGCGGAAAGGAATAAGAGTGCGTAATGGCTTCGGCATGAAGCTCGGGAATTGTTAAAAATCAGTTTATTACTAGGCTTTCATTGACAGTTTGTTGCAGTGTTACTCTTGTGGTTGCTCAGAGAGGTGGTTGAAGACTGGTGTGTGACTTTCCTGGCTGCCGAATACATCAAGGCGTGTATACCTCGTTTGCTTTCTTGTTAATCAGTATCCCTAGCCGCGTAATTATCACCTAGAGACATATTGTCATCAAGCCAGCTGTTCTGGTCGTGTCGATCGTGTGCGAATAACATTACACGAGTCGGTTTATCCTTGACCAGTAGGTAGCTGCCCCACTTTGATACCCCTATCGGGGACCCCTCTCGAGCAACTCCAGCGTCCCGCTGAGGGCTCCCAGCAATGACGTCGCTTCCGCTTTACAACACCTGAACCAAGCGGGTTCTCAGGCCTCCCTCACAGCCTGTACCATCCAGCTGGTAGACGAGATTTCCACCCATTCGCATTCGGATCTGGATTATGTCGAGCAGCTTGGATGATCGACTAGGTTCTTGCCAGTTTTCGGGATTCCAATGGGGTATAAATGCCTTTCTGGCCCCGGATGTGCTGCGCCTCTATAACTGAGCTGTTCCTTTAATCTGTTACTGTCATCCCATATCACTGTTACTCGACCACTTGAACGGACGATACCTCCTTTTTTCCCCAGCAGTCTTTAAACCGCCACTTCTTCTCCTTCTGTTTAGAGTTCCCTTTGTTTATATACAGATCATCTTGCCGGCAATTTGTTCAGGCTAAAAAGGATACCGACCATGGCCTCCCTGCTGCGTCAGATCGTCGCCGGTCCGCGCCTAAAACACGAGGATACGGGGCTAGATCTATGTTATGTTACCTCGAATATCATCGCAACGTGTGTACTACCTATCTCCTCTTCCCTCCTTCCGTCCCCATGTGTTTGAAGATTTAGCAGGCTAACAGAGAGGGGAAACAAACAGATCCGGACCCTCACAAACCTACCCCCAACGAGCCTACCGTAACCCCCTTGACCGTTTGGTCGCTTTCCTCGACGAGAAGCACGGCGATGGCTGGTCCATCTGGGAATTCCGCGCCGAGGGTACTGGATACCCGGACGAAGCGGTGTATAATCGGATTAGACACTACCCGTGGCCGGATCATCACCCGCCGCCGTTCAGGCTGGTGCCGATGATTACGGCTAGTATGCGGAATTGGTTGGATGGGGAGGATGAAGGGACATCTGGGAACGATGGAGATAATACGACGCCGGCGACGCCTGATGCGACAAATGGAGGTGCCGGCACTGGCGCAACAAATGGAAGCGTAAAAGACAACGAGAAGAAAGAGGAAAACAAAAACACAGCGGAACACAACAAACTCGACCTCGACCGTCCCCGCCAAAAGGGCGAGCGCGTCGTCGTCGTCCACTGCAAAGCCGGCAAAGGCCGCTCCGGCACCTCCATCTGCAGCTACCTGATCTCCGAGTGCGGCTGGACCGCCGCCGACGCCCTAGCGCGCTTCACCGAGCGACGCATGCGGCCCAACTTCGGCAAAGGCGTGTCGATCCCCAGCCAGGTTCGATACGTCGGTTACGTCGACCGGTGGGCCAACGCCGGCAGCGAGCCGACCAAAAAGAAGATATACGTGGACAGGCCGATCGAGATCGTCGAGATACACGTCTGGGGACTCAGACACGGGGTCAAGCTGGCCGTGGAAGGGTTTGCGGACGAGGGGAAGAGGATCGAGACGTTGCATACGTTTGGGAAGGGGGAGAGGATCGTTGTGCAGGGGGATGCGCCGGGTGGAGGCGGGGTGATGGATATGTTTTATGATATGGCTGGGTATGGCGTGGGTAAAGAAAGCGATTCAGAGGAGGAGGTGGAGAAAAAGGGGGTTTCGGGCTTGGATGGGACGAGGAGTGATGTTGATGATGCAGCAGATCGGTCAACAACAACGGATTCGTCTAGCACGAGGAGGAGTAGGAGTAAGGAAAAGGTGGGAAAGATGGGGAGCAGGGCGAGCAGTTTGATGAGGAAGATTTCGGTGCGAAAGGGCAAGGACCATAAAGAGAAGGAGCTGGAGAAGAAGAAGAGTGCGCTGAGCGGTTCATCAGCAACATCAAGTGATGGGAGCATCCCCAAGCTTGGGGAGACTACTGCTGGCAACAACAAGGCAGGCAAAGCAGGAAAAGCAAATGGCGGGAAGGCAAAGACCATCGCGATGCCGGAAGCCTCGCAAGTCACGAAAATTCCGTCGACAGAACAGAACACTGTCAGCGAATCTACTTCCAACCTCACCCCCATCCGCTCGAAAACCAGCACCGAATCCGCTCCCAAGCAACAAAAGCCTGTCCTCGCTGAGGAATCAGAACCAGGCGGTCAAGCCGTCATCTTCAAGCCCAAGAACCCCATCATCGTCCCCAACAGCGACATCAACATCGACATCGAAAGACGAAGCCGTGCCTCGGCCAGCCTGGGTCTAACCATGGTCACCTCCGTCGGCCACGTCTGGTTCAACGCTTTCTTCGAGGGCAACGGGCCGGAGCAGGATGGCAAGGCGGACGAAAGCGGCGTGTTCGAAATCGAGTGGGACAAGTTGGATGGCATCAAGGGGTCGAGCAGGAAGGGGACTAGGGCTCTCGATCGGCTGTCGGTTGTCTGGAGAGTTGCTGGGACTGGGACTGGCGCTGGCGCCGCCACTGAGGCTGCTGCTGCTGTAGCAAAGGGGGGAGAACAAACAACGGCCGGGGCTGCTGCTAGTGCTGCTGCTGCGCCTGAAACGGTCCAGGGAGTTACGGTTATCACTCAGCCTGGGGAGAAGAGTCCTGTGCCCCAGATGAAGCCTGCGGATTGGAAAGGTGTCGGTCCTGATCACCTTCCGAAGGAAAAGGAATTGGGTTTGAGAGCGGAGACGACGGAAAGCGCGAGTGTGAGCAAGGCCAGTAGCTTGAGGGATCTGGATATGGCAGAGGGGGGTCCGGGTCTCGAGGCGAATGGTAAGGGCGGCGGTGATAATGACGATGAGTCGTTGGCTGGGGTGAAGACGAGTGACCCGAAGGGAGAAGAGCTTGGCGAAGTTGTTACGCCGAAGGCTTCTGCTTGAGAGCAAGCTGTGGCGGCGTTGCCGTAGCTGTTTATAGGCATTTCATGATATATCAACTGGAAGGAAGCATTGTAGAACACAGTATAAGCTGGGCGTTGGGAGCAGATTGCTGGCTTGGTGTACTTCCTGATACATACATTTACAAACCAATACCTGAAGTTATTGGGAAATGTCATTGTCAGTTCACGAACACTTCACTGCCAGATTGCCATGAAGACATCTCGACTGGATCCCGAAACCCTCTTGGGCAAGCGTAGACGCCATTTCGAACTCAGCGTCAAAAGCCCGTTTCCTGTACTGAACTGGAGTGGCTAAATTGACTGAATGAACGAACAGTCGTTTTCATCCCATGTCGTCGTCTAGATCCTTTGGTTCCGTTCTCGTTTCTGCGCTAACAAACCAAATGGGTTAGGCGAAGTCACAACCTTGGCGTTGTTTGACAAAGTTATGGATGATTTCATCGGTCTTACCTGAGGGAACCTGAAGTCAACTGACAAAATTTAGGATATGTACGCACATATGACTGAGTCAAGACTCGGTATAAGACATCCAATGGTGTTTTCCCAAAATATCAAGTGCCCTGTCTCAAATGGCTCATGGTACCTACAGTAGCGTTTGAGAAGACTCCCTCGGATGGCAAAGACCGTTGGGCGAGACAGTGACAGTGACGGCGGACTAGGTAGCTGCTGCTGAACGAGCCGGGGATGCTCTTACACGTGTGACTCCGCTCAACCGGGCATTGACCGCACGCTTAGCCGATTCCGTTGGCTTATCGGCTTATCGATAGGTAACGTTCGGCATGCGGGGCTGGGGTTGTACGTACCGGCGACGGGGATGGGCGCCGTGAATGGGTGAGGTGAGATGTACCTCTACATAGAACCACTTTGAAGGGACTCTTTCACCCGCCTGTGAAAGGGCCTCGCCCCAGACAGAGCAACGAACGGGAGAGTCAGTCCACGCAGTCAGTGCCCAGTGGCCGCTCGGCTGCTGTCAAGGGTCTCCACATAATTTTTTCTTTCAACTTTTTTCGCCCGTCATGGGGCATTGGCCAGTGATCCTTGGCCGGCCCCGTCGACGCGCTGTGCCTGTCCACGGACCAGTCTCGGACGCCAATTGAGAACTCTCGACCCTTTTCCCCATTCTATTATTTGACTTGACTTAACTACTGCGACTTTGACCTTTGCGGTTGATCCCTTTTAAGAATTCAAGACGCAACTTTGCAACGGTGACCCGAGAATCTTTTGTTTCCTTGTCAGTGAGAACCCCTCTGTCTTTCTCGCCCTTTGAGTGCATTTGCGTTACCCTCTACCGGTATAACCCAATCCCACCACACTGCCATTCACCCAGTCACCACCACCGCTACCTACGCACCTTGACACCCTTCACTTCCACTCCTGTCCGGGCTTAATCCTACCTCCCCTACCACCATTAAGGAATTAAGGATCATGTTTCTCGTGTCCATCCACATGAGCCCCACGTGCCGACAGCAGCCCCGCTAACAGGTAACCAGCTGCAGAAGAGAAGCAACGAAGTAACCTGCCCGTGGCTGTAACACCCGAGACCCTCCCATTCGAAATCTTTTGTCAACCAAAGCTGGCCTGTCGTCTACCTGACGGGTCCTCCGACTTCTCGACAACATGTCCGGCGAAATGGCGAACGAGGTCAAGCTCATCAGCGGAAGAAGCCACCCCGAGCTCAGCGAGAAGGTTGCGAAGCGGTATGCCTGCCTACCTGCCCTCGATTATTCTGCCCTCTCGAATAAATCCGATATCGCGCATTGCGCCGTCGTCCAACAACAGTCTCTAACCCGCCTTGTGTTTGTTTGTCGCAGACTCGGAATCGAGGTCGCTAGGACCATCTCCCTCAACTACTCGAACCAAGAAACCTCCTTCACCGTCGGCGAGTCGGTCCGCGACGAAGATGTCTTCATTATCCAGTCTACCGCCACCGGCGACGTCAACGAGGGCTTGATGGAGCTCCTCATTGCCATCTCGGCCTGCAGAACCGCCAGTGCTCGGAGGATAACGGCAGTCATGTAAGGATCTGATCCATGGGCATGAACACCTTCGCGCGCATTCTTTGCGCCAGCCATTGGGGCTTCAGTAGTAGCCTGAGTGTGTTGGTGCAAAAGATGCCAGAATGCTTTTTGCCTTGAACCGGACAGACTGAACTGACTATCCCAGCCCCAACTTCCCCTACGCTCGCCAGGACAAGAAAGACAAGTCGCGCGCCCCTATCAGCGCCAGACTTGTCGCCAACATGTTGCAGACCGCCGGTGCCAACCGTAAGCCGTTCGCCAGTTTCTCGAGAAGCTGTGTTCGCCGCTAACTGTGACATAGATATTGTCACCGTTGATCTCCATGCTTCCCAGGTATGTTCTAACTTTCTCTGTAATCGTTGTCCGGAGCCATACGCTAACATTGTTTTTACAGATCCAAGGTATGCGGAGCTTTTATACCAATTCCCCTGGAATGAGCGATTGAACGGTTCCCACGAACTCGATATGGAATGCGTGCTGACGAATCTCGAAAACGAAAGGCTTCTTCAGCGTTCCTGGTAAGCCAGCCTACCACTCCTATGAACAAGACCACCCGAGACTAATTGATTGACAGTCGACAACCTGTATGCGGAGCCTTCTATCATTCGCTACATCCGCGAGAACTACAAGCCTGAGGACACCGTGATCGTCTCCCCCGATGCCGGTGGTGCCAAGCGGTAGGTACTCTACATTTCCAACAAGATAAACAGCTCGCGCTGACTGACCCTTCTTCAAGTGCTACCTCCATCGCCGACCACCTCAACACCGGCTTCGCTCTTATCCACAAGGAGCGCCCCCGCCCCAACGTTGTTGGTCGCATGGTAAGAAAGAGTCCGAAATGGTTAGGTTGAGAGACTGAAAAGTTGACTTGTGTGACAGACTCTTGTCGGTAACGTCGAGGACAAGATCGCCATCCTTGTCGATGACATGGCCGACACTTGCGGCACTCTCGTCAAGGCCGCTTCCGTCCTCAAGGAGAACGGCGCCAAGGCCGTCCTTGCTCTCGTTACCCACGGTATTCTCTCCGGTAACGCCATTGAGAACCTTAACGCCAGTGTCCTCGAGGCTCTCATCTGCACCAACACTGTCCCTCTCGGTGACAAGATTGAAAGGGTTAGTTGTACTCTTCGTGTTCTGAGCCTTTGAGCTCCTATGAGATGTTGCAAGATGACTGACCAGTCCCCATAAAACAGTGCCCCAAGATCCGCGTCATCGACATCTCCCCCACCATCGCCGAGGCCATCCGCCGCACACACAACGGCGAGTCGGTGTCCTATCTTTTCAACCACGCCCCTGTCTAAACTTTAGACAAGTCGGGGTTTATATCTCTCGAGCATCATCATAACAGAGCCTACTGGGTGACGAAGGCTTTACATACGGTAGCATTTGGTAGGGGTCGGTTTCTTTTTTTGCATCCAATTTTCCAACAACAACAAACTCGCTTAGAAAGGGGTGTTTTTCGTACGTAAAAAACAAGAGGTGGGTTGGGTGTCGGTATACCTCGTCGCTTTGACTTTTGAACACGGGGGAGAATGGAATATCTCACGTCAGGCAGGGGTTTGACGTCAAGGGTTTTGTCTTGTGTCTTTTTCTTTTTCATATCCTCCTCCACGGTGCATGGGTAGCCAAAAATAAAATGGTAGTATTGTTTTGGATGGCAACCCATTTGTGTGTTTGGATTCTGGGTCGGCGTGAGTGAGCGTGTGGGATTGGAACTTCTGATGAGTCTGAGTCGGATCCTACAGAGAGGAGAGAGTGTGTTAGCGTGACAGCAGACTGTTGCCAAATGGCCATTCAGAGTTTGAGTGAGTAGATAGCTAAAACATCATATTCTCTAGATAATTATCACCGCCAACACTAGGTTCTACTTGTGTGATACACAAGTCACTGACAGCGAGCGAGCATTGTTGCCCAGTCTACAGCCGGTGCAACGATAACTACCCCTGTCAGTCAGACGCAACAATAACAAAGATTCAGGGGTAAAACTCCGGACGGCAACAAACCGCCAAGCATCATCAGCAGACACACCTTCTAATCTTCTATGCAAGTCCTAAGCACAGGTTTGGTGGTATCGAGCTAAAGCTAGTCAGCCAGCCTTGCTTTACCGCATACGGACAACATCGGGTACCTAAATTCCAGCCCTATCGGGCAGGCATCTTGTTGAACGCGGAAGTTGGACGTCACCAAACTACACTTCCGAGCTTCTCTCCCAACCCTTCTCTTCCTACCCTCTCCTTCTCAGCCAAAGATACCTTGGTCTTCCAAGCACCAGTCAGTCCTTCTAAATCAATATCCATCCCTCTAGCAGCAAACCATGTCGAAGTCCGATGATCCATGTATCTGCTGTAACCTCAGACCTCCTTATCGCATCTCGCTTGGGACAAAAAAACGTAGACTGTGCGCGGGCCACACTACCAAAATTATAATATTGCTGAAGCTATCAAGACAATTCTTGGGCCGTTACAAAACTGTGATAGGGATTACGATAATTCGAAAACACATCGGCTAGAATCCTTTAGGGATACTTACATCTAAGAACTGCCTAGAAGTTGGGTACAAAGGTATGATAAAGACGCTTGGATGCGTACTATAAATATACCCAAGGTGTATGTAATGTACTGACCGTGACGTGTTCGGTCTATTCTTACGACCATTCGGTAGTCCTCAAAATTCCTAGGTGTTTTGTTAATCTGTTGTTGAAAAACTGTTGCTGAGTCTACGTTTTTTGTCCCGGGCGAGCGCATGTATTACGATGGGAGGCCATTCGAGGCGACGCACTGGACACATCCGACGTCCGATATAATAACGTCAGCGAAGAAGGGATGTGTGTACTGTAGATTTGTCATTGATGCGGTCAGATATTTCGAACCGGTCGAATTTCCAGTTGGAATTTCCAGCTTCGTGAGTCTCTCGGGAGGATGTAGTCTGCGCGTGGATTATACGTCGAAGGGAGCGGTTGGAATGCAGGTTTACACGCCTATAGGTAAGTAAGAGATTTATATGTGAGAGAAGATCGGTAGAGAAAGGAAGGAGAAGCTGACGACACTGCTGGTTGAGTTAGATCAGGAACCAGCCTGGCCTGGCATCGGCAGGTCCGTCTTGTCCCCACCTTATTCGACTGGCCCTCAGCGAACCAGGACGACTTGCTCGACATTCACATATCGACCTTCGTCTTTGATATAGACCACTCTCAATCTTTAGTACGCCTATCTGAACGCTCTCTTTTCGACTTTATGAACCCGCTATTGTCTTGACCTTCTATGTCCCTGCCAAATCCTCTAGGAGCATTCGCCTCGTCGTCCTTATCATCCTTATCGTCCTCATTATCCTCATTGTCCTTGGTGAGCGGGCGAGGGAGAGGCTTAGGGGAGACAGACGCCGAGAAATATTGAGTAATGTTAGTTTTGGTCCCAGAACCAACATAGAGGAGCGGTAATTCATTCGCCTTCTTTAAAATCAACAAATATACCGCCCACATGTTGTCATCTGCCGAGTTCTATTCGACTAGTGACTTCAGGGCGCTCATTGTTGGTGGTTGTTTGGCTTTCAAGGTAGTAACCTAGCCTGGGCTGAAAACCGGCTCTAGATCGAAGATTGTTTCCCACACTGACATAGCGGTTGGTAGATGTTGGATGATTTGTGTTTTTCGGTTACCACAATGAATACAATACGCCTTGTATGCTTTGGTTATGAATGCTGCTTCGCTGTCCTCTATGTTAGTGTCAAGTTCAGCTTTCTGCTGAATCCCAACACAGATGGGCTTAACGCCCTGGATGTTATTCGTTTTCGTAGCAAAGCGGGTCTTGTGGCCGGAGGGGCGAGTGGTAGAGGGGCGAGTGGTAGAGGGACGAGGGCGAGGAAGTACCGCCCACCATATCTATCACGACCCAGGCGCCCAAGTTGGACATCCAAACCGATGAAGAGCTATTGAACTCCCTCGTATTCGCCGCCGTTGACGTCGACGCCTCAGAAAAGGCGAGAGAACCGATTTACAAGGCGTACCTCACAACCGATATAACATGGCAAGAACTCGCCAATCATCACGGGATGATTTGGGAAGAACCCGCGCCAGAGGTTCCCAACTCTATACAAACGCAGCCGCCGACCCCTAGCGAAACCGATCAAGAGCTATTAAACTCTCTTGTATTTGCTGCCGTCAACGTCGACGCCCCAGAAAAGGCCAGAGCACCGGTTTATAAGGCGTTCCTTGCACCAGAGGACCATTGGTCAAGAGTCACAGCCTTTCCCATAGTACTCGCTCCCGGCCTCGGTGATATACTACAATCACCGTCCCCACCCACAATAGACTTCTTTAAGTCCCTCCCGACACTACAAGATAATACCCGGATTTGGAGCGTTTACGCAATTGTCTTCGAAAAGGAGGACCAAGAGCCGAAACTATATATCGGTTCGGGCACGTCCAGCAAATATGGACTCCGGAAGCGGTTTCTAGAATACAACAGAGGAGAATGGCCAGATTTACTGGCTAAATGTCTGAAGGAAGGGTGGACTGAAAGCTACCGCGGCCTCCTTTGCTAGTTCCTCATCCCCCCCTGGGGTTAATACTGCTTTGCAGCGTCTCCGTTTCGTGGCGACAGAAGCCATACTTGCCTTCGTTTTCTCGACCGTCCGTTCTATAGACTCCCAATATTGGAAACCGCTTTCACATACGCACTTCGAGCTAATAGCAAGAACGAGTCGACAAACGCTATCCTGACTAATATGGAATGGACAACACCAGTACAATGGAAAGGACTGTGTACCCACGATTCGTGGACAGAAGGTATCCGACATATTAGTTGGTTTAAAGCAAGCTTAACAAACGCCCAAATACAGGCCGCAATAGCCGCACGGAACAACCTAACCCGGAGGGCATATTGGGCCAGCATAATGGCGGACCCGGAGAAACGCGAGAAGAGGAATGCAAAGAAGAGGGAATACCAAGCCCGAGTACAGGCGGACCGGAGAAACACGAGAAGAGGAAGGCACAGCAGAGGGAATACCGCGCCCGAGTAACCATATCCGTATCCCTACCCTATCAACGACTATCAGCATTGCTATCAACATGGATAGTTTACTGGATCAAGAAGAGCCTCACTTCAACGATACGGACCCATTTCTACGCGTTTACCGTCACGCAATCACTTTGCATCCCAGTCCGCTTTTGCTATCACGTTACATGACCGAACAAACGAGTCGCTATTTCCGCCCAGTCTTCGAAGGGACCCGGCAACAGACCCAGGACACTGACTACCTCACCAACGGGTAGAAAAGGATCTGCGCGTGCACTTTACCTCAAAGAAGCACCAGGAGAGAAGTGGGCAACTGAAGGAGCAGGTTGGCTAGCAACGAATGGGATGAGATGAAGCATTCTTGGAGGCCTTCGTAAATTCGTTTGCTAGAGATTACAGTCGTCTTCTGCCTACCCGGAAGAGACGATTGCGCTATCAACCCTGTGATCAGTACGACAAGATGAAAGGCGCCACGAGCTGATCAACTATCACCGCAAATACGAAGAGATGGGACGAAAACCTCCAAAGGGAATTGGATTGGATTGGATGAATACGGATGAAATGGAGGATATGCCGCTTCATCTGAGGGTGGTTCAGCAACGAGCCCGGTGGTTTGGCCGTTGTACATGGTTGGGATGTCATCTGTGGGAAGATTGAGAACCCTGAAAAGGACGCTGAGACGAAGGATGAGATCAACAAGAAGAGGCGTCAAAAGTACGCTGAGAAGAAGGATGAGCAAAAGGACGCCAAGACGAAGGTTAAGAACTCTAAAGAGCCCGCTAAGAAGTTGAAGGAGAGGCGTCAAGAGTGCACAACACCACACACCGCATACTGAATGCCCTGTCTCTGCCCGTTCTGCCGCTTCAAAGCAAGGAACATCCCGTTCACTTTCCCATCCTGTAAGATTTCCTTGTGTCCACAGAGGTCGAGCTTGTCGCTGTGGAGATCGACCAGATCGGAAACGCACAAAAGGGACTCAGACTCACACCAAGACAAGCAGGAGCAGCCATGGCGTCCAACATGCACACTGAGGCCAAGCGCAGCAAGAAGGTGCTGGCCCCAGCCAACAATTGGCGAAGGATGAGATCAACAAGAAGAGGCGTCAAAAGCACGCTGAGAAGAAGGATGAGCACAATGCGAAAAGGCGCGAGAAGAGGGCTACCAACACGGATGAGGATAGGGATAAACAGAAGGAGTACAGGGCAAGGTGGAAAGCCGAGAACCCTAAAAAGCACGCCGAAGCACTCGGAGAGGCGGCAAGAGGCTCAACAAAAACGGGCTGATGCACCGGGCAAGTGAAGAGTTATGTCGTGGGCAGACTGCGCACACTACCTTATATATGGCGACGGGTTAAGCAAGTAGATGCCGTAGCCGGGGTGGGTTGTAGATCCGCCGCGCCTTCACCAGTTGCGGACTTGTCTCTACAGGCCGATACCATGGAACGCCGCATGTGCAACCTTGCATATTTCCAACTGTGCTCACATGTCTATCAGCAATTGGGAGAGAAGAGAGACATCTCCAAGGACCTCAGCGCCGGCATCACCAAGCTCAGCAAAGACCTCCGAGCTTGGGATGTTCCCAAGATGAGTGACAGTCTACTCGTGGCGACTATCGGAACACTGCGCGATGAAAAGTACAATCGATTCGAGGATCCGGTCCAGGTAATGCCCCCGAAGGACTTGGACGCAACAGTGGGAGCCTTCCTCCAGCCGGGCAAGGTGGCCAAGTTGGTGGCAAACGAGCAGTTTGACGACATGTTCGACGCCGTGAGCCTCGAGGTGGAGGGTGAGCGTGAGCGCAACAGGAAGGAACGACCCGAAGTGCTCGAAGCACTGGCCGCCTCTGCCAACCACCCGGACGCATCATAGGAGGATAGCGCCCAGCAGTTGGCAGAGGCGCGCCTCAAGGTCCGCCATAAGTTTACCGGAAGAAATCGACGCTCGGCGGAGAGTCCGCTAGCAACATCTTCCCAAGTCCAGGAGCGACTTCTAGGGGCCAGGCTACTGCGTTCGACCAAAGCTCCCGTGTCCCCAGGCGCTGCTTGAAGGAGGGAAGTATAAACCATTCCGGCGCATCCTCTGCGACTACCGCGAATGTTATGGTGTTTATCACCTCTTGACCGGTCTCAATATCCTGTTGGTTCGGCATTGTTATGGCTGGTGACCTAATGGTACGGGGTAGAAGCTGGAGGGTGAACGAAAAACGAAAAAACTTCCACGCCCATCGCGAGGGGAAAAGGACGGGGTGTATTGAAGCTATAATTATTAGGGAAAGAGCAGCACGATGCAGTGGATGTGGAAGAAGATGGACAAGGAAATGGGAGGCGTTCAAGTTAATCTTTGTTTAACCCTTGTGCGCACTAAAATACACCCATTAAATTAAACAACCAGACTATTGCTTAGCTTTTGCCGTTTACTACACAATCGCCATGAATCATCATCAATAAGGCGTGACCGACCGACCCGACCCGAACGTGAAGCCCCCCCTAGCCGATACCAATTTCCATCCAGTAGTGTCCGCCGTCCGTCCACCTGGGTAACCGCCTTTGCCACGCTTTTGGTTTTGGTTTTTCTCTCCTCACAAGACTCCGAAATTCGAAAAGCCCAGACAAACCATGGCAGTTATAACTGCGAAAACACCAACGCCAGCCAAACCGCTGTGAGTGAAAAGAAGAAAGTAAAAGCAGATATCCCAGGCTCTACCGAGCCTGATCGTGTATAGAAGCCAAAATGGCACAGTATTTGTTACAGATGGTGTGACAAAAGAAAAGTGAATCAGAGGGCCAAGCCAGTTCCGTCGCCGGTCCATCTGTATAGGGACAGCAGTTCTCTGCGGCGCTGATGTTGTTCGCCAAGATCCTCTGGCACGCGGCCGCGGACCTGTGCAAGGGCACTGCGCATCACCCTGCTGAAGTTACGCTGCAAGAAGAGAGAGTTAGGAAAGCGTCCACAAGAGATTTGATATTGGGAAAAAAAAATAACGTACCTGGTACTCTGTGTTCAGGGTAACCACGCAGGCCTCGTGCGCACGAATAATAGTCTCACAAGCCTTGACCACACTTGGCGATGCCTCGAGTTGAAGTTTGTCTGCAATGAGCAGAAGGAGGAACGAGCCTTGGAGGAGATAGATACCGAAAAAGAAAGGCATAAACTCCAGGCCGGGATCGTATTCAAGAATGTTGCTGATGGCTTCGGCAGCGGACACCGCATGCCCAGTAGCAGTAATGAAGCCCTGGCTGCTGATCCAGAGGTCATTGTCATCGAGGAGGTTGATGGGATCCCACTTCCCAGTAAGGAGGATATGCAATACATGCATAACGTGTGTCCCATAGGCCATGACAATACGAGTCTGGATATCGCTTTCTGTCATCCGGCTGGAACTGGTGTGTACGCTGTGTACACTTTGAACTGACGGTGTGCCAGCGTCATGGGGCACATCATTGGCGGTTGGAACACCGGCCGCCTCGGCAGCCTTCTCGTCAGCAGCCTGTGCGTGTGCACTGAGGCTTAGATTGCGATGCTCAAACCTCTTGATGCTCTCTTCATAAATTTCAAGATGGCGGGTAATCTCAGCTGTCTGATCATCCCATTCACGGGATGAACGGAAGCCAACACCAAAGCGAGGGTGATTTCGAGCATGATGCAAGTCCACAATTTCGCCAAGGATGGTCATCAAGGGCAGGAAGTAGCCAAAAATGCCATGACCGGTGCAGACAAAAGATGGCCCCCGATGCCGAACAGCTGGAGTAATAGGATCCGACGCCAGGACATTCGGATCAGTGTAAGCATGAAAGTTTCCGTTCTGGTAGTCGGTATCATCCATGGGCTGCAAAAGACCATCGCACTCGATGTCGAGGAGGAACAGAGGCCGGTTGTAACATAGCGCAAGGTGACGGTCGACGATATAGACGAGCCACCAAATCCGCCGTCTCTCCTCTCGTTCCTCCTCGGTAATCATACCGGGAATGTTGCCCATTTCCCCGTCAACCTCGTTCCCACTATTCTGCATCGAGGGTGAGTTTTGTGGCAATTCTCGTCCGAGCTTGAGCTCACGAGCTAGTGACCATGCGGCGTTCCACCACCGCAAGCTGGCGCCTTTATACTCGCTCGCAGAAACCACGGTGGCAAGGTGGATATAAGTCACCACATCGTCCAAGCTCCCTGCGGCGCCAAATGCGCCAGTCTCACCAGTCAAGGCATCCATGCTGATCGATCCTGGAAGGGCCACACCGAGGCCACCCAGCGCCACTCCATCAACAATCGGGCTCGAAACAGGTGAAAACTCCTCGGACGGGGTGTGAATTAGAGGCTTAAGAAGGCTTACTGTGAGCTCCAAGAGCTTTTGGCAGATCTTGCCGCGCGCCGACGGAACACTCGTCAAGAAGGGGGCGTCGCTGGTTTGGGCAGCAACCCATAGCATGCTTGCTAGAAGCGCGGGTTGACATTGACGAGGTTTTGTGGGGTGCAAGAAGGATCGCTTTCGAAATACAAACCCCAGAACATAAGGCGACATGGGGTGCATCTGAGCCGAAGAGGAACTGGCAAAATATAGGTCGATGAGGTCGCATGCCAACGACACCGGCATCAGGTTACCCAAGTGCGGTAGAAGTGGCTCCAACACAGGGTATCGCAATTGCGAATGGCTGTAGGTGGGCTGCGGAACGTGTTGCGCGAACTGGGGTGGCGGTGATGCTATGTTCAACCAACCAGGCGAAGTTGGCTCGCCAGCCATGGGATAAGCGCTCAACGGGCTGGTCCCAATGCGGAAACCACTTGATGTGTTTGCGGAATAGCCGGTCGGACTTTGAGTTTGCAGGGCGTATGGTAGATCCGGATAGTTGGACATGGCAGCCTGATTCGAACCGTATGGTGTATGATGCGATGCGCCGTTCATCAGATGAGCACCCATCCCTTGACGATGATAATCTTGGTGGACATTCCCATAGCTGAGACCGAGAGTAGCTGGGCTTTCCAGATCTCTGTCCATGGCTCCCGGATGACTCGCGATGTGTGTCTGATGTGCGCCCATATCAATACTGTCCATACTTCCGGTCCTTTGACTCCTCATTGAATCTTCGGTCATGTCGCTCATGGTTTTGTCGTTTGAATTTGATTGGTGTTCGATGGGCAAGGAAGAAGCTCGCTTGGCAGTTGTGGTATTCTCGGCTCGGGTCTCGGGGGATTGATCGTTTTCGCCAGCTTGACTCGGGGATTTTTGACCGTTCTGCTGGGCGGCGGCAGCTGCTTGTGCCGCTAAATCCTTTCTTGAAGCCTTTCCACGCTTCTTTCGCTCCCGTACGTACTCGCAGCCAAGTCCGAATTCTAAATACCGTCAGGCTATGCGTTGATTTATTTCAAGACTCACACTCTACTTACCAATGCAATGGGCGCATGGATGCTGGCCATCGCATTTTGTCCGCAGCTGATTACACTGGTCACACGCTCTGCTTATCCGTCTACGAATGGGTCCGGCCGCTCCTGTTGCTCTCGTTGCCGGTCCATAGGGATGTTGTCGGTGCTTTGGTAGAGGGCCTGCCCTTGCTAGGTGGTGGTTGTGAACACTCACGTGCTGCTGAAGTTGCTGAAGAGCATAGTGAGAGCCAGGGCCCATGGTGTCGAGACCAGCCGCATGAAGATGGCTGGCTGAGACATGTCCGCCAGACAGCAGGGTAGGAGATGGCATAGCATGGTAAGGGGCGAACCGGTGAAGTGGATTAGACAACATCTTGGCCGCAGGTGTAGCGTTGATGATGTGTATGGAAATAGGGGGTATCAGGCGGCGTGAGGCCTTTGAGCCGTTGGATCAAAGACGGATGCTTCGAGCGAGAGCGGGCAGTTGGTTGAAGCTCCGTAGTGTGCCAGTCGTAGTCAGAGGTAACAAGCAAGAATGTTGTCGGCGAGGATGGGGAGGTGCGCGCTATGTATATCCTAACCCTTGGCGCAAAAGCTTGATGAGCTGCCGGGCGGGAGCCGGACTGGTCAGCAGTAGTCTAACAGGGGGGACTAGAATTCAGTGTGGGGAAGCCCAGGGACGGGACAGGAGCGTAGGGTTGGTAGCAGAAGGGGCATCACGATGCGGGAGAGATCAACGCGGGTGTGAACAAAGGCCGGTACAGTCCATCTGCACGAAGGAAGCAGAGCCAGTACAACATGGCGGGGTTTGGGTATAAGAGAAGTTGACCAGAAGCAGGGGTAAGCAGACGGGATCAAAACGGCCCCCGTTGAGAACGTGGTCGTGATGAAAGAAGAGGGTGTGTGAACGTACATGGCGCAGAACGTGGTTCGAGACAGACAGGACGGCCGGGAGATTCCTGGGCTGGGGAGTGGTGTTCTCGCTCTCCCGAGCCCGTCAGTTAGGGGTGAGACTTGGTCGTGATGGTCGCCGTCTTGCAGTTGTCATTCCTCGTGGTTGAGGTCCGGACCGGGTGACTGTCTGTATCTTCAGCCTCCAACTATGTGCCGTATAGTGGTGGAGAGGGGCCGGAGGGAGCAGATAATGCCAAAAGGGCTAAAGGAGACCGGATTCGAACAGGGGAAGACGTCGGTAATTTTTCTTTGGAGCGGTTCCTGCTTCTTGGTTGCACTTTGGGCAAGAGTCTATGTATGCTTGGCGTGCATATACAACATGAGGTTGACGGCGAGGTCGATGACCACTGACCAGACCTGATCCAATTGGCGAGCGCGCCTCCTTTCTGGGCCAGAGACAATATACGAAGGTAACGAGCTTATATTGCGAGGGCAATATACAGGGCGGCGGGACGGGAGAAGCCTGGGGAGACGTGAGCAAAGGCTGGGGAGGGCGAATATGTGTCAAGCGCAGGAGGGAGACTGGGAGAGGGAAAAAATATGACAGCGGATTTCTGGCGCAA